TGTATTTAAAAGTCAAAAAAATGAAACATAAGTTTATCCTTAAAAGGAAAATAAAACATAATTCACCTCAAACTTTCTTCTTCCTCTGGAAAATTTGAATCTTTAGGGTTTATGAAACCACTGTGTATGTATGTGTCTCCTGATGTTCTGTATTGTAACTCTACATCTCAGTGTAGATTTGTGGAAAAGGCTGCTGTGAGCTCAGTTACACTCAAACAAAAAAACATATTCATTGCATAAACCATCTTCTTTTTCAGAGGAACTCATCCTGTACCCTCTAACTCATATGTAGCAATACTTTGACTGAGTCTTATTTCCTGATAAAACTCGGATGCTCTGCCCGAGCCAAGTGTCCTATCTGCCAACGGACAGAGATTACAGCACTCCGGGTTCAGTTTGGCTGGCATGAAACATGATCCTCAATGAGCCGTTAATGTTTTGACACGACTGATTAACTAAGACTCCCCCCCGATTAAAGCAACGTGCAGGAGGAAGTGGGATTTTGGGGGGGCTCCGCATCTGTGACAGTGTGTTTGCGCGGAGGGGTGGTCTCAGAGGATAGCCGTTGTCTTTCTCAGAAAAGTGAACTTGTTCTCACCCAAGAGACAGATGAGCAATGTGTTGGGGCCTTGTGGTTTATGGACAGAGCACAGTTCTCAGGCTGATGGGGTTTTCCCTGGAATAAAAGGAGAAACTCTTTACTCAGAAATAACTGACAGTTGTGCCAGTTCACTGTGCCACACGGTTATAATTGAATGACAAACTGTGAAGGGAGGTGAGAAAAAGGCCTCGTTATAACGTGGTGAGAAGAGAAGTACTTCATAAACACAAAAAGACAAATGTCCTCTGCTGGGTGTTTGTTCCCTGTCGTCCCCTCTTAAATGCTCGTATGACAAATATAACATAACACCTTTGATGGCCGACTTCTTGGCACAACAAGAAGTAAGATTTTATTTTTTTGAGGGGAAAAAATAAAAAAATTCCTCTCCATGTCGATCGAGTAAGTGTACAAACCAAATAAAATGCTCAAGGCTGTTCCTTCAGAGGCGAAAACTTGATATAATGCTCCTCTCATGTTCTTTCAGCTGAGAAATGGTCTACTGGGAAATTAAATAATATGACGAATGAGGAATTTAATCACTGCATCAAATAAATATTCACCAACAACAATCATTTACATGTGTCCTCGAGTTAATTTGAGGGTGTTTCTTTTTCCATCACACCCTTTTAATTCTGAAAACATATTAAATTCTCTATCAACAATTATATCGTCCAACACCAGAGCTAAATCTGGAGCAGTGACCTTTTAAAACATCTCTTTATTCAGCTCAAATTCAGATGTTCATCCATCCCTCTGTTTTCTCTCCGAGTGAAAAGCGCTGAAGTTCTGGAGATGAAGTGTTGATTATTTTGGGTTTCTATCGCATGTGTTTTACAGAACAGGTGATTAACGGTTGATTAATTTGTATGTTAGATATACATGAAATTAATCTTTACCTTTCACAATGAAAAAAGGAAAGCAGTGAACAGACAGATGGGAATCTCAGAAAGACCTTGACCTTTTTTCCCTGACTAATAAAACCTAATTATTTCATCCTGAAGTACAAAGTGATGCAGCCAAATTTGAAAACATACTCTCTGAGATAATGTTGGAGATGGTGGGAAAATAATAAATCCTGCAGGACACCAAGACGTCCTAAATCTTCCTTTATTTTCACTAAAATATAAAAATTTCTTGTTATGTTTTAATCTGTTGGCAATTTTTAGTAATGGACCCATACAAGGTCGCTGAATATTTGAAATATTGGGTTTATGAATGACTTTTTAATATTCACTTTGGATTTTTGTTTCTTTTTTCAATAATTCAAGATGGCTGAACAGATGTCCAAACGTCCCAATTTTTTTACTGAGCAAAATATTTTCCATTTACAATTATCAGATAAAATGTTCCCGTATGTTCAGGAGCATTTCTCATTTGTTGGTTTTATTTAATTGTTTTGCTATGTTAGATACAAAAGCAAAAGAAGAGAAAGAAAAAATAATGATGCTTCCATTATCGATTTAAGACCCTGGAAATACTGTAATTGCTACTTAAATACAAGAGTTAAAGCTCCAATAAGGAATTGAATCTTCTTATGAAACAGACGGAAATTATATTATTCACAAAAAACTGTCAATTTTTCTATATATTTATTTTTGTTACATCAAACCACTGGTGGAGGGCGGGAGTCGGTCAATGAAAAAAACTGTATGACATAAAAAAAAAAAAAAAACAGGGTAAGAAAGAAAAAAGGACTGAAACATGTACAAGATAAAAAATCAGCATCGAGCTAAGAGCTGCTTTCGCCACAGGGGGCGCCAAAGTTAACACAAACTGAAAGTCCTCACTGGAGCTCCATTACAGTGACTTTATCTCACTAGCGAAGTCTCATTTTAATAATGTGTACAAACTGAAGCCTAATAGTTTGTCACTCAGTGTGTTTACATGCACAGCTTAATCGGACTAAGCTCATAATTCGTTTTTTTCACCGAGTCGGACTTCTCTCCTTGTTCGCTTACACACGCAACAGAGAAAATAAAATTATTGACGTGAACGTGTCCTCCACCCCAAAACTAGGGCGCAATATGGGTCTTTTCAGCTGCTCTGTTTCCAACCCCATACAACCATCAACAGCAGGTCTGTACCAGACGTCAGAAGTGTCTACAACTGCTGCTTAGCATTTTCGAGCAAGAAGATGGCGCATTAGTACAGCGTTGTTTTGGTCATACATGTTGTACGTGCTAATTTTCTTGGAGACGAGGTGCACGCTACTCCTCTTCTCTGGTGTTTTTGTTCAAGAGTTACGGGGCGTGGCACATGGCACATGCATTGTCCGATCCTACTCCGACTACGCTGGTGTCATGGTAGAGAAAATCGAATTCCAGTCACATTATCTGGGTGAGTTCTCCAACGCCAATCTGAGTTCTCAAACTCCGATTGTAGTCAGACTATGGTGTTTACATCCACTTCAGTTGTCCAGATAATCGGAGTAAGGCAATAATTCAGTTTTCTTGAGTGTCATGCAAACGTACTGACTGTTTTCAAACTTAAATGGTAGTTTACACTGAAAACTCAGCACATATAAACAAGTTCGTGATCTTCAAGTATTGAGAGCCTTAAATACTGTAAATAAATTTTCTGTCTCTTCCAACAGCACAGTGATAGTTTTCAGGCTTGATGGATCTAAAACAGCTCAGACGAAACTTGAGTTCATCCATCTGTAAGTCAGTTTCCATCTCAGCTGACTGCAGCGTGACTGAGAGCCTCCACTCCCAGGGTCACAGAGGTAGATCACAACAAGGTCAGCGACACCCACTGAGAAGTTATCATGGTGACAAGCAGGCAGCTTCAGCTCTACAGCGACACTTGAGCTGCAATCATTCATTAAAGAAAAACTGCAAACTGAAGCTTTGGGGCAGCACTTTCCCATTTTACCGCTCTCTCCCTGAAGGACTCTCAAACCCACCCAAGATTAAACCACTTTATTTTCTCCCTGCTGTTTCCTTCCTTTCTCCGCCGTCTGTCCGTCTGTCTGTGAGCGAGTGCAGTGATGCTGCAGAGGACACACCCATCCTTTCTACTCCGCTGCCTCGCTCTCTTTGACCCTGAGAAGTTCTCCTGCACTCTGCTGCCGTTGCTGCTGCTGCAGTGCCCACCCAAGAGTAGCCCCTTCTCTCTCTGAAGCACCACTGAGCAGAGAAGGAGGAGGAAGAAGAGAGGAAGGTTAGGAATGAATTTAAGAGTGTTACTGCTGTTCCTTACTTGAAGAGAAACACGCATAAACTGAAGAGAATAAAGAACAGGAAAAGCCTCACTTTATGAAAGTGGGATGAGTAACTGTAAATGACAAATAATTACATTTTCATAAACATTTTTTGTTACCATTGCAGTTGTAAAGACCATCCACTTTATTCACAATTTGCTCTGAAAACATGCCAAGGCTGATAAGATCTTACGAAGTGTAAGAAGTAAAAAATAAACATTCAATTATTATTATCACGCTATCATATGTAGATAAGCACTTGATAAATTTATATCATCAAAAACCAAAAAGCTAACTCACGACCTTGAATATAGTGAGATGACATTTGAAATCAAAGCAAAACAACTGCCATATGGTATGAAAATTGTGCCAGACAAATACATTATTTTACCATCCTTCATAATTAATACCAATATAGCTTTGATGTCTTCTTTGTGGGACTGAAACTAATGTGCCCTTCATAAATAAAGTTTGGCATGTTTGGGCAAAATCTCTTATCGGAAAAAGTCCCACCTGAGAACACCTCTGAGGATTATTCATTAAAAAATTAGTTAAAGCTCCTGTGAGGAACTTTTTGTTTTTGCCCATTTTGTACTCCAGTCTTTGCTGACCATGTCCTTTACAAACATCAGTAGCTGATTTAAGTCTCATCCTGCTGACTTTCAGGGTCAAATGAATCATTTATTGTGAAAATGTTATATAGTTAATTGAAAAACAGGGATTTTTCTTCAGCTACTTGGCTGACACTGACCCCCTCACTCCAGTTTTAGGCGTCAAAAATCACAATATCAAAAAGTTTGTTAGTTATGTCACAGAGTGTTTTATTAGCTCCTGTATTACACAGAAGCCAATAAAACCATATTCATATTGATGCCAATTTATATGCTTCATCATAAAATGGCATCAATATGAATTTCAGTCTATTTTATCGACATAAAAAACTCCTCACAGGAGCTTTAAAGAGTAAAAAATAAATATTAGGTTCTGTTCCAGCCTGTCTAAAGGTCTTTTGGCACCAGCGTTGCTAAGTTATGAAACTTAAGAGTGATTAGTTTACTGCAGATTTTGTTGCAAGTAGATTCTGATACAGATAAAAAGTACAGTTTTGCTCACGAAAACTTACGACAGATACGACACAGACTGACGTTACGGTAAAGTGACGGAACGAAACACACTTTGAGTTAAAAGATCAAACCAGACCAGGGTAAGTTGTAGAAAACAAGAGTTCTCCTTTTAATTTCTCCAGCAACGACATACTGTCCATTTACAGTACAGACGCCCAATTTCCAACTGATTTTCAACACATCACAGTTTAAAGTTTTCAAATCAAAAATACAACACAACTATGAAAAAAGGACATATGCACAAATTAAAACCTTTAAAAAATATAAAAACAGTACTCTTAAATCTCATTTTTGACAGGTACCATTTCAATAACGAAACATTTCATAATGCACAATAGAGCAGACAAATTAAACTGAACCATTAGGTTTTTTTTTTTTAAATAGAAGGAAAAGACATCATTTTCATCATGCAGAGGATGTAATATTAAATAACGAATCAAACAAAAATAATATATACTTCTCTATATATCTCTCTTTTTTAATTTTTCAAGTCAAAGCACTCCCGTCCCTTCACAGGGAAAAACAAGACATGTTTAAAAACACCACAATGCTTTCATTAGCTGCCACTGTGTCATGGCCTTTTATCGAAAACATTACATCTCAGCAACATCTTTTTGGCACAGAAAAAGACGTTTATAATGGCAGTAGCATTTTGCATTATAAAAGAGGGCGGAGCAGTAGCTCTATTTCCATTATAAAATAGAGAGAAGGGAAAAAAAAAACATTCTGTGCACCGACATCAGTCGGGAGAGTGGCGTCTCCCCGCAGCAGGGTGTGAGGCAGCAGGTGTAGCAGCAGCTCCTTCTACTGCAGCATGCTCTTGATAGTCTTGTTGGTTGATTCATCATTCAGATGCTTGGTTGTGTACCTGCAGACACCGAAAATAACAGGTTTACGCTGTCAGGGTATCACATCCTCAACCCACATTCCTTCAGTTTCCTGTATTATAAAATCATGCTTTTATTTTGAAATTTATGGGAAAAAGTTTATCACGATATATTTTTCGTATCAGTCGATATGGATATGTATCATGATACAAAAAATCTTTTTAACAGTGCTTATTGGTTCATTATATTATGTTTTATAGTGAGTTTTCATTTGTCCTATGGTCATGAACGCACCATAGGTGTTCCGACGCGATTGAACGCACTGCACCTGTGTGTGAGACGCTGCAGCTGCGAAAGTTTAGTTTTCCTGTTTTCACCCAAAATTCACCTTCACATCCCGGGTTCATTGTGTGTAAATACAAGAAGTGAGTTTTATGATGTTTTATTGTCCAAGTCGGATGCTTTATCGTGTTAATGTTTTGTTTATACCGTGAATATGGCTAATGCTAGCTCATGCTACTCCATGTTCAGCTAATAAGCTAATTCTTGTATCATTATCTGACGAACCACAGTCAAATAAATCTGCGTTCGAGTTACCTCGGAAGTCAGATGTTGGAGCTGAAAATGACATCACACCCGAGTTATTAGCGTTTCAGTTACCAAGTCGGAAAAAAGCAAAATCGGAGGTGGAAAAAAGATGGCTACATCTATGAAAGTTATTTTCACGCTTGCCTTATATTCGGACAAGGAAGCGCTAAAACTAACTGAAAACTGACTAACAGAAACACTAATAACTCGGGCTTGATGTCATTTTCAGCTTAGACTTCTGACTTCTGAGGTAACTCCAACGCAGCATAAATCCACTACAAAACTGGACATCTGTATCCGTGTCTTTAATGGGGACACACAAACACCATACACCTTACCGCTCTAAACCAAGCTAAATCCCAGAGAACGCCCTTTTCATACTTTTAATGCCAACTATCGAAAAAGCATATCGACCATGTTTTATATTGATATTGAGGGAAATAAATTTTCGATATATATTGTTATCGTTTTATCGCCCAGCCCTACCCATAATCAGCATAAGGACCGCAAAAGCCCTCACTTTCTGGGTTTTAATGGTTCTGTAGACCAAACTCCCCACAGCAGCTTTGAGTGAGCAGCAGTGTTCCAGTTTAATGTAAGTTTGCCCCCATCTACAGTATTTTAGTCACCATCTGCCAGATCACAGATGCAACGGCTGACAAAAAAATCTCACACTTTTCCATGTGAGTGACCTCACGTGACCGGGCGGCCTCGACGTGCCCCGGGCCCCCGGTACAGAGAGTCATACAGATGTGAGGTCACCATAGGAACAGCGCTGTCAGCCTGAGCAGCTGTACGGGTGAAATTTTGGAGGCTGCGAGGGGAGGGGGGTGAGGTGTCAGATGTGATCTGCATTTCTGGAGGAGCTTCCACACCCAGCCCTTAAACGGAGCGCAGAAGGCTCCTGCAGCTGACCGCACCCCCGCTGGACTCGGGCAGAGGAGCCGTCACCGTGAAATAAACCGAGAGTGTGCTGCTCCCGAACAGGCACCGGATATCATTCAGCTCACAGCTTGAGCAGGCAGGTCTCTTTCAATGAGAGTGTGCATGCTGCCAGACTGCAGCTATAATCACATTACATGCTGGGCTGCAGGGGGAAGAACACAATTTGGTGTGGACACCAGCTTACCTGAGAGCATTGAGAAGGCCTTCTACGCTGTTCGGAGGCTGATCTTTGAGGACTTTGATGCAGCCTTTCATCTGCAGACACAAGACACACGACTGTTAGCCTTACATAGAAAGCTTTAAGGCTGCATGAAGGGGAAAACTCACATCAATTTTTGACGACTTGGCGAAGGCTCCGACAGGATGGACGTAGTCGTACAGGATGATTACTCCCACCATCACCCGCAGGCAGAACGACACAGTCTCCTCACTGCTGAATCTGCTGCGGTACTCCCTTTAAAGACACAAAGCGGATGGATTACATGCAGAAATGTCGAGAGGGGGAAAGTGCAATAGCTCTAAAAGTGCAGAAAGTCACTCACGGTGTCTCCAACATGACTTTACACACACTCGCCATCGTGCTCAAGCAGTCTGTCGTGTTTTCAATGGGCAGGTTTTTGTTCTGTTGAGACAAAGAAACGAAGATGATGAGGGATGACAGGAGGCTTTCACTCATCTATTGAAAGGACTCGCTTTTTTTTCCATCTCTCTTACCTCTGATACAAACTTTGTTGTGCCGTCACTTAATGTTTTCAGCATGGGTGTTGCATCAGCGTAGAACAGAGATATCCGATTGGCCAGTTCATTGTTGACTTCATTCTCCCCCTCCGCCTTAAAAACCATCAAAATAATGACAGTCCTTTGTTAAACTCTTTTCTTTTGTGCATTTATTTGAGTCCAAAGTCTGAGCAGAGACCCTGGAGGACACAAGGACCCTAATAAATGATATATAACATCCTTAAAATATATCCTCATTTCAGCGGACAATATAGTTTCACAGCTGAGGAGAAGAGCAGCAGTTTGACTCATCATTCCTATACTTATTTCCCCTGAGTGCGACAGCTTTATGTGAATGTTGTGAAACTCAAAACCTCAAAGCAACAGTTCACAAAATGTTCAGGTTCCTTTAAGGGCAGACAAAGCTCCGACAGTGGAAATTAATCCAGATCAGGTTTTTTTTATTCTCTCTGTTACAAAGAGAATTCTTAGAGGAATTAAATCCTGATCTGACCTCATGTGTTCAAACTGCAGCTGGATCAGGGTCTCGACAAGGACAGTCAGACTTTCTTTGAACATTACAATACTTGGGCAACAGACAGGGGTGTGTCTAGACTTTTTTTTGACAGAGGTGGCACAAAACCTTTTTTTTTTTTTTTTTTACCCCCCCCCTTAACTTCTAACATACAGATGTAATATTCCCATGTAAAACAACAGAGCGGTGACATAAATCTTAACTTTAATCTTTTTTGACTCGGAAGAAGATATACTGTATATCCTAAATTGTGGGCGTAAACCATAGACTGTATATAGAATGGACGCCATCTGCCTCCTTGCTGGGTGAAGCCACCCCAAGAACAGCACCCTCTGGTGAGGGGCTGCAGTATAGGTCATAAATCCTGCCTCTTTCAGCAATCCCTATGAAGCTGTGGACAAACTTTAGAAATTTATTACATAGAACATAAATTTTTCTCCCCCCTGCTTGTGATGTTGACATGTAGTTATTGTAGGACTGGTTTGTGCTCAAGTCCTCTTTTTTCTGTACAGCTCCATTTTAACAAGTTATTAGGGGGTTCATGTTTTCTATGATTGACACTTGATACAGCCTATGGGTGTATGAAGATTGCGTAGCTCACCCGGGGGATATGCTACTTGAGCCGAGCGTCATCACAGCGACTCTCGAGGGAGCTTTTTGGCTTTAAATCAGTAGACTGGCGGAAGGTGGAACCAAGTTGTCCACAGTATATACAGTCTATGGTGTAAACCTGCAAGGATAACTGGGGGCAGGTGGTGCTAGCTCTGCTACCACCTGTGTTCCCATGTTAAAGGGATATTCCGGCGTAAAATTAAGTTAGGGTCAAACACACCGTAACACCGAGTTAGACACCCTGTCAAGAGATAAATGTTGCCAACCGCTTGCTTCTCTAGTTATACCAACTTTAGTAACGACCGCAGGATAGCAATACACAGCGGTCTGAGGAGCCATAAACAAACCTCAACCAAAACGCCACTCTATAGCCACAAATAATGCTAAGAACAGCACCTAACTTCACCAACAGTACATATAGGTGTTAACTCGATGTTATGGTGTGTTTGACCCTTGCTTAATTTTACGCCGGAATATCCCTATATGCCTTGTTGAAAAATTGTGCTTAATACTGACTGGGAAATACTTCAACTCAAAATCATCTATACCAAACAGCAAACCAAAGACAAGACTTTTGAGTTGGCATCTTAGGGTGACAAACCGGATTTTGAGGATGTCCTGGCCACCCCTAAATTCAGCCCCTGGTTACAGGAACACAACATCATTTCACACATTAAATAACTTTATATGTCTTTATATTGTCTCTTGTCTTGATATTCCAGGTGACTTCTATTAAGGTTGGCGCTTTGAGCTTAGGGTGTTAAATATGTGCAGACCTCTCATGGAAAAAAGGAGAAAAGATATGGAAAGCAGGAGACTTGTTTGATTTAAATAACAAAAGCTATTATACTTGAATCTACCTGGTGAATACGATAGGAAAAATTGAGTCTGGGAGTGAATCCACACGTACTGATAACATTGGAGTCTGTCTGGCTGGTGTGTTTGTAGACGTAGAAGCTTTTTTTTTTTCTATATTAGACAGACGTGCAAACTGCTCCAAACAAAAACAGCTGATTCTGTTAACTGCACCATAGTGTGATAATTCCTGTTCATTTCATTTGAATGCAAAAGTTACAAAACTCTCTGGGTAAACTCAAAGTTGAGTCAGGTATCATACCCATCATTGTCATGCAGCACAGACACAAAGTGCACATAAACACATTAAATAATGTCACAGCTGAACAATAGCGACTTAAAAACAAGTGTGAACCCTCCCGGTTTCCCAGCTGACTAACTCATCCTGCTGCTTTGTACTCGCAGACTGGAGCAGACAGTGAAAACACCTGGCGGGGAACAGAGAACAAGGTGTCTCTTGAACAGACTGTTCTAAATTTATCTGCATATTTAAGCTATAAAACCTCTTCCTCTTTTCATTTATTTTCTTATGAGAGCGCTGACAGAAAATGAATAATCTCTCCGAAAATTCAGACCAATTCATGTTTAAACAAATGATGACATCTGAGCTCAAAGAGATTTTTTTGCTGCGGGGGGAACGATGCGTTTCATCTCCGATGTCTGACTGATTCTCTTGTCTGAGTGGTGACTAAATTTGTGTCGCCGTGAGACGGAGCTACGAGGGAGGACGGCAGCCCGAGCATCTTTCTGTGGTGACAGGTCCTAACGACAACTTGTCTGGGCCCATTTCTCTAATGGCTCATTCTGGTCGGGGAGATAAAATCCTCCTGTCAGACGGTCAAAACTAGGAGTGGTTTCCGTCTGTTCTGCTCACGCGGGAACAATGAGATCTCACCGCTTCCTGCTCCAGAGTATCTATTAGATGCCCTTGAAGCCTTTGAATAGAAATGTACATCTTTTGAAGAGCAGCGTGTTGATACGGGGAGTGAAAGGGTCCTTAAGTTTCAATTTCTCAAAGGGGCATCGTCTGCAATCAATACAGGAAACACATGAATAACTCTGTGAGCATGTTAGAACTCTGCCTTATCTTTGAGTTCAGATGAGTGACAGTGGGAGCCTGTGGACGGGTGGATGTGATCATGATCATCAACATGAAATCGTAAGCATACAAAACCATGGATGATATGACAGCATCTAAAAGTGAGACGAAGGGGGCACTGCTGAGCCCTGGAGTAGAACGTGAGTTTGGGGGCTCCAGCCAAATTTCGATAAAAATCGTTATCTTCTGCGCTTTTCGGTTACTTTTTTCGTTCTGTCTTACACAGCAGTAGTTTTTGTCGAAAAGTTTTACTTTGGACGGTGAAAAATGTCTCGCAATACTATTCAGACACAACTGAGGCCTGGTCCGCAAACCACGACCTCACCCTCGAGTAGGCCGCCGACTCCTCCAGGTGTTGCCCTGATGCCTGCTAATCCTGACACGGCTGCCCTCAAGCTCGAGTTTCTGCGGAAAGACACTGCTGATATTTTTACAAAGGAACTTCAGGATACCCTCAGGGATGTTTTGTCTACTATCCAGCTCGACCTGCAAGCGGTGAAAACAAAAGTGAGACCAAAACACTCTGAGCTTCTTTTTGGAGCTCACTGACTAGCTGCAGTAAAGGTCATAAAGTCCACTTCCTCCATGTTGACAGATGGGATATGAAGTAAACTTTAAAGGAGAAGATATACCAGATTCAGTTTAGGAAGCATGTTGATTTTTGCCCCAAATTTTCACTATTTCCACACTGAGCAAGCACACGGCAATATTAGCACCTAAAAAAAAAACTCTTTAAGGAGCTCTTAATTTATTTTGGTGATGATACTCACCAAAATAAAGATCAGATTTTACTTGCAGTAAAATATTTTTACATTATATCATTAAGATATTGAAGGTTTTGGCTCTTCTACCAATTAAATCTTATTATGAACTAGATTAACTGATGCTTGAGTCTTTTCATGTTTTTATATAACATCCATTACGCTGTAAGACTTGAGCTTATATTTTATTTTGATCTAAAATGATGTTGTGTTAGTGCTTGTGATCGCCTACTGCCTCCTCCTGCTCCTCTCCCTGCTCTCCTCTCTCCACCTGTGGCTGCCTGGTAGTTTGTACTGCTGTCGCTCAACATCTTACAGATACCGCGGTTCACCATTAATCTTTGTGGAACCTGCAACTTCCTCATGTCCCCAAACTTTGTCTGGTATTTCTCAACGAATTACGAACCAGAAAAATGCGTCCAAGTAAATTAGATGCTGTTTGGATCCTTGGCCGCCACCTGCTTCTACAAAAATGCTTCACAATGTTCGCAAAACAGCTGGAGGCCGAGTCTACCTGCATCCATCAGTGAACAGCAGAGTCTAAACTGAGTGTTTGAGCTGTTTATCTCAACAATAACTGGGCGATGGTTCACAAAAGTGAGGAGACGAGAGGAGAGTGGGCTGCAGAATTCTTCAGTGTACACTCAAAACAACACGCAAGCTCACCGGTACGTTGTTGATCCTCATTCGACTCAGGGTTCTTCTATAGTAGCTGAAGTCATTCTGGATGGCAGGATTTGTCATCTGCAAAAGACAACAGAATTACATCCTGATTCAGAGAGGGAGGGGGAGAGGAAAGGAGGAAAGGAAAGGAGGGAGGGAGGGAGTGTTTTTCTGCATGTCTGTAGGTGGCACAGCCTGCAGCGGGACATTCAGCTCTGGATCAAACACGCCATCGTCATGACAGAATGGTTTAGCCAACAAGGCAGAAAAACGTAGCTTTGGGGGGCGATGACATAAAAAGAACGCAGATACAATTACAAGTTTATTTGCTAAACTGGAGTGGATTCCTCTGACACTCATCCCCCTCTACATCCACATCCCCTGCTCGTCCTGTCGGGAGAAATTTGGCTGTTTTGCCGCTTCAGTCTGGCTGTGGATTTGTACAACTTGTGACAAGAGGGCCGACAATTAGAAAGCTGACAAAAAGGTATAAAAGGGTCTCATTAGGGGGACAAATGTTAGCTTACTGTCTGATATCACTTCAACTTTTGGATAAATCCACAGGAGTCGGTTCATTTTGAACAAAAAACGCATCAGTGTGAAACCGAACTGACCCCTCAAACACACGCTGACCAACCAGCAGGCTTCTTTCAAACGTCACCACCAGTGAGAGCTCATCATGTGGCTAATTATCCTCATTCTGCGCTGGCAGCATGCTAATCCTGCTACAATAGGCTGGTACTCAGTCTGCGTCCACTTTGTGCAGCGAGGGAGAGACGGGCTGCTTCGCCAGGGAGGGGCTGCACGCCGCACACACACTCTTTAACTAGGTCAGAAGCCCGTGCATGAGTGTGAAAGATTGATGAATAGGCCTGGCATGCCACCTTGCACCCCCTACCTTCGTGTTTCTCTCTTGCCAGCCTGGATAGTGGGCACTAATTGGGACGCCGCAGCAACTTGCCTGGGGGTGTCGGGGTGTAAAGTTTTTTTGTATCTCAGGAGCGAGGATGTTAAGGGGAGCCGTTTCAGCCCCTGTCTAACCAGATGAGTGCTCGCGCAATTATGTTTTTGACAATGGGCATTCGACCGACACCCACGCATCATTCCTGGTGTTTTCAGGTCTGCGCTGAGGCAATTTGCGTCCAAATTCAAGCTAGATATGCTCTCAAAATTTGCTCTATCAGTGGTTTATTCTGCATTATGCAGAGCTCAGCCCGGGACCACAACAATTTCCAGAGTTCTCTCCCTGCTAAGACCCTTATTAGCCATTCAACTGACATCCACTGTATTATAAACAGCAGAGCAGTATCAGGATTCTAATTAAATGCTAATCATGCACTCACTGGCTGCAGTCGAAAATCAATTTGAAGGCATCAGCACTTTGTTGGTCTGCTAAGAGGTCCGGTCTGTATCACAGGAGGGGAGTGCAGAGTTTAAATCAACATCTAAAGAGGTGAGTTTGGGCTTGAAGAGCAGAAACACACACACACTGGAGGGGTAAACAGACGTACTTTCAGCTCGTCGAAGCGCAGAGTGAAGTGGAGGATCTCTGCAAACTGCCGGGCCAGCGCCTGCTCCCGCTCCAGGTGCTGAGTGGGGTCGTCGTAAGTCTCGCTGGTCAGAGCTCCCAGGAGGCTGTGCAGCGCCGCCTCTGTGATTTAACATAAGACACGTCTGTGTTAAAAAAAAAATGCAGTACGAAGGAAGATATTATCAGTTCGGACCCAGAGACACATGCTGATGTGGGTTCGTGTCAGCAGTGAGAGTTGCTGAGTCAAGTTTCACCTACAGTTTTTGTCACAGCTTAAGTGTTAAAGTTTGCAGATGTTATAGTAAATAAATTCTGTTTTCTGTCAGAATGAAAAAGTGAGAAATATTCAAATTACGAAATTTAGGGGAAGTTAAATGATTTGAGAGCAATGACGCCAGCGATTCTCCTCACTTTTCGCTACTTTGCTCATTGTTAGATCGAGTAACCGCTCACATCCTCTCTCAAAAAATTAAACAAACACGCTGCCACCTGTTGGCTGTTTTGTGTTCATTACTCCTTCAGCCCAAATGTGTCGGAAACAGCTTCTAGCTTTTGAAATGTAGGAGAAGGAATGTACGTTTTTTTTTAAAACTCAAAGTTTCTTTATCTTTTAATTTTTCTCTTTCTGTAAATGTAATTTGCTGCTGTAACTTTGGAATTTCCCCCCCTGGGACTATTAAAGGAACATCTTATCTTATCGTGTGCCGCTTAAAGCAGAGTCAACAAAGGGAGCACAGTCCCGCGCAAAAATAACCAACCGATGGTAAAGTTTTGCCTCAAACAACGTTTCTATTTTTAACTTGTTTTTAAACTTCTGTCTTCAGTCTGTCTTTCACCTTATGGTGAGAAGTGGAGCCTAGCACCCTCTACTGACAAGCAACCAATAATTATATATAAAAAGATTAAACACTCTTTGGTTTATAACGATGGCGCAATGAATATTCATCCTAAAAGACTTGTGTCATACTTAGAGTTGACTGCAGTTGACTTACTTGTTGTTTTGGTTCTATAAAAGGGAATCAGCTGTAAGTTTCAACACTAATTAAACATAAAATCGTTATTTACTGAGATAAATAAATGAAAAGATTTCAAACATGCCCGGTTTCCTTCGTGTTTGAATATTTTATTAGTTTAGAAGAAGAAGGGAGTGGCTGTTGATGTTGTTGTTGTGCCCAAAAGAATTTGCATTGATAGATAAGTCTGATAGTAAAAATTTGACCAACAGGGATCACACTGATTATATATTTCTGTAGCTTTTTGTCCCTAAAAGCCACCGTTGCTTCAACAATGAAAGGAGTGAGCGAGGTAGCTCTATATTCCAGAATCAGACAGTTAGAAAAAGCTCAATATTCCCATTTCTTTGCACTGTACCTTTAAGCTTTACATTGGTTTGGACAAATCAAGCACTTGGATGCAGTTCAAGGGACGCCAAACAGGTTTACTTGACTTAATTATCTCTGAATTGATCCATAATGAAAAGAATCAACCATTGGGACCTAATCAATAATACTTAGATACAAACACAACCTCAGAAAGACAAAGTCAATACTGTAGTCAGTGTATTGGTCTTTAGATCCATCCCTAAATAAGCCGGAGCAGAAGCCTGCTAACGGCTAAAACTGCCATTAATGCAGCTCTGCTCTGTGTGGGATCAATAATGTTGATATGGCCCTAAATCACAACTTTACCCTAAAGGGAAGTCCAATTTTTCAACATATGACACCATATATGTCTCGAACATCGATTTGAATATAGAAAACTGACAAAAAAAATAAACTTAAGAGAAGAAGAGCAGAAGAGAGAGGCCGACAAACCCCTCCAACAGTGATCATAACCACAGTCAGATATATGAGCAGTGTGTCATCCTGCTGAAACATCCTGATTAGGACAGATATTGGGGCAGTTGTGGTGTCCAAACCCCCCAGGGCCCAATGCCAGTTTTTTTCAGGGGGGGGCTTTAGAGGAAGGGTCTGGAGGGGGTGAGAGACTTCCCCGCTCAGATGCAGATGAGACATGGGACTAATTATCTCATTGGCATGAAATGGGGAAGGAGGGGAAGCGATGGAACAGGATTTCATTCAGGCGGGATTACACTCATTGTTTTGACAGTCAGTAAATACAAAGCCTGTGCCATGGCTTGACATAGCATACCCACGGACCCAGAATTAAGCATGCATGAGGAGCACCGGCAGGGAAATGAGGAGAAGATTAAGTGAAATGCGGTGAACAAGTTCTGTGCAGAGAGATGATTTAACAAACATGTCTTGTTCAAACACACAGGTTTGAAAAGAGTAAAAAAGAGAGAAGCTTTAAAGCCCAGAGGGAGCTTTTATTTATAGATGCAGACAGTGTTTAGAATTCAGTCTAGACGCTGGAGAGGGGCTTCAATAATGACATAACCCAGACGAGCTCCATGTCTGATGCAACAAGGCAGCACAGATCCAAATGAGCGCTTTCGAAGAATTTATTCAAAATATACTCCAGGATTCTTTTTGATTACATACGACGATGAGCATGTCAACATGAGCCAGCCGCAGCAGATTCCGAGCACGCAGCACTTAAGATAATCGTGCGGGGACTGTCAGGAGATGGACACAGCGCTGGCGGTGCAAGTGCAGTAAATTGAGCGCGTTTGCCATTCGGTAATGACTCCCATCTGCTTGGGCAGCGTTTGCAGCGAAGCAGCTGATTAAAAATGGCCTTAGTGGTGCAGTTTTTTTTTTTTTTTTCCCCTCCTCTTCTGGACATCCCAGTCAAAACAGAAGTTAAGACGGAGCGGCTCGCAGGCCGTCAGGAATGAGCCACTCTACTATGTCGGGAAGTCGGGCAAGGGCGGGGCGGTGCGGCGGGGAGGATGTCTGATCGCATCAGGTCACGGCAGAGCAGGCGAGCAGAATGCGGGCACGTAGGCGCTTTACTCACAGAGAGGGGAGGGTCAGAGAATGGCGGGACTTCGGACAGGACGAGAGCCTGTAACGACTGACAGACTGGAGCTAATAGATCTGTTTGGTTTATAACATTAGAGAAGACTATAACCTTTATGTGTTTAATGATCCTAATGAGGTGTAGACAAGGAAAGATGCTGATATTGACTTTAATTCAGGTCTGAGTATAAATAACATGAGGCTGAGAGATTTGTTTACAACAGAAATTACATTATCTCATCATCGGTAATCATTCATTGATGTTAACTTAACTTGATGTTAACTTAAATCCAATGTTAGCGTCTTAGATATGAGAATTTAGCTGATATTCTTGGCGTTTTTATTTCTTCAAATTGAGCACTGCAGGTGTTTTGAGTTCTGTTTGAACAAAATATGTAGTGTAAATGACATTAACTTAGATTTCCAGCAGGCATTCACCAAAAAAGTTGATATATTTCTGTCAGTTTTGTTAAACCTGAGTGTAAATACAAGAACTGGTACTTAAAAGCAAGATATACAAATTTACTTTTTTCAGTTTTATGAAATTCAGCTATCTTCTTGATTAATTATGTACTGACTTGTTCTCGCTTTTCACAAGTGACAACTTTGTCTCTGTTTACTGTCTCGTAATGCTTTAAATTGATCGCTTTGGGGGTTTTTTTTAGACTGATTGATGCAACAAAATCCGCAGCATGAAGATAACACTTGGACTCTTGTTGCTTTTGTAGCTTAAATATAAATATATTTCTGTCAGCCATGATAAATTTAAGTCAAAATTTGGTGTCAATGCACAAATCAGTGGTAGGAGCAGAATAAATCCGTCCCTTCAATTCAAATGCAAAGCTAGTTGCATAATCTTCTCTCCATAATATCATCCTCGGGAGTCGTGCTCTGCAGATCTCTCCACCAGCGTGCGCTGAAAGACTTTCAGCTTCATGCGTATCAGACGGGACGGCAGGCTGCGAGGCCATCACGGCCCCCGAAGCCTTAAAGTCAAGGCAGAGAAGTGGAGCAGCAGCCCAGGATGGGAGGTGGCCTACTTTGTTACATAACAGCCATCGCCAGGGCTGCCTCCGCCCACCGGTCCGACTGACTGCCGTCTCCACGCTACTGGGATTACGGGGCTGAGGGCATCAAGGCGAGCTGGGCTCCACCCCCCTCAGCCTGAGGGTCATAAGAAGATCAGGGTGCAGTAAGCCTGCAACCCCTGCCCCCCCCCATATGCATGCCAATTAAACAACCTATAGCCCCATCCTGCAGAGGTCAGCGTGCAGCGCAGGCAGCGTGTGGAGAAATGCACGGCTGAGGGGGTTTAAGCATGTTTAGATAAGGCTGCGGTGTGTGTGTGTGTGTGTGTGAGTGTGTTTGTGTGTCGCATGTCTGTTGACTTTTGCAGCTCAGCAGTCATTGATTCAGATGCACATGCAGACAATTAAGGTCACATATGGAGGTTGTATCTATGTACCATCGCTTTGAAGAGCATTCAGACATAAAGGTGTTTGCTTTTGTCCTTTAAAGTGTCGGGTAAAGCAGAAATTCTCGCATGTTGGGATTTTGCGGCGCTGTTGTCGCGCATAACAACGGCTGCATTTGAGTAAAATCTCAAAGGACACCTGAGCGCCTCAGTCTGAGGGCGGCTTCTGAGATTTTTTTCTGGCCTACATTCAAGAGGTGCGTGCAGACGGATTCTTACCTAATCTCTGGGAGAACTCATAGAACTTCTTCAGCTTCCCAACTAAGGGGAGAACAGCCGCCCACGCCTGCTCCTGTAATGCCTCATCGTTTGGATTCTGGATCGCCTGGAAACAGAAACATAAAAAGACTTTCTGTTTACAGTGTACTAAAAGATCAGGATTTAAAGAGAGATCTAAATCACAGTTGAATAAAATATTACGCCGGCCTTAACTGTGAGTTGTCACTATCATCTACTCCCCTGATATCACTCTTAAAGTCTGAGTTGATACTCATTAAAGCGGAGTGAATTCTGACGTCACTTAAAGCTCCTGTGAGGAGTTTTTGATTGGTCATAAAACAGACTGAAATGAACAGTGTTGTGTCTCTATGATGCACAAAAACAAATACGAGCATTGATGACAAGATTGACTCTCTCTTTATTGTCATATTTGATGGCTTCAGCTGCTGTGAGGGGGTAGGTGCGCTGAAAAAAACAGCCTTGATTTCAGTAAATATCCACATTAAGATGAAATTTTCTGTAAAATGACAACAGGAGGAGAAACCTCTGTCAGTTATCATTTCTTTCAGGGGGACGGGATGAAACTGGCAGACAAAGTTCCTCACAGGAGCTTTAAGTCAAGATCAGTTTGACAAGATTCTGGGGGTGTGGCTTCAAGAACAAAAGGATGAGTGGATTTTACCTTTGCGTGTGGCTGCTACCCGCCACAGTTGGACTAAATTTACCACCTACTTGTCTGCAGGTGATTTGCATTGTGGGTAAAGTAGGCGTAAGTATTTGATAAGAAATAAAAATTACAACATGTTTTTAAACCTTTTCCTGAGTCAGACTCAGCTGTAGATGTTACTAAAAATGGGGAATCCTTGTGTTTTCATAGTTAACAGACATTAAAACGAGAAAATTCCAGTCTGTGCTCATAAGTTAGCCATAAAAGTTTAATCATTGGCTCATTTAAAGGCTCCAGGAGGCCTTTGAATTCACCCAGTTGTTCATTAAACAGCTGATGTTGACTTTTAGCCTGTTTGAATGCCAAGTTTCTTTCCCATCAGGCTTCATATGCAGACCAGATCTTATAAATAGTGAAAGATGACAGAATAAGCAGTTACATGTAATTTTGTTTTGACCAAGAATTCTTCAAGGGGAGTAAAAGGAGAATTTATTGACTTTAAAAAAAGAGGAACATCAGCTGCAGCTGCACCCAAACACCTCATGTGGTCCTGAACTCTCAATAACCCGGGTTAAATCTGCCTCATGGTCGTCCCCGGACAGCCAGTCTGTCCTGACTGCAGCAGCTCTGTGTTTGGATCAGCCGTACCTCTCTGATCTCCTGCCCCGCTCCCTTGTACGACTGCAGCTCATCCAGGATCCCCTTCGCGTCCTTCAGCACCACGTCCACCTGCTCCCACACCTCCCGCTCTGCGTCCGTGGGCTGGGCATCTGTATGGGGGGAAGGACGACGACAACGACAAGGTCAGGGGGGGCAAATCAGATTGGTAAACTAATCCTGACAGAAACCAGCTTAACGTACGATCACAGGACTCCAGGAATTTTCTAAAATCCCTCCATATGATCTGAAATTCAACAAGAAACTTTCAATTATGGAAATGAAAAATTCCCCTCAAATAATCTAATCTTTCCAGCTTCGAGTTCAGATATGACACCACCCACTTTTTCCTGGCTGAGAGGAGGAAAATGGAGCATGATAAGAGGAGACAAATGAGACTGCTGATGCCCTCCTCTGCAGATCCGTAACAGCTCTTGGTGTAAAGATGGCTCTATTTCAGAGTTTTTTTTCCTATTATTTTGGTTGAAGAGAAGCAACACTGTGAACCTTTCCAACCACCTGAAGCGAGAACACCTTGCCAAGTGTGATGACTGTAAACTCACACTCCCCTGTAGAAAGAAAAAAAACCACCCAAAAACACAGCTCATGGAAATCTTCATTAACTTTTATTTGATGTGATGGGATTATTCACTTAAAAATCATTTATTTTGGAGCCTCCCTGTGCTCTCATCTCTGAGTGAAACCGCATTTTTAGAAAGCATACTTAAAGGAGAATTAATAAGCTGTGTTTGATCAAAAGGCTTTTGTAGGATATGTAATTGCAGCCTCGTTTTTTTTTTTTTCATATTAAAAATCACCTAGAAACAGTGCGAGCTGTGTGAGGCTTTGTTTTCTCTGAAGGTATGACTGAGTCTCTGAGTTTGCCAAGAGTGAGAACACCACGGTGCAGGATCAAGCTGAGTTGAGGGGCCTTAGGCTACACAGCAGCTGAACTTCAGCGCTTTATATCTGAAGAAGGAGGAGAGGGGGGGGTTCTGCTGCAACTCTGCCCTGATTGATATTCTGCGCACATTCCAGCGTGCATGAGGCAGGTTGATGGAGAGAAGCAGAAGCTCTTTTGGTAAGATTTGGTTCTTTTGCCGCTGGGAAGAGCGAAGAGTAAAAGATAAGTCGGACGGGTGAGGAGACTGAAGAGTTCCAGAGTTGATAATGTTATGGTAAGATATTCATGTGATCGATATCGGGAGAGGGGGCTATCAAGTAAAAAAAGAACTCACTTTCAAAATCGAGGAAAAAATTGGGCTCCTGTTCCAGATCTGTGCAAGTCAGAACTTTCAGTAGGTTCCCCATGTTACGATACCTGCAGAGAGAAGAGAGAGAAAAAAGATCGATAAATGAGAAGAACACAGCAGCGAAGTGAGCAGGTGGTGAGACTCCACTGGATCCATGACACCCCGACACCCTGCCCTTGCTCTGCTTCACTGCCCCACTGCCCCAGATGTTGCCCACCGCTCGGAGACACTAGCACTCCCCTTGGACCTCGATATGTGTGTGTTTCCTGCACCCAGGCTCTCAACAAGCCAGATGGCAAACCAGAGAGTCTCCAAAAATAAAATTCAGTTTGGGTTTTTCTGCTTCTTTGAGTTTCTTCCCAGAAATCTCAGGCAGTTACAGACAGTAGTTTGCAAAGTTATCCACAACACGGGGCCTCCACAGGGGACTCAAATGTAATCAACCTCAACATCTACAACAGGAAGTGCTGTTCGTACAATTCAAGACCTTCTCCAAATCATTTGAAGTTAATTCACTGGATCTTATATTTGAGGTTTTCAGAGTCACTTCATCATGCCTGCAGAATCACAATGTCTGCAGACAGTGTAACGCAGCGTCTTGGTTATAGAGGCTGACACATAACATGAATATTTAAAATGCCTTAAGCACATCCAGCACATGTGGCTCAGTAACAGAGTGTAGCATCTACTGCAACAGCACAGTACTGAGAAGAAAATATGTACAATCATACTCTTCATCATCATGAATATTTGCATTGAATGTGTCATGTTGATCCACATTTCACCCTGAGAAAAAATGAAAATCAAACCGATAAATAACTGATCATCATAATGGTGCATGTGACATAATTACTCAGCAGAATTACCATTAGGATTTTATTCAGCAGCTTTATTATGAGCATGAAATATCACACTGCTGGTCTGCTTAAAAACAGGGAAATAATTAGACTCTTTTTTTCTATTTCTGGTATTTTGTATCAAAAATTAATATAATAAGTGCAGTTTGTCTTGGTAGATTTACTTAAAGCTCCAGTGAGTGATTTTTTACTGGTAATGAAACTGAATGACATCTTTAGTGATAGGGCTGGGACGATATGCTTTTCTCCCAATTCAATTCTCATATGATTTTTTGGATGCCTTTGGATGATCTTAAGTTTGCATTTTTAACACCAGTGAAACAGTTGAATGATTATGATTGTCCTCTGACTATTCCAGGAACCATATTTCCCCCAAAAATACACACTTATTCTTCACTTTGAAGAGAAAATCGATTTTTTAACCTAAATATTGATTTAAAAATTGTAAAACAAAAAATCGAGATACCTATGTGAATCAAATTTTTCTCCCACCTCTATTTAGTGATGCCAGTATTTGAGGTAGGAAAGCAAACAAGACCATTTGCTTATAGATCAACAATTCCAACATTGTTATTTCAAATGCTTGTAGGTCACTGATGGCGCATTAAAGGAACTGCCTTTAAAGTAAATACCCACAGTCATCAGTCATACTTGAGATTAAAAGGAAGGAAGTTTACATCAGGAAAAACACACCCTTTCTGAGGGGAAAGGACAAGTAACAGAGAGAGTCAAGGGGTATCACTCTGTCCACAGGGGGAGCCAAATTCAACACAAATAGAGAGCTCCTTTCAGCAGCTTTGATAAAAGTGAAAACAGAGAACATATCACAGCTTGTTAGGCCTGAAGAAGAGTTTTTATTTTCTTCAGTCTGAAGGTCTAAGTCTTCAACAACAATGATGTTACTCGGGCTGGGATGATACGCTTTTCTCCTGATTCGATTGTTTTACGATTTTTTGAATGCTGATTTGATTTAAATTGGGATTCTATGATACTGTCGATTTTCTCTCAATTCTTAGTCTGCATTTTTAACACCAGTGAAACTGTTGAATGATTATTACTGTCTACTGACTAGGAACCATATTTCCCCAAAAAATACACACCAAATGTAAGTCAGTTTAAGATTTATTCTTAAATTTGAAAAAATAAATAAATAAATAAATTAAAATTTTAAACAAACAAAAAAATTGCCATATTCTTGTGAATCGAGTTTTTCTCCCACCCCTACCGTTTACAGTACACAGAACAATAAAAGCAGGGTGTATTTAAAAATGTGAGTCTCCTGTGATTAAAAAGTTCCTACCGAAGCAACCCAAGTAAGGTACTCCCTTAGGAGTATGAAAAGTTGCTCCTGAAGCCACCTAATTGAGGTTTTATTCAGCGTCAGCCATTCCAAAGAGCCAGCTTTTTATTTCCTTTACACAGACCCTCTTAAAACCATCAGCATCCTTTTGTTATCAAAGCAAAGATAAGTTATGAATGCAGCTCTTTATCACAGCTGTGCAAGCGTTAACTTCTCTCTAGCTCCACCCTGACATCCACACATGGTCACCTTAGGCTTTAGAAAAACTACAAAGAGAGGCCCTAAATGCCAAACTCTCAATTATCATCTATAAACCGACCCCACACACATAAACTCCACATCTGTTATCAACGTTCACCCCAGTTGTGACTTGTGCAATAAGAGGAGACAGCTTTGCATGGCTTTATGCTCCGCTCCCACTAAGATAAAGCTGATATTTACTCAGCTGCAAAAGGTCAACAGACACATGACAAGATGTAGATCTGTGCCAGTTAGTAGAAAGAAGCTGTGGGGTGTGTGGGGACAGATGTAACCCTTGGTGACACAAGGAGGAGTACAGGTTGTACTGTGTGGGACGACGCAGAGCGGCGACAAAGTTGCACTTGGGCAGGCAGATGTCATGAGAGATGAGTGACGGGGGAAAGGCCAAAGTGACTGAGCGGTGACGGGAGAAATCATGAGCGGGACAGGTAACGCTGAGAGACAGGGAGGTGCTGCGAACAGGCGAAGTCCTCGCTCAGCAGTCGGCAGCGGAGGACTGGACGGAGCACTTTTAAAATGCAAGAGATGCAACACAGAGGGAGCGGTCAGTGGGGTGAGCTTGAGAGACATGAATTCTTGCGTCTTGAAAGTGTAACAGTGGGTCATGTCCTCACTTGAAAAGAGAAAACAGGAGTGATGAATAAGCATATTTGACATGGCTGTTACCAGGTACTCTGCAGACACGGACTATTTATAGACTACCTGAGAGTCAGAGCAGAAAGCTACGCCTTTGACATGTTAATGCTTCCTCAGGTCTGCTCCGTCTCACAACACACTGAAGAGACTCTGAAAGAACAAAAATGTTCTTTTCAAGGCACAAAAGAAGAAGAAAATCCTCTGTTGTCAGCTCCTCAAATGTGAATATTTGCCGTTTTTCTTCGTCTTCTGCGACAGTAAACACATTTCTTAAGGTTCGGGGTTGTTATTGAGACATTACAAAACTAGAAAATAGATCACAATTGACATCTTAAAAGGTTATTATATTCTGGAGTGAAATTTTAAAATGCTCAGAAAAAGATGATCCTGCTTCCCTGTTTTGAACATGAAAACAATCTAAATATGTTTTAAATAAACCGTAATCTTTGTTGTCGAAAAGGATGCCGAAAAAAAAACAGCAGCTCCTCAAGTGTCCACAAGAGGCAGACTCTAAAAAGCCCAAACTGCACCTTGTGAGGCATTTTACATAAGTTCTTGAGTTTTTATGTGTAATTGAAATGAGTTATGAATAATTCAAGGCTTAACTGGTTTGACTTGGAGGTGGGAAATTGTAGCCACTCACCAGGAGGCTTCAACTCCAGCTTTTTGCTGGTTTATAGATTGTACGCTGGTGGATGTTAGCATCTCTTCGCCTTTTAGAAATGAATAGCTGACATTGCTGAGACGACATCTGTGTTTATACAGTCTTTGATTTTCAATAATTTATTTGATGAGCACTCTACTTTGTTTTTCCATTTACAGCTTCAGGCTAATTCGTGCTTCTTACATACTCCCATAAATCCTCTCTGAATGTTCATTTAAGCAACCACATGAGGGCGCCACTGAGTCAAAAATTACACCTGCTAAAAGAGAAGATTCAAATATTTTTAGACTAAAAATTGCGGTGACGGTAGAGGAGGTATTGGTCATGTTTCTGTTAAGATTGAGGCAATTGTTGAGGCAATTGCAGATTTACTGGTTTGGCTTAAGCTCTTGCTGCTCGACACTGCCCCCCACAGTTCCTGGTGGTATTGCATTGTTTGAACCATATCTGTAAGCTGCTAAAGAACTTGTCGAAGTGAGACAAGATGAAGGCAGAGTATAAGCAAAGCAAAGTTAATTTAGAGTTACCTCTAATTTAGCCCTCATCAGCTTGCAACCACACAGGTTTAACAATGTTTTCCAGTGGATCCTGGACTTTATATTTCAGCACTGCTCCCAAAAATAATCTAAAGTACAAAGATGATGCATGCCAAAAGGTCAGCTAGAAAAGCTTTGAAAGGCAGCTGACTAAGCTTTACACGTTGGGTGAGACAAACACAAACTACCCCAACCCCTCAGGAAAACATATTTTTAAAGACTGACTGTTTCTGTAAAACTTCTTTATTTATCAGATGACGAAGAGCAGAATTGAGTATTCTTTGATGGAAAACAGTACCGATGTTGACTTTACAAAAGATGACTTTATGTCGTAGATTTAGTTTCTTTAAATTTTGATGTATTTCATGACTTTATGATCAGCACAACTGTCCTTCACTGGACCCATTGACCACCTGCAAAGACCCACCTGCCCTGTCCAGCCTCATCTTCTTCCCCTTCTCTAATGTGACCTGAATGTCTGACTGTGCCAGCACCGGCACCTCGCTGGCTGTCAGAAAGCACCACCTGATCCAGCCTCGGAGAGGACGAGAGCTGTCACCGCCCTCGCCCTGCTGGATGATGTGGGCACTGCCCGTCACCGGCGGGCCTCCTCCGGTCCTCTGCTGCCACCTCTCAGACGCTTGCAGACTGACTGAGCGTGGCTGGCAGAGCTGCAGGGGCTCTCGGCGCTGCGAACGCGGGCGCTGGCAGCATCGCAGGCCCGGCGCCGCTCCCTTGGGCTGCTTAAAACGAGGTCATTTTAAGGACGGGGATTTGTGTGGCTGCATTTCAAAGTCCAGCTGAGCATCTTCAAGTGTACTAGAAAAGAGCTGATTAAATTTGTATAATTTACAGCTTTTTAAATCTTAATCTCACACTAAGAATCACTTTTAGATTGCATGAAAACCAGCTAATAAACCAGCTTTCACTTTGCAGCTTACGGCGACTTGAACCTCCCTCTAAAGATGAAACAATGTGTGTTACTAAGAGTGACTGGCTGCTTCATGATAGCAGAGTCAGAGTGAGCGGATGTGAGCTGGCTGTGAGTACACAGATACTGTATCAGACAGAGATTCAGGAGCTGAAATCTCCCCCCCTCCCTCGGTGGCTGCAGCAGCACCCAGTAGCTCTGGCATGTCCCGGGCAGCTCGGAGAGCCCGACGACAGCCTTGTTGTTGTTTTGAACCCCCCCACTGAGCCATCGCGTGCTCGCAGCGAGGGAGGGAGGGCTGCTTCTAAGGCCAGGGGCAGAATCTGACAAGCAGGAGCCCGCGCAGCTCTCCTATTGGCTGAGCGGATCTACCCAACAGCTCACTGTATCCATGGAGGCAAAAAAAATTTGGTGCCATTGAAAACATTGCAGCAGCCAATCAGAGGCCAGCTCTGGGTGAGGAGTGAGTACAGTAGTAGTAGGGCTTGAAAGCACATGAATATATTAATACAGATGAGGTAATGCGCCAAAAACAGCGGATTAGCCGAGGAGTGAAGTCAACTGGAGACGATGGAGAAATATTTAATTCCACTACTGAGCATTTAGAGATTTAATGTGATTATTTTTTTTGTGTAGATCAGCAAATTCTCATTATTTTAATCAATTTTTACATTAAAAAATGAAGCAAAAGTGTTCATATACTAATGAAAATGAGTTTAAAATCATTTATTATTGCAGAAAAATTTAATTGTGGTTTTTGCCACTTTGCTACAACTAGAAATATTGTAATAAAATGTGACATGTTTGATTTATGCAACAAAAATTGGACGTTTTAATGATTTGCAAATTGCAGAGAGCTTGAAGCTTATTTTGGAAACGACACCAAAACTGTGCCACGCCCATGCAGCAGCCTGACCTCTGCATGGCACTGCCTTCCACCGTCTCCCTGCTTTCATCCTCTCCTCCTTTTAATAAAAGCACCCACAGAAGCAGGGCACAGCTGAAACCCGGCATTGCGGCAACGTCCCACAAAAAAACAGCTCCGGGGGGCTGATGGCTGGCTAATGTACGGGAGTGGATAGTGCTGACATTCCACTACTCGGGCTGCAGCGTGAGGAGCCACGTGCCCCTGCTGCTTTACTATGGAAGAAAAACAACGCCCTCCCCTCCCCTTTTCCCTCCCTAAATGGGGGCGCAGCGTCACGTGGGCTCTGCCGTGGAGAGGCTGAGAGCTCGCCTGGGGTGTGGAGGATGGGGGTGGGGAGGGGCGGCAGTGTATGTGCATGTTTATATCTGAGGATATGGAGGTCCAAAGAGTGAAAAATGCATCTTTGAGTTTTATCCCTGCATGATTTTGAGTCAAAAACACTGATTTCTGTGAGGATGCGTGTTGGCGATATTGCGTGTGTGGAAGGGGAGGGATTGTAGAGCGTCACACTGCAGCAGAGGCGGGCAGAGCTCGGCAGCTTTAAACTTGACCTAGATTTCCCGGGTGACACGCCACATCGCATTAGCCCACTCGGCCAGACCTGGACCCGCCGGAGCTCGCTGACACTGGCCCGATTCGACAGGCAGAAAATGGGGGAGCACTTCCCGAATGGGGCTGGCATGTGCCCCCCTCGCTTCCTCCCCCCCGCTGGACTTCTCCTCACCCCTGAAACACGTCCTGTCAACCCTACCCAGCTGACTAAATATGGCTTATGGGGCACATGGCAATGAGGTAGAAAAAAAAAGGGTGGGGGGTGGGGGTACTATTTGTTTGTTTACGGGGGTGAACTCCATTACCTCGTGGCCACGCCTCTGTATTGTTGCACCCCCCGTAAACATCAGATAATGCCCCCCTCACCCAGATTCTGGCAAATCAAAACAAGCCTCGCAGAAAAACTGAATTACTACAACTGAGGGTGATACTCAGGGTGACATCCAGCCTCAGCTGTCAAATCTCTCTCCTGCAACCACACATGCAGCTAAAAATATTCCCCCCCCTCAAAAAAAAAGACCCTTATTAATGACTCCCCGCTTTAAATCACCAGATGAACACAGTCAGCATGAATGGAAATGAACACATGAAAAACCGGCGGTTCGTCCAGAGGCAGATCAGAGGATGATGAAAGCGGGAGCGACTCAACCCCGGTTGAGCCCCTCTCTTTGGACAGCACCTGATGAAAGTTGGAAACCATGGCAACAGGCACGTACACAAGAGTCAGCTAAAACGCTGGCTTCGGTTGAAATGGAGCTGTGTGAAGAGGCTCTTAGCGCTGCTCTTCAGTCACACCAATATGACACTTTAGAGCGTCAAAAACACGCAGAGGGACGCTGACAGCCTGGAAAACATGGCAACATCACATCAATCCATTTAAGCAGACTTCCTCAGGAGTCCGTTTGATCATTTCAGGGAAAGATGCTGCTAAACATTCAGAAAATAAAAGATCGAGAAATTGGTGTCAGATTTATCAAAAGAGTTGTAAAAAGCAGTTTCTATAAACTCTTTGAATCTTTCACCCACCCGCTGAACATCTTCCTCAGTGTAAAGCCAGCCCTCCCCACCCTGCCCTTGAGAGTCCTCTGACTTCTTCCTTGGATGTGTTAGGAAATCATTAAGAGGGGGGCATATTGACTCATTGTCATCAGTCTAAGCAAGCAGCCGCTCCCTGAGGGGGCAGCTGTCTCCTAAACCCCATGAAAAGTAAAGATCTGCCTTTCTTCTGCCAAGAAAACAGCCCCAAACCATCGTTACTCGGCTGACCTTCTGACTGTGACTCACCGGCGTCACTCGCTGCACCCTAGAATCTCACTCTGTCTGCACTCCTAAATATTTAGGGACAACACATCTTATCACAAGTGCATCCTGATTCAAAGTGAAAGCTGAGTTTTAGTCAGAAGTAGACGAAGGATCATTTTGTATGTTTTTTTCTGCAGAGTGTAACCCTAACAGGATTTTGGGTGGGGCACAGAGGAGGTTTTGGATGGATGATGGGCATCAGATTGAGGAGCACCAGGCGGCAATTTCATTCAGTGAGAGAGGAGCGCCATCTGGAGGATGCGTTGACAGTGGATGGAAGACCACTCCCTAAGCTTTCTTCATTTGGGATTGCTTAAACTTGGAACTGCAGTAAGAAATTATCACTTTTACTGTAACTTTTTAAAAATTTCTGCATATATGAGATTCCTTTCTGCAGAAATTTTCACGAGAAAAAAAAAAAAAAAACGATTTCCAACTCAAGCGTCCTTAAATGTGATGCACAACTGATGCATGATATTGGAGCGCCATCCAGTGTTGACAAGCAGAAACTTCAGACTACAAGCTTCTGTGTGCCAAACATTATCAAAATGACACTTCTGCAGACCTAACGTAAATGCCACTTTTCATCGTAATCTGTCAGACGGTGAGGCTCTCTAACGTCTGCTGAGGAATGACAGCAGCCGGACGGTTCTCCCTCGAGGGAACCGGGGCAGGAAGTAACACAGTGTCAGCCCCTCCAGCGGCATCAATAATAGATGAGGGAGGAGAAGCTGGAAGCTTTTAGCTGACATAACAAGCCACTCTACATATTACACCCACTCAGACGTATCATCTCAGATGACCTGCTCCGTGGGTGGGGTCAGAGCGGCTTCCATCTGCTGAGTCAAGTGTGGAGCAACTGATACTAACAAGTAAAGAAGCACTTCTCTGTTAAATTTTAAGCATGCTCTCTCAAGAGTTAAGGGAGTAAAGGAGCATTTACTTGTTTTCTGCATTTCAAAGCCTGACGTGTTTTCTAATCTAAAACAGCAAAAAAATTACGCCGGCATCAAAAAGTTTAAAGCTTTACTCTTTAGGGTAAACTTTTGCAAGAACACATTTCTCTGAGCACCATCCATCATCGACACAAGTGTTGCACTACCAGGATTCACCAGCTGGGGGCAGTGTTGGCCCAGACATGCTCATGGCAACAGTGGAGCCAAGAAAAGCCTCACCTCGGGCTACTGTAGCACACCTCCCCCGTGGCTTAGCAAGGCTAATCCATCCTGAATATTCTCACACAAAACTCTGCGCGCTGTATTAACTCGTCTCTTTTCTCCATTTATAATGCAACACGTCTGCCGCCCCTCCTCCTCTGTACAGCCACAGGCTTGTGTACCGCGTCCCAGCTAAAATAGCACGCCATTCATTCAGAGTTATTTCAGTCAATGGATTTGTGTCTTACGAGGGCAGCCACAGCAGCTTGACATTAGCCTACACACAGAGACACACACACACACACACACGAACTGCAGGTCCCTCACAAGGATACACTGACTTAGTGATCCTATATCTGAACCACCTGAGGCTTAGCTGTCAAAACGGTGCGGCATTCCAGCACCAGAGCTCAGCCAATGGGATGATGGCTGTGTGTCATGGTAACAATCTCCAAGGAGACATGGAGAAAATACACAGGGATGGGCAGAGGTACAAGCAGAGGGGGAAATGATGGGAGGTGTAGAAGGAAAAAGAGAGGAAAGGCAACTTAGGAGAGAAAAAATAGTTCCCTTTGTCGAGGAGGAAGCAGGAAAGGAGTAAAAACTAGGGACTGGATAATTCCTGGACGTAGTCATCCATTTGTTACTAGAGTTGATTTTGAAGCCTATTAGAGGCAGTAACCATATTGGAAATTCTGACTCAACCTCAACCTACTTAAGGTGGGCTTCTGTCTACTTCTGGCACGCCTCTGATTCGCTGATTTGTAAGTTTAGTATCTTTACAAACTCTACAAACTGCATTAGCTACAGCTGTTGATGCTCCTTGGTGAAAATGCATTAAAAGTTCACTCTGCTAAACGACACTGGCCTTAAATGACGTGTAATACCACTACTCCCTGCTAAGTAACCAACAAATAATGTGTTTAATCAAGCGGTGGTGAGGCCCGTGTTAAAGTGTGTCATGTGAGCAGTCGGCAGGCTGTGACCCTGCGCCCTGTGGTTACATAAAGACCACTGCCTTCAAGCTACATGGGGGCAGGAAGCTGGGAGCACCTGCATTACTCAACTGCTTTTTATGGCCCGCGATGCATTTCATTTCCTTAGCCAGCATTACACATACACCCACAGCACGGCACGTTAAGACTATAATAGCCAAAGGTGCACCACAGGAGGTCTTGCATAATGACATGTCTGCTGTATCGGTGCAACCAAACTCCAGAGCAGCTGTAAAAGTGGAGCTTTGATCACTCTTAGATGAAATAAATCCAGCTGATGGGTGCAGGAGTTCACTTTAGAGAGTTTGATCCTCTAACATCCATCAACCTGGAGGGTGAATAGCACGGCAAGAGTTTTAGGGGTAAGAAGTGTCAATAAAACTTCAAGGTTTTTTTTTTTTACCAGTGAATGCAGCAGTGCCCCCTTCATTCTTTTTCTGTTGTTAGATTCAGAATGAAAGGAGAGCAGAGGGGACAGTTCTGGCACAGTTTGATTCAGCTCCACCTGAGGCCTAACATCCCCAAAGAGTCATGTAACACGACATGCAAACTTAAGCCTAAAGTGCCCTAGATACATATTTTTCTCCCAAAAAAATGTGACGTGTCTATTTCAAGTCTGGAAAAATCTGCATTTTACATTTTCTAAGCAGAATACCAATCATATACATGTCTGTTTAACATGTGTATAAATAACATATTACCAAGACGAGTGCTGTATGATGCTTCCTCCTACTTATTCTGAGCCCACATTGACATGGAAATACCACGAATGGAAAGAAAGCAAGGTAACTGACTCAACTGCCATTTAGAGGAATGTCTCTTTTCATTCAGAGCCCTTCAGCACGCAGTGTGACCCACATTGCTTTAAAACAATGGGAGAAATCTGGGCTCACAAACAAGCTTTGACATCGAGTATTTTGCCTCGTTATTCTGAGCAGCCCGTAATTCAAGCGCTGCGGCCCATTCAAATGAGGATCAGATATGAATTTAGTCTTTGGACGGATATAAATAGACGGGTAAACAAATAGCAGCAGATACGCAGATGGTTATCTGGAGGAGAGAATGAAAATTTAGAGTAAAAAAAAAAAAGGTCTGGCGTACAATCTTTGCATTGATGGACATCGTGGACATTCACTTGAAGAGGGGAATGGAATGAATGTCTTTACATGAAGAATAAAGTTATTAGTATTTATTTTTCCTGTTTTCTCTTGAATTGAATCCGTTCCAGTCATGGCAGTGTAAATTCTTCTTGTAAAAAAATAATTAAACTTTCAGAAATAATCCAACACATCCAACGTCAGCGATAAAGAGAGAAATTTCTACTGACACAGACTTAAAATAGACTCCAGCAGATGAAGTTTGCAGTAGAAAGTGTGAAAGCTCCAGAGAGAGCAACTGTCTACACCAAGTTTCATGCGAACTCAACGGCTGTCAACCTGTTAACACTTTAGCCTGCTGGTGTCTGTGTAGATTGACAGAGCACCTGTGTGTGAGGGATTTATCCTCCAAGGACCATGAACCTCTGAATCATACTAATCAGACTGCAGTTACTGTTTAAAGGTCCTGTGAGGAACTTTTTATCTGTGCAGGTTACAGCGCCCCTCTGTGGACAAAGTATTACCTTTAATCTCTTACCCTGTAAAATTTAAAACATAATTTTCTCTTCCTGTTAATCAAAATGCTTGTTTGCTTGAAAGAGTTGTTGCATCAAAAATCAGTATGCACAGCCAAAACTCCATTAGGCGGATTAAATAGACTACTGTTCTTGCCATAGTGTAGTTATATGGACTTGCTGCTTTTTTGTCTTGTGTTGTAGTAAATCAAAGATCTGTAGAGTTTTTCGCCATTGTTTACTATTGTTTGAGCATGCCAGGAAACCTCTTTCCCTAACTGAGAAAATATTCTGAAGATTGTTCAATAGTTTAAGAAGTTAATGAAGCCTGAGACAAATACTTTGCAGACTCACACATACGACCTGTGTCAGTGGGACTTACCAGCAGCAGTGGAGCTGCACTGACAGTCAGGAGCAGGGAGGCCCGGCCTGGAAGGTGGCCTCACGTCACAGTCCTCCAGCAGAGGTCAGCCTCTGGAAAACAGGAAACAAAACATCACATGTAACTCAACAAACGCTCAACAATGTGACTTATAGTTTTTAATTAAATCAGACCTTGTAGAAATTCACAAACATTGGAAACCCACGGTCTATTATGCAGTTCACTCTTGGACAATATACTCGATGAACACTGCACATACTACTTGATGCAACAGGCAGTGAGAACAATACTATCTTGTTTCAGGTTAGAGATAGCACACTTAATCACACCAATAGGGGAACACTGCCATAGAGGTTACTGATAGTATGGGTGTAATGCAATACAAGGGCTGTCCCCACGTCAAACTGTCCTTGTGAGATATGAGCTAATTGCAGTTTTTTTTTAAGGAAAATATGGAACAAATAGACGCACACTGAAAAAACATACCACTTCCTATTGTGTAACACTTCCTCTGATTCACTTCAGGTTTCTACAAGGCTCCCTGCTTCCTCCTGTAAGAGCTCTGCAACACAATGCACTTTTTTCATTCAGCTGAGGCCTCACATCTCGAGAAAAAAGGCAACCGAGCCTATAATTCTTGATTTAAATAACATAAATTTATAAGGAAATAAAAGAATGATACATGAGTCATTTCTAAGTAAGTTTGGAGGTTTGAAAGCCACAAGTCCTGACTGAAAGTAAAAGCTCAGTAGACTGTGAGACCATTAGGACCACGGCACTTCTCTCTTTGCCAGCCCTGCATACAAATGCACGGAAATAGTGGCTGTGTTGGTCATGCATGAGTGTGATCAGACTTCAAACCCTGAAACTTCAAAAACCCACAAAGCCGGTAAAAGCTGTGGAAAAAAAAAAAAGAGAGACAGTCAAGGATGCAAACAAGATGAAATGAGAGGTCGTAAAAAAACAACAAAGTCAGGAATAAAAAGGAGAAAAATGAAGCTTTTTTTTTTAATCCCATGTTGCAACGGAGACCATGACTTGTTTGTAATTCAATTATGCTTACAAGTCACAGGGGACACTGTGGGAGACATCTGTGGAGGAGCATCATGAGAGTCAGCTGTGCATCATGCCTACAGCTGGGGGCCACGACATACGGTCAGATCATCCCTTGAATGAGCACATGAGGTTAAAAGGGTCACAGTCAGACCGACAGTATGCAAAGTAAAGCAGGGTGTTAGTCTTGGAAGGAAAAGAGAAACTGTAGACTGTGGACGCTGCGGTGCAAGTAAACTCTGACATAAGCAAAAAGCATGTCTTCTGGTTGTAGGTGTCATTTGCTGACTGACCCAGCTGCTGCAAGACACTTTCACAGTGAGGCGACTTGACGGTATTTTTGATAGACTACAGCTCAACACTGCTCTCTTCATACTACTTCTATGACAGTTTGTTGTGTACACTACATCAAAAGGATGGAGTCATTCACCTCAGAGGCACTGTGGGAAAAGACCCACATGATGAGATCATTCAGAAGGCCACTCTGTGTTTGTGTGCATTGCCTTCGAGCAACCATTAAATCAATTGGAAAACTGCAGCCCACTTAACCAGCGCCACCGTGGGGGGCTGAGCGTTTCATGTTTCTATTCACTCTTTATCCTAAAACCTGAGAGAGGTCTTCAAAACAACGTGTTGAGAAGTCAATATTCGTGAATTCACATTACTTTATCCGTGTTCTCACATCTTCAATTTGTATCAGTGATTACACAACAGTTTAGGTGTATTTTTTCATTTGTTTTAATTGCCGGCATTACATAAAAGGTTTAATTAATGTGGGTCAACATGTGTGGGCCAGCTGTAAACTGTGCGTCTGCAAAGCATGTGCTGAATGTGACTGTACAGCAGACCGCTGATCTAATCGATAGGATCCATACGGGGGTTTGTCAGACTGTCACGCACATGCATCAAATATAAGGTATCAACAGTTCACAACAAATATGACTCAAACATTAGTTTCACTTGTTTTTATTATTAACTTGGAATTACACCTCAGAAAAACTGCATTTAGCAAGAATAAATATCATGAGGTTAATTCATCCTAATCTGTAAACTGCAGCTCATGAGCTCCTATAGCTTATCTACCACTTACAGTATGCAGTTTTGTATCAAATAACTAAAATAATTCTAGTATTATTAAGTGCATTTAATAAGCTTTTGTGACAGACAACATCCAAATGTCCTCATACCTTCACCTCTAAAATAATATTACATCCATTATCTGTTTACTGACTGATGCTTTTTGAAAATTAAGAACTGTAGGAGGTTTGCAGCTCACATTCTTATTCACTCGGTGCTTGGAAACAGGGACAAGGACATTAGTCCCGCTAAATCTCCTGATCAAGCCATGATGGACGTAGCCTGACGTAGCTGAATGGGACGTCAAGTTGCTCAACAAAATTAGCAAGAAAAACTCATCGGTTTACTTTTAAAAAACAGACAAAAAAAGTGGCTAAATGTAAAAAGGCGACTCTCGTACTGGCAGGATGGTGATTCACGAATTGAATCAACACCACGAGCGCAGCAACAGTCAGCATTTCAGTCTCCCACAGATTGATCAACATGAAATCTAGTGAAATGAACGAAACGTTGAGTGACAGGAGGATCTCTGATTGTCCTTTAGGAAGAGGTAAAATTTTAAAAACTATGAAAACACTTGTGTTGATGCAGAAAAGCTGCTTTATAGTCCATGATTATGATTACGTTTTAAGTTGTTGGGTCAGTGTTTTAGTGTTGTATAGCTGGTTAGACATGTTCAGCTATTTTGAGTTTCTGTCTGATTTGGTTATCATGGGAATTTCAAGCTCATCGCATAACACAGTGAGTTGTACAGTTATGTACTATGTAAACCAATGATGACGGCAATCAAGTTCCTCAATTTATTCAAAGAATGGTTTCAGCCCAATTTGGGTGGGACTAAGTCTACATGTTTAGTAAGGGAACTCTCAAAGTCTGCAGAAATCATCCTTTGGTGACAGGAAGCATCTCACTGCGAAGCCTAAAAAGGAGGACAGCATTATTTGAGTGATTTCCTCTGCATGATCAAAATGCAAATGAGCTGCTGATTATGTGGCCTACATTTTTCACATTTTCTAAATTAAAGCATGATTCAATACACGCACAGGCTGTATAGGGGTATGCAGTAGGACGGTATATTTAACAGGTTTAACATCATGGAAGCAGAAGGATTGGTGCGGGGGCAGCACAGCAACAGTTTCATGCAAAAAACTGAATTTCTTGCATGCTGCTCTGCCATCTGTGGTGACTCCCCCTGCTCTGTGTGTCTGCTGACATGTAGGCGCACACATGAGGGTCTCATGCCTGACTTCACATACTGTACTAAAATCATCTCTGCCTCAACAGACAGGATACGAGGATGATTTGACCATTATTGGTTGTGATACAAAAACACCCCAGCTGCTTTAAAATGAGAAAATCCCACACGGATCCTGATTATTACTGTGTCCTCTTAAGATTTTTCTCAAATCTTAGCCTGGAGGGCTTTTCTCTGTGTTTGTGTGAAAGGTGTGGGGGCAGGGCCACACAAAGTGACAGCTTTCTTTCCCTTTTGAATATGCCACGTTATTTATAACCTTGTGTTGAAAGGTTCTATGCAAAGTCCACTTTCCTTCTTTCCACATTTGCTCAGATGATGCTGCTGCAAACAGAGAGAATTGAATGAGAGCAGCAGTTGTGATGTCTTTTGATGGAGTGCCTGCATTGAAAAAAAAAAAAGGAGATATGCATTTGTGCTCTCTCTCATATTAAGTGCACGCTCAGGTCTTTAGATAAGCCAACATCACAGGACGGATGTGAGAAAGTTGAGAGGAATGCTGGAGCCGAACAGCACAGCCTGAGCTGCAGATCAGAAACTGGCACACGTTCTGACTCACTCACATTAGAGAAGCACATCGAAAGTACATCACCAGCCGCCCCTGAAGGCTGAAATTCAGCACAGTTAGGGGGGACCTTCACAAACAGCCAGCATGTGTTAATCTACAAACTATTAAAAAACCTGTGAACAAGACAGCTCAGCACCTCATGCTCCTGAATCCACCGACCGGAGAGATAAAGAAGGAACAGCTTGGCATATCTCACCTCTCCTCATACAGTGTTCAGAAACAGGCTGACTCAAAGGGGGGCACAGTCAGCCTCTCCTGAATGACTCAAGTGTGTCATCATTGTAACCATGATCAGCTTATGGACAAGAGCAGACATGCAATAGAGTGTGTAACCAGCATGCAAACAAGATTAGCGCTGAAAAGTCCATGCAAACTTCTCCTTTGTCTATACAGCCAAATGATTACGTTTATAAAGCTAGTGTGATAGTAAACGCAGAGTCTATTAAACTATAATCTTCACGACAACAGGAGAAAGTGTTGTTGAGATTAAATGATGCCGAAGTCCCCGACTCGGCAGGATTAAGCCGTGTCATGATAATGGAGTTAGAGGGGAATGCTGAGCGCGCTGAAACGCTCCGAGGAAGTTAATCCAAATATCTGAACAAACAGCAGTAAGCTATAGAGAGGGATCAATACGGCTCTGCTCTGCAGCACCTGACCTGGCCTGCTGCCTGCAGTATGAATAATACATAAATAAAAAATATCAATATTACTGCATTCAAGTGCCTACTAACTGCTACAAGTGCTGAAGTTGATTCTGGACTTGGTGTGTTCGAAAACTCCTAAAAATACAACAAGGACAATGTGTTGAATATCTTCAAAAGTGATGTGTTTTAACCATCAGCTCATTGGTCCAACCTTATGACAGCTTGGAAATTATTTAACAGCTAAATATCTTACAATCTTCACGATAAACACAACACCAAAGTCTGAGATTTTCTGATGTTTTCTGACTCCAAAAGCTAGCTATTAGCCACTCTCAGCTTATTTGGCACAAATGTAGTTATAGAAAATAAAGCTTTTTGTTTTCATCAGGAGGGCCATATTTTACGATATATCGTTTGAGCATCGTCATGGCGATAAACGTGTACAAGATAGTCACACTGCAGAGCCTGCTATGTCGGACGCGAATTAACTCATCTATTTTCAAGTGTAGCTGACTGAGATACTTTGCATGTGCTGTGCAGCGATCCACAAATCACATTCGTTCTTTACTCAGTTGCCAATCAGACTGCCCTGCCAGCTGTCAATCAAAATCAGAGAGGAGGAAACCACGCCCCTGCACATGGAGTGTGTTGCTTGCGCTGCCGGTGCTGTGCCGAGAAACGGATGCCAGCCGAGAATTACTTTGGGAACATTACTCACCACTGTTTAGCCCAACAAATAAGAATTGAACAGGTTTTAAATTGTACATTTTCATGGTCCGCTCTACTATAAGCGGTGCGCATTTCCGTGAGGTGCATGCAATTCTCTGCGGTAACAACAACAACGATTGCAAAATGAGCAACAAACAAGAGAAAACCAACAAAAACGAAGACTTGTAGCTAAACAGAAAAGCAACGTCAGTTATCTGGAATTATTTCAGTTACAAGAAGGATGATGTCGACCAAAACATGTTCTGTGTTCATCTGTCGCCACAATAACGTCCCAGCACAATAAAAGCTAAAAAGATCTCTAAGAAAGACAGAAGCCATTCTACTAACATTCACAAAAAGAGGTAAGATCAGTGCAGGTTAACTGTCATCAGGATTTCAACATAAAGTTCAATCCAGGTCATCTGGTGAAAATTCCTGCATTTTTTAATATCGCAATTTATATCGCAGGGTTTAAAAACATTGCAATGTTTTTTTTTTTTTATCGTGCAGCCCTAAGACAGGAGCTTTCTTTCTCCTCCTCAGTTGTTCTGATCAAATTTAAAAGTAGGTTAAAATGCAAACAGCTCTGTAAACAGTAGTAAAGATGTTGGATTGTTGGCATGATGTTGGTCGCCATTCTCTCAAGCTTCTATGGAGTGTATTTCATACCACAAGAACCCACAAGAGTAATTGAGTCCACCCACTCGCTAGAAACCACAAAAACAACCAACGTGCAAGATATAGGGTGACAAAAATTTAAAGCAATGCTTAGGAAGCTTAAATGGGTCAACCATGCATCTGACTAAAACTATTCTCAGTTTTAAGAAGAGGGTAACAAGCAGCCGGTATATGAAAGTCTTTGTAGCAGCACAGTGATCTGTCATTGTCATGAAAACCCAACACAATGCTGCTTTAACCGATCATGTTAAAAAATGGCGCACAGGATGATCGGTATGACTGGATTGCTTTGGTGATCCCTCATACCGAGAATAACTGCAGTAACCCAACCTGAGGCCAGCCGTTCGCTGACACTGGGTGTGTTTAAGGGAGTGGGTTGCACTGAGGCGTCTGGACTCCATGGTGACTTTGTGACATACCGGATGACTCAACAATTTATTCAAAAGAAACTTTCCAATCAAGGTTACAGCCTAAAAAGAAGTCATTTTTCATCACTACTTTTTCACACAACTAAGTAACTATTTACACAAATAAAGTAGTGAAAAAAAAAGGCTTGGAAAAGTAACCAAAATCCATCATTTTAATGTCAAATGTGGCTCCATTTGTCAGCCGGTGACATGAGAAAAGTCGATGTAGCTCAGCCCTAAAGGTCCTCGAAGGACTCCTGGAAAAACGATGAATAATTAAAATAACAACCACTACACTCACTCTACACTCGTCTATCACCGGGCTGCAGTTTCTACAGCTGTCCAACCCAAGCAGCACATTTGCTGGGGAAAGTATGTGAAGAACCCTCTCATATGGGCTTTTTCAGGGTTACCGGGTTCAGTGGCCTCAAATCAGTCAACATGAGGGACTGGTGACTGAAGCTTTGAATTCATCATCTTGGAAATGAAAAAAAAAAGTCTCTTCTTAATCACATTCTTATAATCTCTGTGCCTGTTGTTTAAGAAGCATAATGCAATGATGTCAGACATGAAATTCAATCTTATTTCAGAACCCCTTATAGAAAGATACTGAATCTGTGTCATTCTAAGATTACATTATGACTTGACTATGACCAAAAAAAAGTCATATGCAGAAGCTGGAGGAAAAAATGAAAAACATCTTCCTTTTTATGTTTGCTTTGTGTGAAAATGTTACTCAGGTGTCAAATGCATGTTTATTTTCAAAGACAGGCCATGCCAAAATGCACCTGCATGCCTCTACCTGCAGTGGAAATGAATTTACGAGAAAACGCACTCTGCCAAATGAACCGCATTCTCAATTCACTGTAGTTTTACAAGCCAGAGGCATGAGAAAAACTCTGAGAGGTTACTTTCCAAACCCGCAGATTTTTTCTTTTTCATCCCACCTTTGTAACTGTGCAACTTTTGTACAAACTGAATCAGAACTCGCACTAGACTTCCAGAGAAATCCTTCTAAAAGTCATTCAGTCGACTGTTTTATTCCATCTGTCCACACCAGAGCGTGAGGCATGGCATGGCAAGTTGTACCACGTCTCAAAGTCGTACAACCATGGCACAAGTCAGAGATTTGTCATCAGTTTCCCAGCCTATACTCCTGCACCTCTACACTGCAGCAGCACACATTAAGGAGCAAACATGAGGGCCCATCTATCAAAGGAGATGTCTTTACATAGAGTGAAAGGTGATACTTCCTTCTTTCAGAATGCACAGAGGCAGATATGAGGAAGACAAATTGCAAAAGAGGTCAAGTCAAGTAACCTGCAGGCGTGTTATTCCACACTGCAGACCTGGGTTTGCTATAAAGGACTGGGACTATTTTGCTTGGGGTGCAGTTAATCCAGGTTTGATGGGACAAAGAAGTGTAGCCCGCCTTCAAGAAGAGAGGTGAGGATCCAAGTATATCAACTCTGGCTGACAAGTGATAAAATCTCCCTTTTTCCATTGTCCAAAAGAAAAATACTAACAGAGACTTAATTTACACCTTAAATACCCAAATAAACCTAGTGTGGTCAAATCTGCCAAATCTGCACAAGCAGGTGGTGTGAGACTTAATTTAAAGTAAACGTTGTGTCACAACCACAAGAGAGACGCATTCACCATCAAATCCGGCTTTCTGGTTGTTTCACTTCCACTTTCACTCAGACCTGCGCAGAAAACTGGGCAGAGAGGAAATCACACAGACATGCGATAGCCGTGTTATGCAGACAGCAAATGAAAAGGGAACCTTAAAAATCCCATGCACTAAGATGTTCTTAAATGATGAGGGGCCTGAGATGAAATGTAACTGTGGTATGCACCTTTAATTGAGTAAAATTTTGAGTATTCCAATGTCATACACTACAATACATAATTTGCAGATTGATAAAGTATATTCATAACAGTAAGCTTGATAAGAGTATTCATATAGGAGGAATGTCCAGAGGGGTGGCATTTGTTTTGAGTGTTTAAAGAGTTAAGTTTGGCATATTTAGGGCCTTTGTCCACTGATGTCAGTTTTTGCTCTGGCAGCCCACAATATTTTAGTGCACATAGACCTTTGCTGTTGCTAAGTTACAATATTTGTTTGTTTGTTGCACTTCCAGCAGCCCCAATCATAACCACTTAGTATATATATCTAAATTCTCTGCATGCCTCATCTTCTCTTCTATTTGATAGAATTTTGTTAGGACAGCATAGGAAGAATTGACAGAGATAGTGCTTTGGATTAGCAACAGATGTATAACTGGAAATTGTACCATCAAAAAGTCAAGAGTAGGTGCCTCTTTATGGACCTTTGCTTCCATTTGTTGACATGTTGATATCAGAATTTGCGACTCTTCTTGACTTTGGTAGGTTGATAATGGACATGGGCCCTTGATTAGCATAGCAGTGATACAAAAGCTAAAATATTTTCAGATGTGGAAGTGAAGAAAAGGAAAATAAAACCAACTTTGGGGGTGTTTTTGCATTTTAAATGTGCTGAAAAATAACTGAGAATGTTGAGACCACATTACTGTGTTGATTTTATATTTAATAAAGGTGCTGCCAAAACTTAAAAACTCTGCTGGTAGACACAGGTCCTTAAATGTTGATCCTCTTGTAGCACTCTATAAAAGTACTTTCTTTTCTTTTACAGATTTTTACATCAGTGTGATATTATGTTTACAGTAAAAGCAGATGTGATGTGGCAGAAAGGGAAAATAAGTACTGGTTTACAATGTGTGAATGCGCATGCCTACTTTTTTCCACCCCTGTGCGAGTCAGTGCTCCATTAGATCACCCCATCAAAAAGTCTGGACACGCCCCTGTACATAAAGTCTGATACACTCAAATATAGACTTTCATTCAAAGCAAGTATGCGTATACATATTGACAAACCTCAACATCAATCTCGCTGGGATCATACCAGTATAACCAGATTGAGTCATAATCAGAATCAAATTAACAGAAACTATTTCAGGAGTATTTTTGAACAAATGGATTACAACTTTCACCAGAGGAAATTCTCTAAATGATTTCCTCACAAGAACTAAAACCTCATTTTCAATAAACTTGTGTGGAAATCTCTCTTTGTGCTTTGTTTTGAATGAAAAAGCACCGAGGATCAGCTCTAAGCATGCTCCAGCTGCCGGTGTGTGCATTTCCTTTAATGCAGCTTTAATGATGCATCATTTACTGCCTTCAAACCAGCACTCCTAATCCCAGACATACGGTTAGTTTAAAACTACATGGATCACCTGGGTATCTAGTTTATCCGAGGCTGAACACACCTGAAAACTTGGCATTAAACATATATGGGTCAGGCGTGTAACATTTAATGCCTGTGGTCAAATAAAGGAGGAAATCTCGCTTTAGCAGGAGCCCAGCGTCTACCTTAAGAAACCTACCGTTGCTCCATAAAGGGGAAGTTAACGGTAACGTCAAGGTTTCAAGCTGTAAAACACGAATACTTATCGATGTATGTATTTTACAGAAACTTCACGATAGGTGGGTTTGAATCCACCCCACACGTTCATGATTCATCATTAATTTGCCCCATAGAAACAAGATTTAACACTCAAGCGTGTCACACTGACTGGCAACCGGTGGGCAAGTTAAGGCGGTTAGTTTGAGAAAACACTAAAAAGCGACAAAAGTGGAGATTTTCTCTCTTTTACCTTGATGCTCGTGGAGAAACAGTGGAGTCGACGTCTGGATACCACGCTAGGAGCCAGCGGTACGGGCTGAAAGGAGAAGAAAAGCGATTTGCTGCTGCTGCAGTTTCCGGGTTGGCTGCTCAGCGTCACTGTGGCCGTCAAACGAGAGGGGAGTTCGGTTTGACCCACCTTTGAGCGCGGAGGGGGGAAGTTATGCACCTTCCTTCTGCAACTGAGAAGAGACCCGCCCGGTCAGCCTACACCCGCTTCTGTCCTCCAACGGCTACTTCCACCGGATTACAAACTGACCTGGACTATTAATATGTCTCACCGCGGCTTTAATTAGGTCCTTCTACCGTTACTCATGCTAAACTGTCCAACGGTTCATACACTCCTGCCAAAGTGTCTCCAGTCAAAAAAGATGGTATTTCCCAGAAGACGCTCTAGGCGGCGCTAGAGTGACATTTGACCCTCCATTTTGACCCCCGGGTCACTTTGAGGCAGGCTACATAATGAGAAGGCTAGTTAACTAGGCTACGAACAAAGCCTCCTTCTTAGAAACGCCTGAAGTCCGATTGAGTTACTCTAAAAAAGCCTCTCAGCCATTATGTTGGTTCGGCACTATTTTGGTTTACATTTTTAACACACACAAACAAAAACCTTCCACTAAACACTATAAGTATATCACAAAATGAGTACAAAAGAGTATTCCTGAACCAAATACTTAGAAATATAAGTTCATCATTAAAGAAAAATACAAAATGATACAAAAATATATATATTAATATATATATATAAATATATTTGTTTCAACATACATTGTCGGTTTCTTTGATAGGGGAGAGTGGGGTAAGTTGAGCCACCCATTGTTGCTTGGAAATGGTGAAAGAAATTGATCATGTGACCAAATATTTAGGAGATGGGCATCAATTCATGGAGTCTGTGAAGGTTAGAAGCACATGGATGAACCCCTTTTTCACTCTTGAAAGTGAATTTAGTCTGTCATAAGTTTTATTAGAATTGTGTTCAGACCAAAAAAGATCATTTTAAGTTTTTTTTTTATTCATCAATTGTGGTATCTATGAGCTACAACTTGAGGTCAAAAATTTAGCTTAGAGGACTAATAAAGTCATAATAGTAGTTCTGGGGTAAGGATAGTAGGGATACGACTCAACTTACCCCGGTCCTATGGTCAACTTACCCCACACACAGGGTAAGTTGTCCATAGGAGACCACTTTTTTTTGGCATGCTATATTATCAAGACAGTTCTGTTTACACTCATTCTGTTGGTTTGCAGGGATGCACAACATCTTGAAATATATGCAGATACACTAGTCAGAGACAAAACTATGATTGCCTTGATGTATTGATCTGAAATATGAAAGATAGCTCATCTTACCCCACTCTCCCCTATATGATGGAAGTTAACTACAATAGTCGTTGGATACAGCTGCTTCAACACCACACCTGTTTGTAATATGAGCTCATTATCCACAGCAGGAGGCTCTGCAGGACAACTGATTGAAACTACCTGTCTCTGAAAATGAAAACAGATCAAGATTTATATTAGCCTTAGTCATTATCCTTATTGTTTTTTTGCAAAGTATATTATTTGCAAGAAAGCCTTCTTAGCACTGTCTCGGTTTCCAAATAATATTTCTGTCCACTACAGTGTCAAACATTTAACCAAGATCACACAACACACCAACAGCCAACAATTAAGGCTAATCAAGCAGCTCACCTGTCTTTGATTACATGGCTGAGTTGAGCTTATAAAGGGACTCTTTGCTAGCTGTTTGGATCCATTTGATAGAAGAATTTGAGAGCAAGACTGTGGTTGTTTCAACTCTGAAGTGTAAAGTTAACTTTGTAGGTTAGCAGTCCAAAATTAAAGCATGGGGAAGGAGAAGACTCATGTAAATGTGGTGATTATCGGCCATGTGGACAGCGGCAAGTCCACCACCACTGGCCACCTTGTCTACAAATGTGGAGGCATTGACCAGAGAAGACTGGAGAAGTTTGAGAAAGCTGCTGCACAGGTAAGAAAGAGGGAGAAAAGTCTGATTAATATAAGAAACTGAAAAGAAAAGAAACGTTAGAGCCATGTTTTGCTTTAACAGATGGGGAAGAGCTCCTTCAAATTTGCCTGGGTGCTGGACAAGCTGAAGGCTGAGCGTGAGCGAGGCATCACCATCGACATCTCTCTGCTGAAATTTAACACTCAGAAATACACCATGACGATAATTGATGCCCCTGGGCACCGTGACTTCATCAAAAACATGATTACAGGGACTTCACAGGTAAGCAGCTCTAGAACACTCATTTTATGTGAGCTGAATTACATTTTTCTTCACCCACAATGTCGTTTCAGGCTGACGTTGCTCTCCTGGTGGTCTCTGCAGCCAAAGGAGAGTTCGAGGCCGGTGTGTCCAGGAGTGGTCAGACCAGAGAGCACGCCTTATTGGCCTACACTCTAGGTGTGAAGCAGATCATCGTCTGCGTGAACAAAATGGACCTGACCGAACCACCTTACAGTCAGAAACGTTACGATGAAGTGGTGCGAAGTGTGGGCAGCTTCCTCAAGAAGATTGGCTACGATCCTGTGGCTGTTCCCTTCGTTCCGATTTCTGGCTGGACCGGGGAGAACATGATCACTGCGACTCAGAGGGTGAGGACAAATTTTGATTTAAATATTTAAGGGTGTGAAGGGACTGGAATTGATGTGATTTCTCTCTACAGATGCCTTGGTTCCAAGGCTGGAAGGCCAGACGAAGGGAGGGAAGTGCAAGCGGCAAAACTCTACTAGAAGTCCTGGACTCTATTCAACCACCAGTTCGCACCATAAACAAGCCCTTACGATTACCTCTGCAGGATGTCTACAAAATTGGAGGTTGGAGCAGAGTCAATGTTAATGCTAATTTTTAAGTATTGTGTACACAGTTTAGTTCCTATTGAGAAAATGAGGCTCTTGTTTGTGAAAAGGTCTTAAACTTGTATTTTGAAGAAGGAGTTTAGTTGTAATTCATCCTGTTTATTTTTTAAGGCGTTGGGACTGTCCCAGTGGGCAAGATTGAAACTGGAGTCCTCAAACCTGGCATGACCCTGATGTTCTCCCCTGCCAAGCTCACAGCGGAAGTGAAGTCTATTGAGATGCACCACCAGGGCCTGCAGACTGCTCTGCCCGGGCACAATGTTGGCTTCAACATCAAAAACGTGGCTGTGAAGAACCTGCGGCGTGGGGATGTCGCTGGGGATGCCCAGCACGATCCTCCATCAGACGTCAGCAGCTTTGAGGCTCAGGTTAGTCCACTTTGAGTAAATTAGAAATGTAAAATTACCCTTTTCCATCTAATGTGGATTTTCTGTCTCTAGGTTATCATCCTGAATCATCCAGGGAAGTTAAAAGTAGGATACTCCCCTGTCCTGGACTGCCACACAGCCCACGTCACCTGTCGCTTTGCTGAGCTGAAAGAGAAGATTGACCGCCGCACAGGAAAGAAGCTGGAGGATCACCCGCAGATTCTGATGTCAGGAGATGCCGCCACGGTCAAATTGGTTCCCATCAAGCCCATGTGTGTGGAGAGCTTCTTCACATACCCACCATTAGGTACAACTTAGTCTGAATTCTTTTTTTAAAGGAAATCACAATTTATGGTTTTACTGTATTAAGGGTTTTTCTTTTTTTATTTCAGGTCGCTTTGCAGCCAGAGACCTGAAGCAGACGGTCGCAGTGGGAGTCATTAAGTCAGTGGAAAAGGACCAAGGGTCAAAACACAAAGCCCAAGTGTGTAAATAAGTTTATTTACCAGTATTCTGGTATGACTGAGAACAGTTATTTTGTAATTTTTTGTGTTTTGACACAAAGTATTTATGTTGTCTTTAAAAAGTAATTATTCCTGTGTTAATGTTTAAATCCAAAGAAGCTGTAAGATATTTCAAACTTTGGTTTATATGAGAATTGAAAAACAAAATAAAGCCTTATTTGTGATTAAATTGCTCCTCAGTGTCTGGATTTAGCAAATACTCTTAGAATTTGAAAACACTGAAGTTAAGTTGTAAAAATAAAATCAAGTTAAGAAATGTCAAAACTTGTACTCTTTTTATAAATGTAAATAAGGTAAATAAACTTTGTACATTATTTCGATGTGCTTTTGGTGTTTGTAAAACTCTTACAAGGGAGCACTTGCATAGTTAAGGTTCTCGTTTGAACACTTTACACTTCACAGAAAAAGGGTAGGCATGATAGATTCAAGTCATTCCTGGTCTAGTTTATGAAAAGCTTTGATAAAATGCTACCTATTAAGATTGAGACCTATTCATGTCAAACAACTGAAAATGCTACTCTTAGCGGTCTTTAAAACAATCAATAGGCCTCCTAAATTATCCCAAAATTTGCTCAAATCAAGCACCTTACACCTTTAGCTTCTCCTTTTCCATCTCAGGGATTTTGCATGGGCTAAGTTAAAAGTAATTCAAGTATTGACTCTTGGTGTGTTTGGCTTCTGTACCGCATTTTGTCACATTTGGGTGGTGCCAAACTAGCTTCCTAAGATGCTAGCTGTAGCTTTAGCTAGGCGGTGATGGGGTTTGTGGCGAAGTCTTTATCATATCACGGCAAGGGGAAACAACGGTTTTGTAGAGTGCTTAAAAAGATGAACACAGAAATTCAGTTGCAAGTCTTCGTTTTGATGAGCTAACATACTCCTACTCTGCGTCACACCTAGCTAACAATGTACTTAACAAGTAAATGCTGCAACTCAGTAGGAAAAAAGGAGGGGATTTTCACTAAAATCAATCTAGCCTCCATACTGTAGCTACTCAAAGGACAGACACTGACTGTTTATAACAACACCCCTTAAGAAGGAGCTGTTGCTACAAACAAACTTTATACTTTTCATAACTGGAGGTCTTCTTTAATGTAAAGTAAATGCTGACCTAGAACTTCTATTCCTTTATCTGGAGTCCAACTGTACTTTCAGTAAGCTGCTTAGAAATACATTTTCCTCTCTCATACATACCAGAGGTTTTGAAATTCCAAGGGGAGGCACTCACAGATCGTGAAACCACATGGTATGATCGCTATACAACAAAAGAGTAGGCTCAGAGTTGAAGTACAGCACTTTTAATGATACAATGGGTTGATGGGTTTGTTCCTTAACATGGGAGAGAACTGCAAGTCAGTGAGGATTGGGGTGAAAATACATCGGCTCTCCGGCCTTTTACAAAGTCCACTTCTAAAAAGACATCTCTGGTTCAAGAGGCAAACCTGGAAATGTTCTGGATCCAGTAACATGGAATGATATCAACGTGACTCCAACTCAAAAAGTTTCAAGCTCATGAGGTTTTACAAGACATTGAATCGTGAAAACGGGTTAAAGTGGAACTTGTAGCCTGTCAGAAAATCAAGTTATTGCTAAGATGTCCTCTTGAGTTTCCCCGTATGTGTCAATAATAGTGGCTTTAACAACAGGATACTTAATGTGTAGTCCTGCTTGTTTAATAATAGTGGCTCTTCAAACCCTGAGGTGAGCGTCTTTGAATGCAGCACTCCACTCAATTCCAGTCATTGTTACACCATGCACAGAGGAGGTCAAAGGACTGTGGAGATGGCGTCGAGTTCACACACAGAGCATACACACAGTGAACAGTGTAACAAGGAGTAAATTAGTGACCTACAGTGAACCACAGGCTTTGATATTCCACCACACAGTAGCAGCAGGTTTCTATACTGTAAAACAACCAGAATACGTGTACACACAAAGCAAGCAAGAACAAGGAGTACATTTAATGAGATTCTTTTCACTGCGGGAAGGTCAGTGGGAGACTCCTGCCTCTTCAGTCGACTCCGGTGGTAAACAGGGATGCAAGACACAAATAGTGACGTGACCTATTTCACATTCCGTTTCTTATTTGTCCTTTTTCCAGAAATATAAGCTGATAATTACTCAAGGGCAAGTAAAATTAATACAGATAAAATTCAAACTCTACCGCCCTGATGCTTCGTCTGACAGGTAGAGAGAAAGAGAGCAATGGTACATGTTTTGTACAATAAAACATGTATGTACACTCACACACAAATATATATATTTACATACATATATACACAGTAACAGCATAAACATAGACTTTAGGTAAGTGCTAGGGTTTTGAGAGTGGCTTCTTCACAGCCGTGCTATAGGGTTAAGATAATACTGGTAAAGGAAGAATACACACATTCTTTGTACAGCATGGATGAGGGATCCATGGCTAGATGAGCCTTCTTCGGCTTCTTCTTCTTCTTTGTTGTTTTTTTTCTTTAGGACACTTGTCATGTGACAAGAGGTGTTATTGTAGCTATTTACAGGACCTCCCAATTTAGGGAGAGGCATAGTGCAAGTCTGTCTGTCAGTCACTCAGGATGTGCACAAAAGACATGGGGAACACCCCCTTTCTTTCTGGCTCTCCTTCAATGTGCCCGATCTGGAAAGAGAAGAGTTCAAGAGAGCATGTGAGAAAGAGTGGGTAACAGAGGCTTTAGTGTTCTAGTGCATTTGAGATGCAGTTTGAGTGTAAAAGCGTCAGCATCATAGCGAGGCTATACTCACCCACCACTCCTGGTCCTCCTCTCCTGTAACTATGATCACCTCTCCTTCCACAAATGTCAGCTCGTCATCGTTATCCGCCTGGCAGTCGTAGATCGTCTTCACCCGGCGGGCTTTGCTCTTTCCCTAGACACAAAAATAAAACAATGAGTTAAAATTCTTCTTTTCATCTCCCTGATAGTTTATTCTCTGCAGGTTAATTTTTAAATGAAGAGTTGTGTATCTTCCAAAAAAGTTTCTTGTGATCTGTAAAAAAAAGGTTTCAGCATCAGTTAATTCACTCCACTGCTCTGGCTCTACCAAGACACTCTCAGAAAGTGTCAAAGATGAAACATACACATTAAAAAATAATGTATATTTTCTTTATCATAGAGCCTAAACCTGCAGTTTGGATGCCATGTTAACTTGTGTCTGAATCAGCGGTACAATTGTTTAAGGGAATATTTCACTTTCATACCGTGTTTATCTTCCTCGGTAGGGGCACTGGAGTTTCTGCAGTCCCTGTTGGAGTCCCATTGGTGTCCTCAGGAGCAGGTTGAGTGGGGGTCCCTATATTTGCCTGCTGATTTGGTGACGGTGAGTCTTGGGGCTGCGGTTGAGGTTGAGGCTGAGGCTGAGACTGAGGCTGGGTTTGAGGTGGAGGCGGAGGCTGCGTTTGAGGCCTCTGCACCGTCTCTCCATGCGACAGCCTCGGAGCGGACTCGACTGTTCCAGGTTTGGGGGGTATGTCTGCAAGGTGAGGTTTGGGGGGCAGGTCTTTGAGCTGGGGTTTAGGGGGGAGATCTCCCAGCTGAGGTTTAGGAGGGAGGTCGGAGAGCTGCGGTTTTGGAGGAAGTTCTCCAGGTTTAGGGGGGAGTTCAGACGGCTGAGGTTTGGGCGGGAGGTCGCTTAGCTGAGGCCTTTCTGCCAGAGGAGCTTTCTGTGGGGTGTCCGTTCCAGGCGGAGACTTCTGGAAGACCTCTGGAGGAAGGCTGGGCTTATCCATAGACGGGTGGTGTATGGTGTCAATCTTCCGCAATGCCACTAGAGGAAAAATCTCAAATTTAGTTAACCACCTTTTTAATTCAGCATCCTATAGTCAGATAAAAAACTGCACTGGGACTGTACCTTTCTGAGGTAGTTTGGGAAGAACCCTTGGACCAAGTGTAGACTTTGTGTTGCTTGAAGTGGTGCTTGAAAGAGATTTTCCATCAATTTAGTAAGTTTAGTTAAAATGTGACAAAATAAAGAACAGGAGTGTGGAGAGTGTGGAAACTTGTTTGATACAATCAAACCCTGAAGATTTAGAGACAGTACAACAAATATTCAAAACTTGAATACCAGAGTTATCACTTGACTGTGATTTTTCCATTTTTCAGTACCTTTGCTGCTGAGGAATTCCTTCAAACTTGTTAGAAACTGGAGACATCTTGCTGACAGGAGGAGGTGTGGAATCGCTTCCTAAAATATTAACATCCATGACGACAAACAGATTAATTAACACCATCCCAGAGTGCCGAGCAGGGGATTAATTTAATATAAATGTGGAAATAACTGAACATGCTGTGATGGTTAAAAAAACAATGAGGGAGGCGTCATCTGGCTGAGCTTTCCATGAGCCCGGGTTATTTGGAAACTGAGGTTGTGCAATAAAGTGTCATCTTAATTAGTGGTCGGGTGACACAGAATGCACAAAACACCACAGAGGACACATGATCAAAGTGGAGAAACAGTCAAAATATCCCCGTCATACACATATAAGTGGGGGAAACAGGGTTGCAGGTAAGATGACTGAGGTGTGTTTGACTTGTTTTCCCTCGTCTTTTAAAGGTGACTAAAAAAAACAGAATTTTTGTCGTCTCTTTGCGCAATTTAAAAGTTGCCTTGTGACTTTTCGACATTCAGAATGAAAGTTCTTGTGATGAAGATTGGCGATGTTAAGGAGTGTAAAGAGCTATTTCGCTGTTATACTCCCGTACAATCAACATGTTGATGCTCTTAGTTGTTATTTATTGCTGTTGTTAATTAATGTGTCTGTTCTTAATTTTAGATATCGACTTAAACTCTTAAAATCTGCCAGTATTAATGATGCACTTTCAGGCTTTTTCATTGGCTATAATTATATAATAAATATTCCAAAACTGCCTAAATATAACAGTCTGACTCATTTTTTTGATTATTTTGGTCGAAACTACAATTTACCAACCTTCAAATTGCACAAAGAGACAGACAATAAAATTTGGACTAAGCTTCTTCACATCTCGGCAAGACAATTATGTCAAAAGCTTGAGAAAATTTGATCAAAAAGGTTTTTCTTGATCTCATAAAACATTTCTCTGTCTGAATTCAGTTGAAGAAGTCCAGAGAAGGCCACTAAAAGAAAGATAACCCTGTGTTTTTTTTCGGACAAAAAGAATAATTGAGCTTCAGGCTTGCGTCTCACCCCCAGTCAAGCCCCCTTTACTGTGTGGACTGTGAGAGAGCGGGCTGGGTGGGTCAGACAGGGTGCGTTTGTGTCCAGGAGGTGGGGGCGGAGGCCTCTTCTTGGACAGGGTGGAGCTGCCTCCTGGAGTGAGTGTAGAGGGAGGGCCAGATGGGGTAGGAGCTGGAGGAGCGATACATAAAACACATGAGGTGATGAGGACCCCCCACAGAAACATCATCCTATTAACCCCTTAAAACCCAGAGAAGGTAAAGGAGAGGAGAGGATGATGATGATGAAGGATGGAGAAGGAAAAAGGAGCGGAAAATATGGGAAGAGATTTCAAGAGTACGCTTTTGAAGGATGACATAAGAATGTCTTGACGGGGATGCGATGTTTCAATTTTGGAGTGTGGGCACATTTTGTGTCTAAATTTGCTCAGAAATGCGCCTTTTTCTGCCGATAAGGACTCCACGGGTCATTATCTCTGAGAAAGTGGTGACAAAAGCTGCCAACAGAGAGCTCAGCCAGAGAGGAATCAGCTGTGGTTAAGAGTTTACAGCTCAAGGATGGTGGGACTCGATCTACGAATTTAAAAAAAAATCATGTAGGCAAGAAATAATTAACAGGTATGAAGTTTGCCTACATGGACCCATGATATACTTAAAGAAAGACGCCACCAGCCTGTGAATCTGAGCTGTAAAGAAAGAACAACTGACGGGGGGACTTGTATGAGGGGCACACAGCCGAGTTAAGGGGGAGAACGTAAAAACAGGATATTCACTGATGTATGGTCGAGTGCCAGCCAGTGTGGCGTAGTGCGAATGAGAGCCAAGGAATGCCAAGTGTGGAGCTGAAAGAATAGAGAAACAAAAAAGAGAAAGAAAAGAGAGCGAGATGAGGAGTGTGGGAGAGAATCTACAGTATGTCAGTTTCAAAAAAGAGCGACTCCCACACGATAAAATAACAAGATGAAATCTTATCAGATGTAGCAAAGAAAAAAAGAGGGAAAAATGGCGTAAAGCTGGCCCTGAGGGCGAGCTCTTCAGAACCCGATGAGAGACAGCTGCTGATCTGTAGCATCTGAAGAGCTGGCATGTTCTTACACACGTATGTTTGGGTCATTTAGCCTCTTATTTAGGCTTTGAATCTTATTTTTGCATAAATCAACCTTGTTTCCAGTGCTGGTTCATTAGTTACAGTCAGAGAAGAGTCAGAGTCTTCATGTGTGGAAAAAGAGGCGACTGATTGAAAGCTGAAACAGTGTGTTGTTAGCATAAACTGTATATAATATGGACAAGTTGGTTCCACCTTCCGCCATTTTACAGATTTGAGGCCAAAAAGCTCTCAGTAACTCCGTAATTTTTCTTCATTTCCTGAAACCAACAGCGTACAACGCTACTGTCCTCAGGCGGGAGAGTGACCAAGAGTCGCTGTGATGACACTCGACTCAAGCAGCGTATCCCCCGGGTGAGCTATGCAATCCTTGTATGCCCATAAGCTATATCAGGTGTCAATCATAGAAAACATGAACCCCCTAATAACTTTTAAAAATGTAGCTGTACAGAAAAAAGAGGACTTGAGCACAAACAAGTCTTACAATAACTACATGTCAACATCACAAGCAGGGGGGAGAAAAAATTATATTCTGTGCGATAAATTTCTAAAGTTTGTCTACAGCTCCACAAAGATTGCTGGAGGAGGTGGGATTTACGACCTATACTGCAGCCCGTCACTAGAGGGTGCTGTTCTCAAGGTGGCTTCACCCAGCAAGGAGGCAGACAGCGTCCATTCTATATACAGTCCATGGTTGTTAGCCTAACTAGCTTAGCTGCCTACAGTAGTGTCCTTGTGTGAGTTTGACCCTGTTTCTTTTATCTTTTACATTTACCCTCTAATAATGGGAATACTAATCAGCATTTCAACAAGAGCAAATCCTAATGAAGGACAAAGCATACAGCCACAGCATCAAATGTGCTGCAAACAATGTTAGCTTTAAATTGCCAGATAACTGCTAATACCTGCTGCTAAGCTCAAATGTGCTGTTCGTTAGTTTATTCAAAGAAGCTCTGGGGTTTTGTCTTGATTTGCACTGGAAACAGGTAAAATTTCACAGCTCTCGTCTTCAGAAAAATAAGATTTAAATGCTGAATAATGGATTAAAATGACTTGTTGAGATGGATGTCTGCACTGTTAGCCTAAGCAATGTTTTTAACCATGAACCGAAGCTGGGACTGCCCCTCCACAGAGGAGGACATGTTATTCTTAATTTCCTAAACTGCAGATACAGCAGCACGCCCACAGTGTATCATTTGTGTATATTATGTCAAAGTTAATGATGAAGTGTATATCCAGCTTCCTTTTCACACGCTGACAAACCAGCGCCTCCCTGCCCTCTCCTGCGGCCATGTTTTCCTGAAGGTTTACTGTGTAAGCAATCTTAATGACACCTGCAACCCGCCCTCTGATCTGTGTGTTGACAAATTGCATTCCTCTGCAGGGTGTGTAAACGTGAGTGTGTGTGTGTCTGTGTGGACTGACTGACAGCTGAAAGGAGGAACTTTGAAGTAAAGTGATAACAAAGCATTTCTCGGGAGCTTATCTTTCCCCAGTTATCATCAAACATTGACAGACATAACACAGTTCAGTTTCAAAGACTTGTTTTTTTCCCACAGTAATCAGACACAGTGTAGTTCAGACTATTTTCATTACTAATAGCAGAGTATGATTCCTATAATTTTATAATCCAGCGTTATAAACTTGAGATTGTAAAACTGAACGTCTGAAAACGAACGCTGCACTTGGAGTAGCCATGTCTGACCTTTGCCCTGGTTCCTCGGAGGCAGCGGCGGTCCGTCGGCCACGGGGGAGGAGGTGAGGTCAGTGGAGGCGCTGTACATCTGGTTGGTGAAGGCGCTATACGACAGCCGCTGCTGTTTGTCCTTTTGACTGATGAACCCAGGCAGGGAGAGCTTGTCGTGGGGGGACAGGCTGGAGGAGTGGCAGAAGCTCTGAGGCCGTGGGGAGCGATCCTTCTTGATGGGACTGGGCTGGAGACGGACAAAAGACGGTTGGAGACAGAGCGAGTCAGTACCTCATAGAAATCAATGCTTTTAAGTTCGAGATGAAAACATCCGCCACTCTTTCTACTTTTAAATCACGTCTTAAAACTCATTTTTATTCCTTGGCTTTTAACTCAGAATGAGAGTTGTGTGATCTCTGTCCTTTTATGATCCTTTTACCACTTTGTGTTTTTATTTAGTTAATTTTATTTCATTTTAAATGTTTTTTACCTGCTTTTATTTATTTCACCTTGATGTTTTCTGTATTGTCTGTTCTGTTAAGATTATTGTGCAGCACTTTGGTAAACTTGAATGTTTTTTAAAATGTGCTATATTTGGATTGGATTAAGTTGCAGGATTCATACCGCTCATACAGCTGCTTTAATTGTAATTTTAGAAGATATAACTAGAGAATAAATGTGCCACCAGAGCAAGTTGTCTCTTCTGTTGTTGTGAGTAAACAAGAGGGATTCATATCTTAAAGTGTGGAGCTATTATCAGACCAAAAAAGGTCCTTCTTGCTGGTAGAAAAAAATAAATATTCAAAGATAGAAAAATAGAAAACATCAGGTGGGCAGTTTGATGGGAACAAAATATTAGATTAGACATAATAAGCACAGCCAGGGATATAATCAGAGTGAGGCGAATGATGATGAAAATGTTGGTATCTGTTTGTGGTCGTTTTTGACGCATGGCAAAAATGAAGTGTGATTACAGAAGCTGTTTTCATCTGACTAATGAGCTGCACTTGCGGGTGGTTTTCATTATTTCCTGGTATCCGGTTCAATCTTAACTAAAGGACTGCAAAGCTTAGTTTGAACCTTATCATCCAGGTCGTCGTCGCTCTCGTCCATCTCCTCCAGTCTGAGGCTCCACTCGTACTCCACATGGATGTGAGGGTTGAACTTCCCCTCCGCAGCCTGCACGAGCTGACACACACAAACACACACGCACATATGAATCACACAATGTCCTATAAAATACCATGTTTACGTATGATTACCGAGGACAAAAAGCTATTAAACCTGTTCCATTTTCTATTATATTTATTTATTTGAGATTTTAGCCCGCATTCAGAGAGCTCTTTTTTTGTTTGCAAGCTCATCTCAGCGTTATTAATGAACATATATGAACAATTATTTCCACTCTTTTGACACTGTGGCCTCAGGCTGGAGACAGACCTTTGACTGCCATCTAGTGTTCTCACTAATCTGGTCAAAACCTGTTAAATCAACTCCAATCTCGACACCACATCCTTTCTTTTTTTCTACATTTGTACATTTGAGAGGGTTCGTGATTTTTTTTTTTTAGACCATTTAAATCCATCATGGTGTCCAAAATGAACAGCTTGGCAGTGCTGTACTTACTGCCTCCTCACACTGAGTGTTCCTCAGTCGCCTGGCAACATCCAGCGCCGTCTCTCCGTTCTGATTGGCTGAAGGGAGCAGAGGGGATAATCAACAGTTAGAGCCTGATACGTGTGTACGGATGGCTCGAGCGAGGAGAGGATGTGACTCACTGATATCCGTGGCCGGCTTGCCCCTCAGGAGTAACTTGAGGCACTCGGGCTTCTCGTACATGCAGCAGTAATGCAGGGCGGTGTTCCCCCACTCCGTCTGCTTATCCAGGTTACCGCTGGGAGAGGAGACACACACACACGCACACACACAAACACACAGTGAGGACGCAGGTCACATGCTCTGGAGGTGTTTCCAGAATGCTGCGGCTTCAGGTTGATGTGCTATTACTGAGGATTTTAGGATTTAGCATGAGAGAGACATAGAAATACCAAAAGTAGGCAGCTAAATTAGTCAAATGGAGGAAATTTGGTTCAAGTTTGGGTGATAAAAACAAGAAATAAGCTATGCAAATTCATTCAAACTCTAGGAGCGGGCCAATCTCCTTAAGCTTGGAGAGAAATATCTGAAATAATAAGTTCTGATTATGATGAAGCACTGCTATTAATTAATGGAAGGGTTCCACTTGTTCTGCAGAGGCCGTGTGCAGCAGGAGCAGTGGTGGGTAAACAATTGAAAAGAGAGGAATAAATTAAGGCAGAGAACAAGTGCTTGACCCATTTCTGTTTGCCTTGTGGGAATCTGAGCTGAGCTGTGCAGTGCTAAGCTTTTCCTCTGCTCCTGCACTGCCTCAATACTACAGAGTGAAGCAGAAGAGGAAAAAAAAAGGAGAGGAAGAAGAAAGAGTCGCAGCAGACAGACAGACAGATCACATTTGATGCTGTTTGTTTCCGCAAAGCTGCTGTTTACTGTGAAACTGTGCTGCTGTTCTTTCATGGGACTGTGACAGATGTTTGCCTCGCGGGGAAACTCCAAGCAGATCTGAACACTTGTGTGATTCTTCTTCGGATTTATAAAAAAGTTGCTCTTGATAAAAAAAAAATACCTGTTCTGCACGAGGAAATCCACCAGGTGCAGTGAGGTCTGGTCAGCAGTCCGTACAGAGTAGTGCAGTGCGGTCTCTCCGGCTTCCTGCAGGGGGCCACCAAACACAGCAAAGAGAAGAGTGAGACAATCTTGGGCAGCATCCATTCTGTATTCTCTCCCTCTCTGTGTCTCTTTGAGCATTTAAAGAAGCTGCAGTAAACAAAATGGCTCCTAAAAATAATATTTCAGGAGGAGTTACAGCAGAGATTTGCTTACTTTCAGGAGACCCTAACAGCTGTTTTATCCCTCTTTATGTAACAAGGCTGCAGCGAGATGTAAAAGATTAAAGGTGAAATATGTGGATGAGGGTGCCTGACATGTAAAGGCATCTAAAGGGTAAAGGGAAGGATGTTTTTAGACACACATCCCTGTCTGTGCCTGGTTTTGCGGAGGAGTGGGGTGTCACTGTGCTGTCTGCAGCCATTCAGATCTCTTGACAGCAGCAGATCAGATATCAGTGAGTCAGACAGCAGCAGCAGCTCCCTCCGCCATCAACAGATATCCTCTTTTATCCTGCTGCAGCATTGTACACTTAATTTTTCATTAGGGAACTACTACATCTGTGTTATAAAACCTTGACCCATTTATGTCAGATTAAGTCTGATCAGCTGGGTTGTTTACAGTGCCATATCTTCACCATCCTCCGCCTCGTATTTAACTTTGATCTTCGCTTAAAGCGGCGAGGAAACAAAGAGAACTCCGGCTGAGCCGCAGAACACAAAGCAGAGACGTGATTTAAGCTGCCATGAATGTCGTCATCTGAGCTCCAACGATGTGATGCCCTATGATGTGATGGAGGCTGCTGCTGGATATCACCACCTGCTGGTGAGGTTATCCAGATGACTCAAAATTTTCCGACTGTTACACCCATTTCTACCCGCCAAATAATTCACCAACCAGTGGAAAAGTGTCAGGGATGATTGTCCTGCTGGGAGTACAACCTCACATGAAGATGAACCCATGCAGTGTAACGATGTGACGAGCTCTCAGAGGGATGTTTCTTGGCTTTATGGTCTAACATGAAATCATGGTGAGTAAGAGAAAGGCAAGGGAGCCATGTATGTGGAGGCAATGGGCGGAGGCTGACAAGCAATAATGTCAATTTTACATCATGTGCTTCGAAGCAGGATGATCATTTCTTACAGATACATCCAATGTCCTCCCTTAAAACCCAAACTGTCCGTTCTCTTTAAATGGAAGGGAAAACAGTTGAATAAAACCTGCAGTTTGTGGTTTATGCAGAAAAGACTTGGTAGAAATGAAATGTTCACATGTGTTTGAATAAAATGATTTGTAGTTTAGTCTTTTATTTCTACATGAGACCAGGAAACTCTTTAACAGAGCTGCCATCTTGCACTGCCATGTTTCTACTGTAGCACAGAATGGACAAACTTGTAGAATGCATCAGACAAAGAAGTAGAAGATGTAAAAAACTTGACAAATGAAGCAACCTCTTGTCCTCCATGGCCACCATACTTTCACCTACAGAAGGGGCGCTCAAGGGAACATTCAAACCTGACTATCAAATAATATTAAACTGAATATCCCCGTTTCTTGACATTGTACCCTACACAACAACTGAAGCATCGAAACTTCATAATTCAAAGCTCCAACAGGCAATTCTCGGTTTTGTTGATTTTGGCGCCCTCTGTAGACAAATCGGACAAAACGATTCAACTTTTTGCTCGTCTACTTGGTTACTCAGGATTTTCTGACAAAAATATAATTCATTTCTATTTTAAGTGACTAAACTGCAACTTACCATGAACAGTTTGTGTTGAAAATTCATAAAATGTTTTGTCAATGGCCTATTAGCTGCTTTGTTTGGTTGTAACAGCCATAAAAAAATAAACAATCTCGTATCGGATGATTTTGGTTGTTTTTGTAGTCCTTCAGAGGCATCAGTATTAATTTTACACTATTTTATGACCAGAGAAATTACCTCACAGTTGCTTTAACTATATAGAAGCTAGAAATGAGGGTTGCAATCGTATATTATTTTTTATTATCCAGTCATATGCTGTTATTATATAGTATATATTAGTGAAGTGACGACTCTCTCTTGGGCTATAAAATGCCAGAAAGCAGAATGAGTGTGCAGCACAGTTACCCCCAAAGCACAAGCTGTAAAGATTCAAACTGAGAAAACAAAAGCAGTGATGAATTCTTTGCTAAAAATGCGGTTTTGACTTTAATGCAGACTTTTCTGTCTACAGCTGTCATTTGGATAAAATGGATAAAAAGCTAGCCAGTTTGAGTTTTTGTATTTTTCATTTTAAGCATAGTCAAGTGAGCGATTTTACTTCCTGATATGGCTGCACCTCAAAAGTCAAGCTTGCAAATACCCATGAACTAAGAGGACTCACCGGCCCCACCTCTGGGAGCGGCTCCATAAGCTCCACCCCCTCAGCGTAGACCTGAATAAGGGAGAGCAGATCCCTGGATTGAACCGCCTCAAACAGCTCAATCATCTTAGCTGCCGCGGACGTGCACGTCTTCCTCGCAAACTTGTGGTCCACGTATTTAGCGTTGATGAACTCCTTCCTCACCGTCCTGTGGACACAGAAAAATCCCGTCAACTGCTTGGACGTTGAAGAGATGTAGATTTCGAGCAGCTTTTACTCACATGTCACTGGATGGAGTGGGCTTTGGTGAAGGGGACGTGAGGTTTCCCTCCATGATCTCGTTGAAACTACTGTTCCCGACATTCTTGGCCAGCTGAGAGGAAGAAAAGAAACCATCAGTGTAAGTTCACAGTTACGTTAACTCTTTATTTATATCCTAAATGAACCAGAGATGTATGGGAAGTCTCACATGCTGCTAACTTACCAAGAGTTCTGATGTTCCCAGCTTGTCTAGCTCCATGGACTGGATGCGGGAGATGTGGACCCCCATCTCTCGGTGGATTCCAGAGCACTCAATGCAGGTCAGGATCCCCAAATTGGTGGACAGCCACTTCGGATCTAAAAGCACATGCAGAAGAGGAGGATGTGTTAACGGATTACAACAGCATGCTCTTCAGAGTCTCCCTTAAATGGTCCCACAGTGAGTTGATAGTCGGATGGCGAAGGTTGAGTCAAACTAAAACAAGAATTCTAGAAACTGAAAAGACAGATTTCATAGTGAGCTTTAAAATGTCAACATGAAGAGAAAAAACACATAAAATGTCAAGTTACATTTAAGTGAAACCCAGCTGGGAAAATTAAGCATGTCATCAGTACTAACTGGAGGAAGTGAATGAAAGAGAGATGTAGTACAAAAAATAGAAAGCATTTCTCAGTTGGACGAGCATCAGTCCTGCCGTTTATTGAAAATGTGTTTTGTGTGGCTGCATTGTGTTCTGGATCTTAAGGCTGCTGTCAGCGAGGAAATTGGTTTCTCAGCGTCTCTACAGCTGATTTATTCCTGAATGATTGCAGAACCTTAGGAGAAGAAAAATGGCAGAACTTGACAGAATTCATTTCTCTCTTGTGGGTCAAGCAACAAAACCGAGGGCACTGTCGTCTGAAAAAGTTTTCTTTACATTTACTGCTTTTTTAACCCTCAAAACAGCGCTGTGGCTGTTTATACGAGATCCAATACTCTAAAAGTTTGATTGTTTTTGAGGGGAGATGAAGAAAGAGCTAATTAAACTGATCAAGGATATGAATAAAATAATGATCGACTTCTGTGTGTTCTGGGTTCAAACAGAAATTTGCCATTTGGAGTTTCCAAACTTTGGTAGGCACCCAAAATTGATCTTACCTGAGGCAAACACCAAAGATCTTTGGTTTTATGATGACATGGTGGTATCTTATCTCTAAATTTAGCCTCATCTCGTACCTAATAGTCTAACTGGTTACAAGAATAATACAAGGTAAACAAAACAAATTTGCCAAAAAGAAATATTTCTTTACGGTCAAAAATACTAAACTAAGGTTCAGATTTAGCAGATAAGCCTACACACAGTTATATTTTCATAAAGTCACCCGATAAAAACTTGATTTCAGCAGATTAATCCTGTATTTCACACATGAAGTCTGTATTCTTTACTCTCATTCTTATTTTTTGTTTATAGCACAGAGCACTGAGACTCAAATGGCTAAAGTTGCTCTTAAAGGTTATGTGAAGTGAACACAATCCAGGGGAGGTAAAGTGTGAACACAAGAGTAAAACAAACATGACAAGAAGAGGCTAGAGAGAGAGAATGAAACAAAGAAGTGCAAGTTTCTCTAAGATAGGGCGGAGGAAGAGGGTCAGAGGGTCTTTCAGACAGCATCAGTAGATAACACCAAAGATATTTCTAATTTTAATCTCTGTTTACTTGGAAACTCTGAACTTTAGATCAGTGGTTATTAGCTAAAGTTAAGAAGTGGGAAAACAGCTTAGAAACGAACAATGGCTATCTTGATGTGGAAGAACCCTTTAAGATGAGGGAGACATCAATCAAATCGAAGAAAACAGACATGAAGAAACTGTAACAGTGTGTGGACTGTGGGAGTGTTGTGAAGCAGAAGAAATATATATTTTTCAAATCAATCAAATCATTTTTGGCTCAATATTTAGTGTCAACTTCTTTGTTAGTAGCTGGATGATACATGGGCGTATTGTTAGCCAGTGGCAATGTGAAAGGGATCCTAACAGGATGACACAAGACCCTGATGTGAAGCCTTTTGGGATTTTATTTCACACAACCACTGGCTATGATTTACCCCTCACATAAACAACAACAAAGACATTTCAGACCACTGGAGGACCAACAAATATACAAAACAGGAAAGCTAGACACTCCAAATGGTTTCTTAGAAAGAGGGTTCATTGCATAACCTGCTGCTCTGCATTCAGCACCAGTACAATGTGATGGAGTGGAGCCGTGTGACGACTCCACGTAGCGCAGAGATTGACCTGCATTACTGCAGATGTACTGATGCAATCTGGGAGGTTTGAGGGAGCTTTAAACCTACAGCTGACTGCGTTGGTTGTGAGTTCAGGGACACTGCGAGGCAGAGGTGCTGCTGGGTAAGAATCTGACAAGTGAGCACCAGACAGCAGAAGAGGCAGCACCGCTAAAAAACTGAGTCACACACAGGAAAACAGGCATGTGCACACCAATACACACACAAATACCCACACCCACCCAGGTTCACATCATACTACACTGATGAAAGCTGGTGATAGGTCACATGGTTCACGTTAAGCATGATGAGATGACGCGCGTTGACCTCCATAGCTGCTTAATGCTAAAGCTGCAAAGCTGTATCTTATAAAGGGAGATCCTGGGAGAATATCAAATGAGATGGAGTCGTCCTCGTTCCACTCTGAGCCGAGGGAACAAAGAGGTGACCTTTCGGAGTCATTACATCGACCTTTCAAACGTGATGTGAATTTCGTCTTTTCAGGAAGGAAAGCAGAGTCGGAGCAATCCTGGAAATCTGTGACAATCTGATAAAGAGAAGGAACAGGAATCTAAGAGGAAACAGAGCTTAAGCTCACATCTGGAACATGTATTACTGCTGAGACAGTGTACACGAGCGGACGCAGCAACTAAAGAATAGACATGACAAAATACCCCCCCCGCTCTGCAGATTGCAAGGGTCGGCAGAGCGTGTGTGACTTATGTAACAACGTGATGTAATGATGTTGTTTCTCAAAGCGCAGAATGTTTTTTTATTCCCCTTAGAGCATAAAGTCCTCCTGTCGGTTCGTTGGTCTGTTGGATGAGAAGCTGCTGCGAGTGTGTTTTTGTTGACAGAGGAGATTGTGTTTGCATGTATATACACTGTCTATGTGCGTTCGTGTGTGTGCTTAGTGTCAGAGGGCCTGGATGTCTATGCCACTCCTGAGTGCTGAGTCTATGCTTCCTAATGCGGGGGTGGATTAGGATGAGGTTGTGTCCTGAATGCTAATAACACCCGTGCACAAACACACACAAACACACACAAACACTCACAAACACACACACACACATGTGCTTGTTGGTTGAAGCCTGGTGAAGGATTTGCAGGGCAGCTTGTTCAGTTACTGTCTAACTTAGAGGACACAGAGTTCAAGGCAGCCGTGACACTGCAAAAGACTCAAGATTGATGCGCGGCTCTAAATAAAACATTTGCCCCGAGTGAAATCAGGAAATGCTGAGGTGAAGGTGTGTGTCATCTCCTGTATCAAGGTGAAGGTTGACTAAGCACAAAGCAGGAAGAGGATCTATATTTACAGCCTGCTGTATATGGAGACACAGTCAGCAGCGGTACACACCTGCAGCTCCACAGTCGCAGCACACTTCGTTGCCCGGCATGCGCAGCACGTCTTCGATGATGGCTTTAGTCAGGTCCTCTAAACCGTCCTCCCCTCCGCTGCTCTGCTCGCCTCGAAACGCCATGTTCAGCGCCTCCTCCTTGCTGTTAGTCAGCACTGAGATCCAGCTGTGAAAGGAAACACACCATTTTAAAGTCTAACTTTTATCCTGAGCAGGGACAAATCCACACCTACTGACATTTTAACTACAGACATGATCAGACAGATGCCATAAACTGTGTATCTATTACAGAAGTTGACAACTGAGTATCTAGTAATTGATTATTAAAACATGCTTTTTTGCTGACAGAGATAAACCTGTGGTCTCACATCACATTCAGCTATCAGGGTAGTATTTTAAAACCCAGCTGAGGGAGAGCTATGCGCCATGTTTGCACTACAGCTCCTCTTTGGGATGGCTACAGCCCCTGACTCAGCACTACTGCTGTGTGTGACAACTTTAGCCAGTGGGTTTGCACTGAAACATGCTCTAAACTTGGAACAATGCCCTGATGGCTAAACGTGATATGAGATAGGGGTGGGGAAAAAAATCGATTCACATAAGTATTGCAATTTTTTGTTTTACAATTTTTAAATCGATTTTTATGTTCAAAAACAGATGTTGTTTTTTTTTTCAAATTCAAGAATAAATCTTAAAAACTGAGTTACATGTGATTAGGGTTGGGAATTGATAAGATTTTATAGATATCGATGCCTTTATCGGTCGTGCTTATCAATTCAATTTTTTAACAATTCCCTTATCAATGCCTTTCTTTGATTTAAAAAAAAGTATAGGATTTCACTGTGAACCCAAACTTTTATTAGGTCTCTGATAACAGAGAAAGATGTATGCCATCTTCAGTGAGACTCTAAAAATAATCAAATGACATACAATTTGTACAGCATTTACTTTGGTCGGTACTAAATCAAATTATGGTGACCATATTTTTGATCCCCTAAAAGAGGACACTACTACACGGGGCGAAATCGATTAATTGAACTATTTGGAACCGGTTTTCAACAAGAACCGGTTCTTGATTCCCATCCCTCTATGTGATGTGAATTTTTGGCAGAATTGTGGTTCCTGGAATAACCATTAGACAATCATAATCATTCAACTGTTTGAATGGTGTCAAGAATGCAGACTAAAATTGAGAAAATAGACAATATCGTAGAATCGCAATTTAAATTGAATCGGCATCCAAAAAAAAAAAATCGTAGAAGAATCCAATCGGGCAAAAATCGAATCGGGCGAAAAGCAAATTTCCAGCCCTAAAAAAAAAACTTTCTAACATAGTTATACTGGGGTCTCATGGACTCTTTGGGCCAACCCCAAGTGGACGCTCGCATTGGCCTTGAATACGGGCCCCATACAAAGGTATTCTCTAAGGACCTCTACTCTGCATTTATTTCATTCATTTCCATTCATTATTTCATCTCTGGGGCCCCTCAAACATGAGGGTACCCCTCCCCCATCTGGCATCCCTGAACACTTGAGGAGCTGCAGGTTTGAGTTTTCATGTTGGCTTCAATTCTAATATTATTGGTCAGTAGTAAAACAAGCCTGGATGGTTGATTCTTTAACATAAGCCCCGCCTCTCACAAAGCAAATAGCCAATTATAATCGAGGACTAGAGGAAGGCCCAGAGAGGCCCCTGAGAGATCTTTATTCTTCATCACACACATGGTGCTTTAATAAACCGCAGTATTTAAGCTAACAAGATAACAAGAGTTTATACAGTGTTCCAGTTCTTTGGGATGTCTGTTGTTTTTATCATCAGCAGCATCAGAACATCCTCATTTTCATTTCATTTTCCTCTGCAGTGTTTCTGCTCCTTCACAATATAAAGTTGAATCTCACACATGCACGCGCCCACACATACACCCACACTCACACTGTGGTCATTAAACTTCTCACAGACAGGAAACACTGTTACTGCCTTTCAAACATGGCCTCCTGCAGCTCACCCCACAGCACAATCTGCTGCTGAACTGAACTGAACTGAACTGAACTGAACCGGCCCTCACACACAGAAATTAACACACACTGAAACACACACTGAAACACACACACAGTGGGCTTTACGGTCCTGACGTCAGCACTTCCTCTGTCATTGTCAGTCATGCTGAGGCCAGACAGGGAGTGGGCTCATATACGGACGTGTGAGACTGTCTGTCTATCTGCACGTCAGAAATAGCACAAGATATTTAAATACACTTATAGCTGGGTGCACAGATGCTGAGCCCGAGCCTTGTTGTGTTTACTTTAAATTATGTATAATAATTTGCTCCTGGCCTAATTGAAGGGGAGCGTGATTGCACAAAGCAAGAGCCCTATGGAATACTAAATATTTAATGGAGAGATCCCGGGAAGACTCTGCTGCTGCTGCTGCTGCAGTTGAAAGTGCGTGACAGAAGCGGCGAGGAGGAGCAGAAAGCCAGATCCCAAAGGACAACGTGTACATACAGATGCAGAGTTTTCAAGCAGCACTGAACCACAGTGAGGCATCAGAGGGAGAGCAAGCAAGCGAGGAGTAAAGTGTTTGAAGAGTGTTTGGTCCAGAGAAATAAAGATTCTTTATGTTTTGGTTTAATCTTGCAACTTCTTGGGGTTTCAGTGAGAAAATAAAACATAGAAGAAGGCCCGCAAGGAAGAAGAAGCATCAAAATAAGTTTGATTTTTCAATATGCAATACTTAAGGTTAGTTTTGAAATAGTTTGGTGTCCATCTTTGATCTCCAAACTACTCATTTCTCTCCGCTTGCATTTGCTGCAGCACCAGGATGAACTATCTTGTTGTGAATAATACATTAATCACTAGCTCACATTTAGCTTCAAGTGTCTTAAATTCAACATTTTGTCTATAGTTTAAAACCTGCCGAAGACAAAAGCATCTTCCATAAAAAGACTCAAAATGAAGGGTAAGAAGGATCAGGTCTTGGTTCAGGGAAAAAAAATCAACATAAAATACACTTTGATCAGGTGTTCAGCTAACTTATCTAGCTGTTTTTTAAAAACTCCTACCAATTTACATGTTCATCAACATCATTAATCATTAAATGAATCATTAATTTAGGTAGCTTAGCAACAGTGAGCACAGCTTTTCAAGCAAAACCTGTATGAAAATGAGGCGGTGTATTTGCATACTGACATTCAATCATTAGACATAACACTATGTGGTCAAAAATACCAGTTTAACTGCAGATAACTAATCTCATTCTCAATTGAAACCATTTCTGTGTTCCTCAGCAACAAGAACTCAAAAGAACAGCAGCTAACCAACCCCATATCATCCACACAGTCAACTGCAAGCATACATGTGCAATTTCAGCGAATATCCTTTTCACTCACTCACTCTGGAATCTCTCTTCAGAAAACTTTCACATTTATAAATAATATGATTATTTATTTCAGCATTTCATGTGACAGAATCTACTTCTGGAGCAGTTTATCACAGAAATACTCACATTACAAACTCTTGTTCGTCTTCAGCTTGGAAATGATATGTCCGGTTATCTGTAATTAATAGGAAAAGTTGCATTTAGTAACCCAATCCAGCACAACGCAGACTGAGAGGACTCAGGTTCATGATGGTCGTTTGAAAACTTACGAGAAATGAGATCGAAGCACTTCCTGTCCTCGGAGCTGGGTTTGACCTGGCAGGTGAGCAGGTTGAGTTTGACTGGCTGCCTGTTGGACTGTTGAAACAAGAAAATTGATGCAACTCAGAGAGGAAATAAACAATCCTTGATACCTTCATTTCTGTCAAAATGTGACTTCTCTGATTCAAATAACAGCTTTCTTAATGTTTTGCATTTTGTACGCTTCATAATTAGTCATTCTGTTGGGTTTGTCCTCTCTTTGGTACACAATGAAATGTCTTGAAAGTGTTGCCTGAAAGTTTGGCACATCGCATTGTCATTGTGAGCATGTTAGCATGCTGACATTAGCATTTATCTCAAACCGCTGTGTCTATTTACGGCCTGAAGCAGCTGCGAGCGAGAATGTGGACTCTTAAAGTGCTATTTCAATCATGTGAGCCCAACAACTTGAGTTTACAATATATAATTTTGAGTTTTGGCATCGTCTAGTAGTGACTATCTGGTAAAGTTTACGTAGCCACAAACAGCTGCTGTCAATGCAGTGGAGTCCTGGTCCTCTTGTTTAATCCAGGGACTCTGCCGGACCAAAGTCTATAAATGTATAAAAGTATTATATAAAAAAATAACAGAAAAAAAGACTGTGAAGTGATCCAAATACATGCAACAGAAGTTTTGACTTGAAAACATAAGTACTGGATGACCTCAAGACTCCTCCTGTCCCCTTTAAGAAGTCGGACCATGCTGGCTGTGTTTCGCACTGTAAAAATGGGCCCAGTTGGCACATGAACACTGAGCATTGTCTCCTGCCAGCGCCCGGGCTGAGGAGGGGCCGGGGCACGTGCTAATGAAATGCTAACAGGCTGTGATGAGCTTTGGAGGCCGGCTGGCCTGCTGGCAGCTCGCCATGTCAACAAGAGTCACCTAGAGTTCAGCTGCCACGAGGGCTGAAGGGAAGAAGTTGGCGTAGTGGTGAACCGCCTCCAGACAGAGAGGAATGATTATAAGCCCTCATAGAGCTACTTCTTAATCGACCAGAGTGGGAAGACAGTTTCAGGTTTCAGTTCCTGAAACTCACGGCAGAACTTAAGGAAACACTTCATATCAAAACAAGATCAGGACTTTTGCAGATTGAGGCTCAAACCACCGAGGAGCCTCTGAAGAAAGGATGTATGTTTATGACCAAAACGATAATCATGATTATTTTTTAATCAATACTGAGATTATTATTTATAACCAGGATTGTTTACTTATTTAAAGGATTTTTTTAACCTGTGTGCTTCTTTAAAAGCCTTTATATGTGTTTTACCCATTATGAAAGTTGGACTGGGACAAAAAAATATCTATCCTGTCATTTTTGGCCCACAGGAGTCCCTCAAAAACTGGTCAAAACTGGCATCAAACGGCACTACAGCTTCACTTTTACTAACTTTGACTTAATTTTGATGGTAATTCAGTCAAACAAAGGACTCATACTACTTGTGGTTTATCTTCCATTACAGTCTATCAGCCCTCTTATAAACAGGAAACCTCTGGACTATAACTTGATCTTTTATACTTTAAAACAAAACAGATCCAAAGATCACTCAACAATTATCCATGCGATAATCAGCTTATTCTCATTTCGTACTGTTTCTGCTATGGCTTCTTTTTACATCCTCACTCTGTCCCTCTGCTTCACTAACACACGCCCCAGATCCTCTTGCTCTCTGTATGCTATTCACTGTGGAGGTTTTAACACAGTCTTGGTCAATAAATGCTGACAGTGAGACTTCTTTGATCCCGAGGGGCCAAAAATGTGATCAGGACTACAATTTGATGAACAGCAGCCTTAGTTTCAAGCACCAAACACAGCTTCATATTCACCTTTGCGAATTAGAGGATTGCTAATCGGACTTGTATGTAAACGTGCAAAAGTCAAATAAAGAATCGCACAAAACGTGACTGGGAAACATCTGGGAAAGATCTTCTTAAATGCTCAATCAGAAGCTTAATTACAAAGAAAGTTTGTCTGACAGTTTTTTTCTTAGATGTCTGCAGTCCACCTCACAGGAAAGAAAACATCACACATCCACGGCAGCCTCTGCAGCTGCACACGGGCTGAGCCGCTGCCACAGACGTGCCAGCATATACAGTACCCTCACACTCACTCTGAGATGAGTCACCAGGCTGCAGCCGGCTGCAGGGGGAGGGGCCAGAGTGGCTGGGAAGAGGGGGTGGTTGCCATGACAACCCATCTATGTCAATTGCACTCTGTTAGCCTGCAGATTGAGAAAGCCCAACACAGCCCCCCTGCATGATGCTTCTGTCTTTGATCCACAGCGTTACTTACGGGGTTCGAGGAGGTCATACGAGAGCGAACGTGCGCGCATGTGTGTGTTTATGTGTGCATGCGTGTGTTGCATGTTTTGTACTCACCGTAGCATGAGAGATGGTGAGGATGCCCCCCTTCACTGAGCACTGCCTCCTCTGCCACACCTTCCTCAGCCTGTGTGACACATTAGGAAATGAGAAAACATCTTTTTTCTTCTTCGTTTGTCAATAATATTAAGATTGGATGAATGGCTCTCTGCTGCAATCTGTAAATAAGCCAATTTTTTATCCTGCCATTTATAAATAACACAGTTAACTCAGGGTTAGGCTTACAAAAACCTTGATTTGGAACAATATAAGACCAGTTTGCCAAAGTAAAAACATAAAGTAGAGTAAAAATATAAAGAGAGAATCATCCTCTTATCCTTGTACAAATAAAGAACCTATCATTTTACTCCGCTGTTAGAAGCTGTCAAAGATTTTTAACTTAAGTTATAGTCACAGTTCAAAACTGTACTTGAAATCTGGAGTAAGAGGACATTACGAAGAAAATATATCAGCGTATTTCATTAAAAATGTTGCATTACACAAGAGTTTAAAACATCAGGGGTCCAAAGGTCGTACGAGAATTATGCCAAAATTTTACAGGATTAAAGTCTTCACTAAAATCTCACTCAAAGCATTTCAGTGCATGGCCTCCCATCATGAGGACACAACTATTCTTAGAGACAAACAGGACAGGTAAAAGTTCTTGACTACAAACACATCTATGAATAAGACGAATTCTGACGTTGGTTTTCAGTGGTGAGATGTGGTGGAAGATAAGGAGAGACCTTGTGTCTGACAATGTTGGCGGCTGACAGTGTGAGACCCAACAAATTAAGACCGCACATAAACACATTACGCTCCGGTCTTGTTAATAAATCAGCTCTTTCATAGACGCTTGGAGGAGCCTGTCAGCAGGCGCATCAAATCTGCTTCAGTGAACAACAAAGAACTCATTGCTCTGTACGGAGTCACAATCTCTCTGGAAGTGCTCAAATCTCCAAACTTTAAGACGTTCTGATCTAATCTTTCATCAAGAGACCTGCAGAGCTTACTTAACAGTAGCAATAATGTGTAAATAATGGCTTTCCTGTCAGCTTACCCATCACTTTTCTTCAGTAAGTATCCTTTCTTCTCGCTGCCAAACTCCTTGTTTCCCTGCAGCTGGTGCATGCTGTAGCCGCCCTGCTTACTCTGCGAGTCCTGTACAAAATCACACAATTCATTCACACACAAAATCAAATTTTTTTCACACAGTTTAAATAGAAGTGCTGCAGAAATACATGCCACACAAACAGAAATGCACTAATAACTTTCATTAAATACTGAAATGCAACGTGAGAGTGCTAAAAAAAAACTAAAAATCCACAAAGCATGCTCTGCACGCCTCTAAAAGGCCAAACCACTCTACTGTCAACAGGACGACAGCATGCTCCACATGCACCTTCACTTACTCTTCTAGACTTGATTCCAGACAAGCAGAAGGCAGAGGGAGGGAAGATAGAAGGGAGAGGTGTGAAAGATCCGGCTCGGGTGCAGGCAGTGAGTGTGAAAGAGTGAATTGCCTGCCCGTGTGCTGCTGACCAAGAGTGCAATCTCACATGTTTACAGTCTAAATGTAGTGCTATTAGCAGGAGACGCTATAGAAAGTGTAAATTAACTGTGAAAGACCGTGTAGATTGTGTTCATGCAGAAAAAAAAAAAGACTGAGAGTGTGAACATAGAGGACAGTGAAACAGACGCCCAGCTGCAGCAGTGTGTTTTAAGCGTGTGTGTGATTTGGTGAGTGGTTCTCCACTGAGCAGCCAGTGAGGCACAACACTGGTCACCAGCAAAGCCGACCACACACTGGCTACCAGCATGGTACAGCACTGGGCACTCGCTCTGTGCTGCAGGAGACCAAACCTGCTAGTGGCCAGAGTGAGAGGAGGTGTGTGTGTGTGTGACGGAAAATGTGTCAAATTGTGTGTTTCTAACAAGAGTCTCTGAGGTACCTGGAACAATTTAGTCATTATAAGTGGAGCGTGTTTTTATGACTGCAGAATTTCACCTGCTTTCAATGTGGGTCTGTGTGTGTGTGAGCGGTTATGTGCTGCCTACCTCCTTCTGGTCCAGCTGGAGGGAGGACTTGATGAGATCTCGCAGGGCGGTCAGCTGCTTCTTCTCCTCATCCTGAGTTTGTTTGATCTGAGGAGGATAAAACAAAAGGGCTGAAGAGGAAGATATTATAACATCATAACTGGTTAATCTATTTGAGTATCTTGACATCTGGAGGATAACCTGATGTAACCACAGACTGTATATACTATGAACAACTTTGTTCCGCCTTCCGCCAGTATATGAATCTCTCTGTATTTCCACATTTTTTATCCATTTCCTGAAACCAACATTGCGCAGTAGCATTATACGCAGTTGGTCGGAGAGTCACCGAGAGTCGCTGTGATGACTCTCGGCTCAAGCAGCATATCCCTCGGGTGAGCTACGCTATCTTCATACGCCCATAGGCTGTATCAAGTGTCAATCATAGAAAACATGAACCCCCTGATAACTTTTAAAAATGGAGCTGTACAGAAAAAGAGGACTTGAGCACAAACCAGTTTTACAATAACTACATGTCAACATCACAACCGGGGGGAGAAAAATTTATATTTTTTGTTATAAATTTCTAAAGTTTGTCCACAGCTCCATAGGGATTGCTGGAAGAGGCGGGATTTATGACCTAGACTGCAGCCCGTCACCAGAGGGTGCTGTTCTCAAGGTGGCTTCACCAAGTGAGGAGGCAGACAGCGTCCATTCTATATACAGTCTAAGGGTGTCACTTATCACACAAATTACAAAAATAACTTTATCTTGAGATGAAGAGAAAAGAAGTCAAGATGCTCAACAGACTCAACAGCAAACTTTCCTTAGCTGTATTTTCCAGATCATACTTCTTTTTGCATTTTGTTTTCCTCTAAAGTTGCACTAGATAATTTGCAATAATGCTTTATCGGTTACACTTAAAAGGGTTATGAATCTTCTGCTACTTTTGCACAAATTAAGAGCAAGAACTTGATCCAGAGCAGGAGGCCCAGAGTAAAACAGAAGATAAACCCGGTGCTCTAACAACAGTCGAGTGTCAGGTTTCATTCACCTTTCTCAGTCACTATAACTTTAAATTCTTCAATGACAAGAAATAAAGTCTTAAAGGATCTTTTCTCTCACTGCTTTTTCTTTTCCAAGTTTTGCCATCTGTGTGGATTTATAAGGTTTTTTAGTCTGAGTCACATTTGCTGCTCCGGTGCTTCTGTCTAACCCTGTACAATAACTGCAGGAGTTTTATATTCTGATAAAAGTGCTGCTTCAGGAGAAAGTGGAGCTGCACTTTGGCTCATCTTTCTGTCCAAGGTTTGCTTTTAGTGCGGCACAAAATACCTGTTATTGTCCTTACAGAGAGCAAACCAATGTGTTTCTTTACACAAAGACAAGGCAAGGTCAACTCATGTACAACGAACACGGACAGGAACTTTGTGAGCTTCATGCAAACACTAGAAACATCTAAAGGAAGATAAAAACAAACTAATATAATACAGCAGATTTTGGTTCTTTTGGGGCTCCTGCAAAGATTTCCAATAGCATCATCATATGCAAAAAGTACACAGCTTCCTTTTGGACCGTGCAAACATTTATTTGGCTGAAAAAATGAGAACATTAACTTGTCCAGAAGAAACCTACACGAAACAGGAAGTGGACTTTAAACTGAAGCACTTATTTGTTTTGGTTCTTCAAACTTTGATGTGAGTTACAGCGCTGTATATCACTTTAACGCTTGATGGAAATCTATTCCATTCAACTGACATTTGACCCCCCATCAGTGGTACTAGACACTAAAAATGGTTTTATAGATAGAACAAACCTCATCATTGGTGGTTTCATTAGTTTTTTCAGCTCATGGACATAAATCAACATTAATTTCGGGCTGTTTTAAAACCAGCTAAAAAATCCTCATATGAGCTTCAATAAATCTCAGAAAACACCCCCAATTATTGCTCACAGATACCAATAAGAAATACGTTTGCCATGAATACACAGTGGGCTTCTACCTTGGAATGTCTGTGATGTTGAGATCATATTTAGTGTGCAGCAATTTCCAAAATCACTGAGTAAAGGGCCAAACAGAAGTGAGAAAAGACATGCTATCAAAGGGCCAATATGCCACCAATGGGTAAGCTGTTAGGTAACCAGTTGATGAAGGATAGTCAAGTTCAAAACCATTGAGTTTTTCAGCCATAATCCCCCCCGCAGATCCAGAACTAAAGCATCGTAAAGGGTGTAAAAGATTGAGTATTTACATTGTAGAGATCAGCTGCCAGCTTCTCGATGTACTGCTTCAGCTTATCCGCTGTCTTCAAGCCATCCTGGAAGAAACTGCAGAACAGAAGGAGCATGTGAATCTGAGTGACATGAACACAGACTGGAGTAAAATCTGAGATTCAATGGTTTTATTGATGGGAATTAGTGCTTTGTGAATGTCAGGTGTTACACTCTGCTCCTTTGGCTTTCACTCACTGAGAGGAAGCTGCTGCAGTTTATGTTTAATGTATACGTCCACTTTAGCTTCCTGGCTCAGAAACCATAGCTGGCTGTGTCCAGAGCAGATTTGCAGTGGTGCTTAGCACACACTGAAATCCATTACAGATCTGTCGGTGGTGCACACCTCGATGCAGCGCTGCAGCTGCAAATCACCACTAATGACCTCCACCTTCCACCACCAGCGCTCTCCTCTTCTCGGAGCATATTTCTCCTCTGTTCATTACTTTCTCTGTCACTTCTCTCCTTGGTTTGTTTTCTCGCTATCTGAGCATCAACAATCCTACAGCTCGACTCCCACGCCAAGCAGCTCTCTGTGTCAAGTACTAATGGCCTCGAAGAATGTCAGAATAAAAGTGTTCACGCTGCAGATTCACCTCAGTTGACTCTCTGCACCGGTAAAGCTATAAATGTTCTCATATATACTTCAGTCCCATATTTTCTCATGGAAAATTCCAGCATTCAGTGTAAGTATGAGGATTACACATGTGCAAAGCTGTTTGAAACAAATGCAGATGTCACGACGCTGCATTAGGGGACATTCCTGGTTATAGTAACATGGAAAGAGTTTGCTCAACTGTTATGGGACAGCAGAGGAGGAATAAGGTGGAGTGTCTCAGGGGTAAAATTTTAACAGTCTGTGTGTAACTTTGAAAAGGAAAAGACCTTTAAAGGCTTTCACAGTAAGGACACACTGATTCATCAGTCAGCAGGTTGGTTTAACAACATTTTGATGTAATCGGCCCTCATAAGGCCTATTTCACCATTATCCTTCCAAATTTAGATGCATTTCAAATCTAAAACTAACTACTTGTAGGAGCCAAAATATATTTGTTGAGTTTGATTTCTACTAGGTACGTCACTTCAGGGTCATTTTAATCTCACTGGTGTAGTCAGACAGTAGTTTGGTAAGCTCTGATAATTTTCTGTCCACCGTTTCGCACCGTTTTACTCATCCTGTTTTAGCCTCATTTCAGCATATCACTTTTTTCATTTGAAGGCAAAGGGTTTGGACCCGGATCAGCGTGTTTTCTTTCCTTTTTTGAACATTAATTACTTTTTGTTCTAACGCTCAAACCGGACTGATAATTAAACGAGTCACAGATGCAAGTGAACCTAAACCCCAGTGGTCTCTTTTTGTTGAAGGAAAGCAGTCGCTACACTAGAGTTTAGAATAAATTCTGATAACTATGATGTTAAAAAAAAAAATGCAGTTTGATGGTTATTATCATTTTTCTTTCTGATTAATTCCAGAGAGCTGGGCAGAAATCAAAAAGTCCCTTGTGCCAATATTTTACTGAGCCTGATATTTTTCCATTTATGCTTGTTTAATAAAAGACTCACGTGAACTGAAAGATGGGAGCATTTTTGGCAGACGAGATTAAAGATAATCATCATGAAAGAAATATAAGTGATTGCTTTAATAAAGACTAACTTTATCAGTAGCACAGATTATCTTAAAGAGCTCAGAGTGTAGGACTTTCTGGGTGATAGTGGGACACAAGAATCGAACCCTCCCTTTTTTCTCACTTGTGGACCTGGACACGCTCTGAGTAAAGTCATCCTCTTTGTTGGATTACTGAAGTTGCTGAATACTGACAGACTTTCGACACGTCCTTTGAAGTCGTCTAGAATAATCTGTGTGGTTTCGGATGATCAAACTTCAGTCGGCGCTTAATGACAACTTTATTGCTCTGTAATAGCGATGCTAAATTCTGTTTACACTCTGACTCAGAGGAAAATCTGTGACATGATTTCTGTTTTTTGCTTTGAAGTCGTTCGGAGAGCATTCAGCATCTTGTCCTGATCAATGATGTTTTTGCATGAATCCATGTTTCCCTTAGTGGCTCAAATGATGTCACCATAAACAGAAAAAGATGACAGTTTCACCAAGGCTGACAAACACCCAAATTGTCTTCAATTACACTCTTTAATATGTTGAGTCAAGTGGTTGCAAATGAACTCAAATTGCTTTCTTCACTCTGGCAGCGAGCAGTAACACACTTCTTTTTATCTCGCTATCGATTTCTGCCTCTAATCCATCACCGCTGCAGCTTTTCCATCCGTCTCAGCCCAGGTTGAACGGATTAACTGGGGAAATATATTGTTTTGTCCCGGTGTTATGACAGGACCGAGCGACGCTGAGAGAAAATTTGTCATTCTGTCACAGGCCGACGTGAGCCGCGGTTCTGGCACGGAGAGCGCCCACTTATTTACCCAGCAAACCCCACAGCTGTCAGAACAGATCTGTATGATGACCCGTGCATATTTATGAGAGCTATATATACACACATGGCGGTGCACCCTCAAGACCTGTGAATCATACAGGAGGGGGGAATATTGACATCAAGAGCTGCAAAGATGGAGGGAGACACAAGCTTTCTTTAAAAAAAACATAGCAGGGGGGCTTCATGGACAGGAGGTTCAGGGGGATTAAGGTGGCACTTACTTGCACTGTGCGTGGTAATACTTAATCAGGTTCTGGAGGAGGTCCACTCCCTTCTTGGTCTTGATCTCATTTACTTTGATCAGGTACTGCAGAGAGAGGAGAGGAGCAGAGTTCAGCCTGGAGAGGAAATTCAGGGTGTGTTTAAAGGATTTCACCGTTTTAATGAGGTCGTTCACTGTCGAGTACGAGGACTTGTAATAAGGCGAGCTGTTCCAGTGCTTAATTTAAACACACCATCATGAGGAGTTATATTTAAGAGATACCATTACAGCAGATTTCCAGCTCTGACTGTTCTCTCACCAGGGAGAGCTGTTCAAGATACAGCACAAAATGGTTTCTGAAACTTCATTCCACCGTCTCAAAACTCAACTTAAGAGATCCTAAAAAGGTGTCATGGCTGCTGTATGGATTAATGGCTAGACTGGACCAATCTGTAACCAGCTGACTGGCCTTTACAACAGTGTGCAGCTACGACTGCAGGGTGTATAATATCAGAGAAGATGACGGATGAAATCAACATGAATAAAACATAACTGAACAGAAATGATGTATGTATTCAGTTCACTTGGGTTCATTAAAGCTAACTTAAAACTACATAAAACCAACAACAAAAATATGAAAGTACAAAAACAGGCTCAGAAACAAAACAGAATATATTCTGTGCAAAAACAAAGCACTACAAAACAAGAGAAATGTGATCAAAGGTAACAACATACTGAGTCACTGTTTGAGCGAAAAGTTCAACGATTTCAGAGTAATGCATCTGTGCTTAAAACTGCAAAGGATTCTGGGATTTTATCATATACAGTAGGATGTATCATCAAAAGATTGAGAGAAAAGGAAGAAAGGAAAGCAGGAAGGATAGATGGATGCATCCATTGCTCTTAAGAGGAGAAGGATCACCCTGCTTATTATCAGCACACATTTTAAAAGCCAGCGTTCTTATACTTAAACATGCTACTAGTATCTTTTTCAATATGAGCGTATGCTTTTCATTAAATACTGTTATTTAGTTTTAATATTTGAAGACTGTCTTTGCATTATTTTTAATGAAACAAAAGGGATCAAATAATTTCAAAACAATCAAAATCTGTTTTATTCAACATTTTAAATCCAAACATTTTTGGAATTGAGGTTGTAAAATAATTTTGGCAGCAAAATTCACAAGATGTGACTCGCCCTCTCCATCCTTTGTGTCACATTTTAGAGCTCATACTTGCTCATGCTCATGCTTCACAAAGACTTTGATGCACAAATCAGGACAGCCTTGCTCATGAGGGGAGTTTGGAGCAGACGGGTAAACACGCTTTTTGTACGAGAGAATCCCGTCACCTGCCTTGATCTAAATAAAGTTTCAAAGGGAAGATGTGGGATGTTTTTTTTTTTTTACATTAGCATTATAAAAAAGACAGAAGCGTCTCCAGGGGAAGAGCTCTGCAGACTGTACGCTAAGTCTGAGGATCCAAAACAAACGAGGAGTCTTCAGACGACGCTCCCAACAATCAAACAAATAAAAATATAATCTTACTCTGAGCTAAACCCACAGAGTCACCAATTCCTGCTCCACTGGAAAAATTAATCTTTAACTCAAATGACTCCTAAGGGTTCCTGACTCCTCTCCATTTCTCTCCTTGAATCACATGTTTGGATGCATGCACATTTGCACATGCATGAGCAAACCTGTATGTGCATGTATGAGTGAGTATGCATGCATGTGTGGCCTCTTTGTGAGTCTGACAGCCCCCGCTGGATAGGAGATTATCCACATTTTGTCTGAGCACTGTGCAGCCTTTGCAGTGAGCTGCAGCCTGAGCGTGTTTGTGCTCCTTTGTGTGAATGAGCAGCATCACTAGCGCTGCCGTCGCGTCTGAACACAACATAATGCAGCCCGCTGAGCGCTGCCTTTCTACACTCCTCCCTCTCTGATAGCGGAGGATGAAAAGGGCGAGAGAGTGAGAGCATCCTGTAATCTGGTGATTGAGTAACATGGAGAGAGAAAAAAGGGGGGGAGAGGGAGCGTGAGAGCGAGAGAGTGCACGCAGAGAGGGAGAAATGAGGTTAAGTGGGATGAACAGATTGTACCACTGACTGCTGCAACTGTCCCACACTAAACACACACACACACACACACACACACACACACACACACACACACACACACACACACACACACACACACACAAAAGAGCAGAAACAACAGCACTGAAACAGCATTTACATCTGGAAACTGTTGAGCGAGAAAATCTCAGATGTTTGAGATTAATCTTTTTGTCTTTTTTCTGTCCTCAAATAAACACAAATGGGCAAAAAAATCCTTCACAGGAGTTGTTCATTGCAATATGTAATGACAATGTGATGTTTTAATAACAATGTGATTTATTTTCTAAAAAAAGTGTAAAATATTTTAAAAATGTCATCCAATTCCTCAAAACTCACATTATGGTCTGCAAAATTAAATGATTTGTTCACTCGAGTTGTAGCCTCAAGGATCTGCAGAAACTTGCTAGAATTAAAGAAGAAAATCTCATTTATAAAGAACTGTGATCAAGATTATATTAATTGCGGTTTATGGATGAACAAACAATTATGTTTATATTTGCATTTCTAACATACTGAAACACTCTATAATACAATGGACTTCTCCAGTATTTCCACAAAGCAACATTAAAGCTCCAGTTCAGCTGATTGTAAAACTGTCAGAAATTAAAAGTGAAGCCTTTTATGACAAAAAAGTCAAACAAAACTGTCACTGATCATTTCTATGTCTTTTTAGTTTTACTGCCTGTAATTGTGGTGAGGTTAAGAGATGTCAAACAAGACTAATTTATTTATTTTTCTCTGCAGAGTGAGAGTATTTGTCAGAAAACATCATATTCACATGTACAAAACAAGATCAACAAAAAGAGAAAAAAAAGGTCCACACAGGAGCTTCAAATCATAAAAAGTCCACTGAAAGATATCTGGTTTTCAAACCTCACCCTTTGTCCTGAGTCCCAAACTCCACTTTGCTCTAAAATACCTCATTCATGTAAAGTAAAAGTTAGTCTCATTGATGAGCCTTTTTACCCTTGAGCCATTTTCCAACCAACAAAGCCATACAGCTGTTATTTACAGTAAGGCCGGTTTCAGGTGGAAGCGGTCAACACCACAAAGGGTTTTTGTTGAGCGTTTCACCTTTGAACAGCGAACAGAACCTGTTCAGAGGACTCATGCTCCTTTTTAAAGCCTTCACAAATCAGCATCATACTGTTGAACCAAAGAGGCACCACGCAAAGCTCTGCAGACAAGTCGGAAAGTAAAATCAAATCTGTGCTTCAGAAAGTTAGTGAAAGAGGAAGTTATGAACGATGTAACATGGGAGCTGTAACTTTCTCTGGCATCCTGCACCAACTGGAGGCGGATTACAAAAACAGACAATGAAGCGACTATTGAGAGGACTGACTGAAGTAATGAAGAGTCCAATTTGTGATGTTTGTTCTGGTTCAAGCCTGATTTCATTCAAATAAAAAGGAAATGACCTGATTGAATTAACCGGTTTTCCAAAGCAAAAACAGAGCCCACCTTAAAGTTAGCATTGCTATATATCAGGAGAGATATTACGGAGATACAGTAGAGTGAGGGTCAAAATAAAACAACATTTTTATCATAGTTTTTACATTCAGAGAACACCATCACCACCGAGTCCTAGTTGTTTTTACCTATGGAAGCACTACATGTGATGGTGTTGTGTCGTTCGCGAATGATTCATTCAAAAGAACCGAATCTTTTCAGTGAACATACTGAACCGAATCACTTCCTCGAGTGATTCGTTCGTTTCTCACTTCAGTTGAGCTGAAGTGAGAAACAGCACTGACAGCTGAGCAGCTGGTGAAGGAGGGACCACATGCACAGACACCTGAATCACTTGGTGAATGAATCATGAACAAATTTTTGTCGGACAAAACTACCTTTTCTTTTTCCTGCTAAATTGCCACCACAACTACTTGCATACAATAACAAGGAGTGCATTAAACCCTCAGCATCCTATCATTGCAGCGGTTTGCGAGGGAATAGTGTATGTTCAGCTTAAATTCTTCTAAACATTCATTGAACGAATCACTCATTGTGCCCAATTTACCGAGCAGACCAGGTAAATAGCACACCATAGGACAGTACACTTTAAACATCATGACTTTTAAACAAGTTCATTTTTACAAACCTGTTTGCCAAAGCAACACAGCCAAACACTCGTGTCTCCCGGTCCCAAAAGCTATAAATTGAACTGAATACTGAACGTTCAGTTTAGGAGGTCGGAGTCGCAGGCTTCTCCCGACAAGCGCTACGTGATTTGGTGAACGAATCTTTTGAACGAATCTTTTTAATGAACTGATTCTAGTGATTCTAGTGATTCACTACATCTAAAAGAACTGTCGTGCCCATCGCCAGCATGTGAGAACTTCTACTCGCTAATAGCACATTCTTCCTATAGGGCTAACTTGCTAAAAGCAATAAAATAAAATAAAAAAACAGCTGTTTTAATCCTTCACAACTTTGCTCTAGTAAAAGAAAGTTATGTCACAGTTATAAAAATGGGACTTCATACATTCCTTAACAACATCTGGAGAGGCTAGCAGTCTAAAAAAGGCCCAATGTTGACAAGAATCTGCTAAGCTAGTTAGCAACAGCATCCTCAGAGCGACAGCTAGTAGATCCCAAAGTGATCTAAAGGTAAAGACTTCAAGCAGTATACTAACAAATACACTGTGATGCTTGTGCTTAACTGGTATCACTACTTCCTCTGAGTAAGGCCTAGCATTTAAGCTAACATAAGTGTTTGCATATGTCGAATAGCTGTAATAACATCCCTTCAGCTTATTTATGTTAGGAAAGATTACATGCTGATGAATAACAAGTTATTCAATTCTGTCCTTCTCATCTGTAACTGCACAGTAAAAAAGTCAGAACACAAAATGTGGGCAAGGAAACACCTGTGAGTCACAAAGGCAGAGGGCACAAAAGGACTGCAGCGAGTTTTTTTGTAGTGAATAATTCACACAGCTAACAGCAGCGCAACAGCCATCGGTCCATTATGTAACGTGAGTATAAAATCCTAACAGGATAAAACAGTGAACAAGGCGTAGGCGTCGCCACCCACCACCAGAGAGGTTTTTGGCAAAGCGGAGTGAGCTCTAACAGTTTGTTCTGACTCTCCTGGGCACATCAAGAGCTCACATTTGTTCTACACTTCATGCTCGCTGTCAGATTCCTTTAAGTGCGGCCTGTGAGCATAAATACCGACGAGGATTCAAAATGTGTCACAGGATGCTTCAAAGCAAACAAGTTCCCAAAACCAGACCCTTCAATTAAAGAGAGACTGTCTGATTCTTCTGGAGGACTACGAAGCAGCTTAAATACCCAGCTTTTCCGGTGTCATATGTTTGAATCTTAACCATTTGCACCAGTTTAACTCAAACATCAAGAATGGTTCATTTCAGACGTTAATTATGAGATAATACAGGCTCAGCAGTACCCAAGGGCCTACTGCGATCCCTACACATGAAGCTGCACGAGTGTTTAATCTATTCTATTAAATATTAAAATCATCTCAGAGCAAAAAGTGAACTCAAGCTTCAAATCTGCTTTAAATGGAGCCAATAAAAAAGACTCCACATGCAGGAGGATTTTAATAAGTGGGTGTTTAAACTGAAAATAGCAGCGTGTAGGTGGAGCTGTGTTTCTACAGGTGCCAATGAGAACATGAAGAACCATCCAGGAAGGGCAGTTCTGGAGATGGATGCAGGAGTTTGAAGGCTTATCAGGCGCTCATACAAGAAAACATGACAGGCAAGATGATGAAGATGAGGGCTTTTTCAGCTTGTTTTTAAACCTTTATTCTTTTATTTAATATTAAGACCAAGTGTGAGTATTAAAAACGTTTCAACAAACAAAAAAGGCCTCAGCTCCTTCAGTGTCCAGCTACAGATGGCTAAAATATTATCTATCAGGCACATTTTTGCAGCAGAAATTAACATATTTATAGTTGAATCATCATGGTCATAAAATATCTCTGCAACATTATTATTGTGATATTTATGGAAAACTTAAAAAGGAAACAACATAATCTGTTAAAGTAAGGGAAGGCTACTCAAGATGGAGGGACAGATCAGCTGGGCTACTTTATGAACTTAACTAATAAACATAACTACCTTGCATGTCATTATCACCAGCCCATGGACTGAAACTTCCACAGAGATGACACTGCCTCATATATAATTTTTGTCTTTTTTTTTTTTTTTTTGATATTTTGCTTTGTCATTTTTAGGTTGCTTTATTTCCTGCGCTGTCAAGCTATGCTTTTATTTTGAAGTATCGTAACTCACCAGACTGAATATAAACACTTACGAAGACAGAAAGTATAAATGTTCAACCCAAAGAAGCAAAAGCTCAAACGCTGTTTTCGATTGCACCAAAAGTTATACATAAATCAGGAGGGCGGTAGCTAAGCTGACTGACAGAGATAGTCATGATGTTACTGCTAAACTTCAGCGTTTTGTCTGTTACTTAGTAAATGAACGATGTTTATATTGTCTTCTGACTGTATTCACTCATTTACACCACATTCACACACCGAAGGCAGTCACCGCTGTTGTAAAGTCGGCAGTGGCGATAAGCGGGACAGGATATTTCATCATAAAATACCAACAATATATAGTACAAATGCTCCTTGATTCATTCTTAGATAACAAGAACAAAGCAACACCCAGTAAGCCCCCAAAAAAACAAGCTGAAAATGACATATTCGTGGCACACAAATACTGCCCTACAAAAAACCACTTCCACCGTTTGTTCTGGCGTATGTGTGTGTGTTTATCTGTGTATGAGATGGACATAAAAAGCAAGACTGAGGATTAAAACATGACGATATTAAATCAATAATCTAAGGGATCAGGGGGTAGTACAGATTGAAAAAGGGGAGATGTGGAAAGGGGATAAAGAGTGGAGAAAAAGAGTAAAAATAAACCAAAATTAATAAAAAAAGAGAGTAAATCAAATCCAAAACACTGCGACAAAAACAAAAAGTAATCTGAGCACTTTGATGTACAGTTTCCCCGAGGACAACATCAGATGAAGATGATTATTTGTTGCTCAAAGGTTGAGCAGAGTTGAGATACTCCGTGAACTGAACAAGGCGGCTGTTTGACGGATTACAAACGCCGTGTGTCAACTTAACACAAGATGAATGTGACGTTTTGACTCAAGTGGTTCATTACGAGACTGACGCACAAAAGATTCATATGACGTCAAATAGAGTGAGAGGATCTGTGACCGGTCAGTAAGAGGATCTGGTTTACTGTGAGGCTGCTGCACTGCTTTATTACATCAAACAAAAAACATCCTCAAGCTTTTTTTCCGCAAACATACCTCGCACATTTGGAGCTGGAAGAGACGTCGTTCTTTCTCCATCTCCTCGGCGATCTCAGCCCCGGTGATCTCTGTGCGGATCATCCCGTGCTGCTTGGCGTGCTCTCGCTTCTCCTTCTCGATCTTTGTACTGAAAACAAAAGAAAAGGCAGTTACAGGAACAGGTTTTTACACCGTTTTTGCATCTCAAATGTCACCTAAGTATCAAGTATGAAGTATTTCAACAGCAAATTTAGATTTTCTACTTACAACTTAGCTTCGTAGTCCTTCCATGCTTTGTCAAACGGCTTCTTTATGTCCTGCAGGAACACAGAAGAAAAAGACGCATCAGCTGACTACAACTACGACGCGGTCACCTTGGGGGCGGGGTCATTTACAGAACTTTGTGTCAGCACTCCCCTCAAGATTTATGCCCAGCAAGCACCACGCCCCTCCTCGTACCCCCAAACACGAGGAGTTCATGACCCAGTTACTCACTCCAGGCCTCGAGCCGAACACAAAGGCAGTGTTTACTCCTGCGAGATTTACAGAGCGATCTTCTAAACAGAGAGCTCTGCCCCGTCTCTCTGCGCTCGTATCACATTACTCCCGACATGTGCAGAAGTTGAGAGATTATTAACGAGATGTGCTGACGAGGCATTTAATACCTTCATCCCGCTGCTGAGCTGTGCGGCTAAAGAGCGCCGGAAGAGATGATAGAGAAGATAGAGAGAGATAGAAAATGTCTGGAAGAGTGAGTGTTTTACAGTAAATCTTACCCCCTTCACGCCTTTCAAATCGCCCTTCAGCAGCGAATCCAGAGTGAAGATCACGTTGTGGCTGAGGCTCTGGAGCTGGAAGAGAAGAGGGGGGAAGACAGAGAGATTATGTTGCTGTTGTCACCAGGAAACAAGCTAATGAAGGGGCAGATTTTTATATTCTGTGAGTAGGGCTGGGCGATATGGCCTCAAATCAATATCACGATATATTGAGCAGTTCACCTCGATAAATGGACGATAACTACTCCACAAGCTGCTCAACCCCTCCAACATTAACTTTGTCTACTTCAGCCGCTGCTACAGCTTTTGAACCGTCCTCCATCTCCTCACCTGTCTTTACCTCTTTGTTATGGACTGGATGGGGTGGAGTCATGTCTCTGACGTAGGACAGCATCTTAAAGGGACATGAGACCATAGCCTACCTACACACATCTAAGACTAACTTTTATTTATTTACACCGAATATACTGACATGGGAAAAAATCACATCAGTTATTGTCGTAAATTTCGCTATCTGTAAATTTTTGGTTTGTCGCCCAGCCCTATCTGTGAGGACATCTAATAAAAAGACACAAACCAATGATGAACTGACTGTAAAACTAACTTTTAAGTGTGTTTCCTCTGCTCTGCTCCTGTAAATCCAAAATGCAAGCCTGTTTTTGGTATCTAAAAAGTAGTACGGGAGGTAGAGCCTTGAAATCCCTCTCTCCTCTGGAATCACCCACCCATTTTAATAATATAAGATTAATACATATTGACCTGCTTTTAAATCAATCTCAATTTGGAGCCTGTGATGCAAGCTGTAAACCCAACACTGACATATAATCAGTTCATGGAGGTGAAATGACAAAGGTGTTGCCAATCTGTCTCATGTGTGTTGCATATTTATAAATCTATCATCCATGAAGCAGCATTAGCATTTAATTTGGTGAAATTACAGCAATCTTCAGTCTGTTCGGCTCTGTATTTGGTGTTCACTGACCCATGAGGTAAGTATCTGTCTCTTTAATTGCTGGAAATTCCAAGTCAGCTAAGCACTGCTGATGTCGAGAGCAGAAAAAGGAGAACCACACTGCAAAGTAAGAGGCTGTTCAACTGAAGTAACAAGCTGAGAGAAGCTGAAGTGCTGCATGAAAGTGAAACTAAAGAGTTGGTCTTGGTTGTAATAGTAATTTGATCTGTTGTTGAATCATAGTTTTAACTGATTCTGCATTATAGAACTTTTTCCTCATTGTGAACTAACAGGTCAGGCGAGTGCAGAAAAGGGGGAGAGGTAAACTTTAAAAATGCACAGCTGGTTTCTCTCCGTTTATCGGACTTCATCTTTAAAACTGCAGTGCAATGCACCAACCATCTCATGCAGCTGCTGACTACAAAAACTCTGCAACAAAATAGCAGAAGTGTTGCAAAATCCACCCCGGTGCAGGTTAGTCTATTGGGGAATTAGCAAAAGCCTGCACAGCCTGCAGCTCATGTTGCTACAGTCATGCTCAGCAGCTCTAACCACCAGGATCAGCAAGGTCATTTACAACAGTACTAAGCATTTAAGACCCTGTTGTTGTTCGCCAAGTCCACACAGACACACTGCAGCGGTCAAGGAAGTAAACAACACTTAATGGGGGCTAATGTGCTTCTTAAGTGCCTGTCTTGCATATGGCCAAAGTCGGGATCAATCGTCTTCTGGCCGGCTGCCTGTGAGCTCTAAGGGCTCATCCTGGTATCCGCCACTCTCTCTCGTAACTTTCTCTTTGTTGACAGAAAAAAGGCAGATAGAGGCGAGAAAAAGGCAAAAATCTTGCTAAATGTGTCTGTAAAATCCTAGCATTTAAGCCGATAACACATGTAGGACATCTAGGACAAGCGCTATTCATCAATTCTCATTTGTAGTACATGCACACACCAGCAGCCCTCGGGGTGCAGTTATTGAAGTCTAAAAAAACTCACTCAATTAAACATTAAAAATGGCAAAGACACGAGTCAAGAGAGGGGAAAAAGAGAAACCAAGAGAGGAGATAACTTCATTTTCCTGCAATGTGCAGGTAAAGCAAACAGGTGGGTGGTTTGAGAAGGTTTTCAAACACACACATACAAAAGCACACATAGAGATGTTCCTGGTGCTGCCAAGTGTATTTATGGAGTCTAATCTCGCTGTCAGCCGCACAGGAAGAGAGGGAGAGAGCGAGAGAGAGAGGACTGGCTCTTCTTCCAACAACAATCACTCACAGAGGATCCAAACAGGACACATTATTCAACAGAAACATCAGGGGAAATCCACGACGGGCAGATAAGAGCCACAACCAGGGGGAAAAAAGCAATATAGCTAAAGTCAGCTCCACTGTCTGTCTGAGATGACGGTTCAGACTGTGAAGGGAAACTATAAACAGTTTTACACAAGAGACTGATGAACATATCATCCTCAGCTGGGGCTTAACATCTCTATCTATATATTTTTAGGGGTTACTACAGGCCGTCTCTGCGATCCTCAACCCTTCACCCTAAAGTAATCCTAATCTTAACCTTAAACCCAAATCCTAAACCACTTACAGAGGAGACGTAGAGAGGAACTTTCCTCATACTATCCACGTGAAGACAGACAAACTTTAATAAAGGAGCACTCTGCTGCAGGAGGAGCTGTTCATTACAGTGACATCTGAAGTGTATAAGTGTCGACATCCTGGACTCACCAGGTTCTTCAAGAGGGCAGACAGCTCCTTCGTCAGAGAGGAGAATTTGACGAAGGCCGTCCCCAGGTCAGGGTTGTCCCGGCTAATAAAGTTGCTGCCGAATTTGTCCAGAGCCTGAGCGTAGTTCTCTTCATTCTGGACGTGGTCTGTGAAGGAGACAGAAAACACAGACAAACTGCTGGTCAGTTCAGAGTCTTGGTGATGATTAGCATTTTAAGCATGTGTTGAGAATTAGAGGAAGCCTTCAGTGTCTGCAGAGTCATGAAGTCCCTCTGAGGAAAAATTATATATTTTTAAAACCCTGGGGAGATTTGAAGGTTAGCAAGTCAGAACAGTGTGTTTGTAGCCCTTGATAGGAGCTTAGCATCAACAACTAACAAGTCAGATCTTCATAACTTTCTTACCAAGGCTTTGATAAGACTCTAATAATAGAAACATTAAGTACTGTTTTAAGGTTAGATTCCAGATTAAAGCACTCCGTTTGCTCACCCCTCTCACAGGTGACATAACAGAAGCCTCAGAGGACAAAAAGTCTCCCTTGTGCACGATCAGACTGATCCTCTATTAGTCAAGATTTGACAACTTTTTTGGGGGCACAAACACTTTATAATAACTATCCCTTATAACTAGTTAATAGATCATTAGTAAACTGTTAATTAATGAATATTAATGACTTGTTAAGTGTTTGTTAACAGTTTGTTAAGGATTTATAACGATGCCTTAAAGATAGTTAATATATCATTAATAAACAGTTAATTTATAAGTTATAAATGACTTATTAACTGTATGTAAATGATTTATATCAAAACCTTATAAATTAGTAATAGATCATGAACAAGCTATTAGTAAATTACTTATTACTTATAAATGACTTGTTAAGTATCTGTTAATAGTTTGTATATGTTACCGGGACATCTTTCAGTTGTTACTATTCCTCATTTACTAACAGTTAATAAATGAGGAATAGTTGCAATTTTACAATAACAAATATAAACCATTAACTGATACTTAACAAGTCATTAGTCAGTTATTTACTAATAGCTTGTTTATGATCTATTACTAATTTATAAGGTATGTTGTTCACAAACTGTTTACAAACTCTTAACAAGTCATTTACAACTCATTAATTAAAAGTTTATTAATTATCTTTTAACTAATTATAATAGATTGTTATTATAAAGTGTTACCATGTATTCTTTTTCTTCTAACCTGAATTTTAAGCAACTACTCCCTGATTACAAAAGTGTGTTTGTTATTAATTTGTCCCTTATGTGAAACAACTGTCTAAGATGTTAGCCTCCATAGAAGGGGATCTGCTTTAATGTAGTTATGAGAAGCCTATTCTAAGTTAACTACATCAAAATAGTCAATTAAACTGTTGAGGCAAACTTTATATGACTTTTAGTTTACCTAGCATGTGTGCTTTCTTAGAATGCTCCAACATGTGCTCACTTCTTGAAACCATTTTCTGTTGGAGTTGAAGGTTAAATATCTGAAGACAGACAGCAACACTGAACTTTCTTTTTTTGACAAATCTTCCCTTTAAATCAAAAGTAGATAAAGTTTTGTGGGAATCTATAAAGTATCATAAAACATGATATCACAATTCTCAAGTGTATCATTATGTTTTCAACATCCTGAGTTTAGTAACATTTCCAGCTCTTACAGCTGGCTTTCCATTTGAAATGCTTTAAAAGAGTCCAGACTCCAAACTGCCTTATACATTAGGTTTCAGACTACATTCAGTGTTTTATGAGTGCAATACTTCATCAACAGGGTGGACTTTTAAATTGTCAACAGGACAGTCAAAATAGAAGAGGAGCTTTCTTACATGGTAGCCAAAAAGTCTACAAGGACTCTCAACTTCGCACCCTTAAATACAAATACATATGTAGGACGTCCCGTGAACTACATGCCTGAAAATCTTCACAAAGATAAGTGAAGTTTGCTCAATTCAGATAGCATTGAGCTTTATAATTCCAACAGGAATGATCAGAATGTAGGCGTACCAACGCAGAGGGAAACTCTTTGCAATAAGAATTTAAAGTGAAGAGGAAAAGAAAAGGTTTTCAGCACATATTCTTCACACCTGCTGAGACAAACACCTGAATCAAACAGGGTTTTAAATCACTAAAGATCTCCTGCTGATGCTCAGTAATTACACAGATTAGAGAGATCCTGCAATTTAACATTTCAGCAAATGAGAATCAATAACAGCTGCAAAGAGACTCCCGTTTTGGACTACAGTAAGTCATCTTAATATACAGCTTCTGTCAGCATGTAGTTCTCCACGTCTGTGAGACTCTGCGGGAGCCGTCAGTCAACCTGCAGCGTTCATCTGTCCTCGTCATTAAGTGAGACACGGAGGGGGAGTGGACGGGGTGATGTTTAGTCTGCTGCCTGGGCTGAAGACGAGCCCCGAGAAGAAGGTCAGGTGGGACCAGCTCCCTGTGGAGTTTTTTCCTGTGACAGCTATTTTGAATTTGAAAAAACTGGGACTCCGTTCAATAAGGGGCTGCAGTTTCCATGGAGGAAAATAACAACATGTCGTTTTAATTCTTATTACTGAAGTCTTTTCAAATTATTTTTGACAGGTGCATTGAGCCTTTCAAAAGCAAAATAACATCTTTTCCAGTACGCTGGTGCTTCATTTGGCAATTAAAAAGACTTTTGTGTGAGGAGAATGTAAATTAACCCGCTCTGATTGAACGCCCTCTTCCTTGTACTTAATATTTTCATGTTTCATGTCACTCCATTAATAATTCAATCTATCTGTACTTTTGCATTTCTTCAGAATGGCCCTTTTCTCAGGAGGGATTCACAGAAACTCATGCTGAATGTAATCCTGCTTTGTTTATTGTAATCTAATCTGTTTATGTCTCCTTCTAACTGCTGCCTCATCAAAATAAAAGTACCTTCCCTTCCTTTAGGGGAGGAGGAGTGCAGTTTTCAGAGGGCGTTTAATTTTACATGTCTTTGTCTCATTGAGTGGAAGCTACTTAGAAATATGTGCATTTTTTTTGGCTGCTCTCATGTCTGTATTTCTAAGGTTTTTGCTTTTGTGGACTTGTAGTTACCACCAGTAACCACAGGGGCCGCCAAATCAAGCTGTAGTCTTGCTATAACGTCATTTACACAGTACCATGTGTCACTCACCAGATCAGTGTTGTTTTCATTGATGATGACGTTGACAAAAATATTTCGTCAATGTCATTGTCAACGAAAACAACACTGCATAATATATATTTAGCGCTTGACTGACGAAATGCTCATGAACTTTGCAACTATGTTCGTTATCCACCACTAACGTTTTCGTCTAGTCTCGTCAACGTAAACGCACATTCGTCTCGTCACGTTTTAGTCATCTAAGACTTATGTTTAGCTTGTCAACGTCACGTCTTCCTCGTGGAAAAAAACACTGGTTGTTTTCGCTGACGAAAATATATTGTCAATGAAAACAACCAGTGTTGTTTACGTTGACGATGACGTTGATAGAATATTTTAAACAACACTGCACCAGATTTAGTCAAAAATACAACATTCGTCTATTAAAAGTTGTTTTGAGGCTTTTCTCCTCCCAAAAATGACAATAGGAGTGACACTTTGTGCCTTTTCCGAGCCCAAACAAACTGCCCCCGTGGGACAAACATCTGAAACTGTCAATTTTCAGGGAGGAGGCCGCTCTCTGAAGTATTCAGTGGAAAATTACTGAGGATCCATGTCACAGCGGCAAGCAAAACAAACTCAGGTGTTGGTTTCTGGGACAGCCTCAATACACACACGCACAAAACACCATCTGTCCAACAAAAGGCAATGTTCCAGACAAGAAAGCAATCCTTTTATTTTTTTAAGACACTCGAGAAATCCTGGACTTTCCTCCGGGGATTTTTTTGGAAACGGTTCTAAGCACACTCAGTGATCAGCTGGTGCAAATTTATACACGATGAATTTAGAAACAGACGGTCTCACCTTGCCCTGAACTGTAGATGGCCTTCACTGATTTCTTCACCTTCTGTAAGGAGGTTCGATCCTGGTCCAGCGCCTGAGAAAAGAGGAGGAGAGAGGGCTTCAAAAATGTGTTCATCCTAAAAGAACATACTGGAAACATTCACATCAAAAGACGGCAAGGATCCTTTTTAAAGGCTTTGATTTCTTGCTCCAGCAAACTTGAAGAATTTAAGCACATAAGAACAATATTTGCTCTGTAATTCAAAGCATGTATACTCCATAAAGCTAATGGAGACAGAGTGCTGAAGATACAGCGCTTGACCTGAATGTGGCATAAATCATTATTTCACCACTGCTGCGGCAAAGCCTTTGTGCTCGCTAACAAGTGCAGAAAAATATCATTTTTTTCACATGTTCAGACAGTGTATTATGATTAATACTTCACAATGAAACCTTTAAATTATACAAAGATAAACACTGCCACTGAACTATTGTTACAGCGAGTTATCGATCTCATTTTCTCACAGTTTTAGAAATAAGTGCTCAGAGTTCAAAGCACCACAGGGTTTAAATAATGACCAACATGAATAGAAACACTTCACAGACGCTGTAAATCATGGTCACAACAATCAGTGGTTACTCATTTAATAATGCACCGCTATTTTTAGTCTTAAGCAGCCTTACAAGACAAAGCAGTGCCAGTGTGAACCTTGCACCAGTTAGTCATCAATCTGCTGAACGAAAAAGCGAACAAGGAAAATGTAACACGATACACAATCTGCATACAGAAGAGCAATCTTCAAGCTTTCATCGCTCGGCTCAGGAAGATTTATAACAAAGTAAATCCAGTACATCCAACATCCATGAATAAAGTTACAGCCTTTTACAACCTGAACACAAGTTCATTTAAGATATTCATCAATATTAAGAGATAACAATACCATATGATATGATATATAATGCTAGGATACGACACCAAACAGTAAAATATGATACAATAAGATACAATAGATTACGATAACAATTGAAGTGACGATACGACAAAAAAATTGTTGCAATAATGATACTGATGATACGATTTGGTTAAACAATACAAAGTGACACAGTACAATATGACACAATAATGACGACGATAACGGTAGGAATAACGATAACATCCCACACGATATGATATGTTACGATAAAATGTGTTATGATATAATCACGATTCAAAACGATACAATGATCATTTTATATGATTACTAGGATGTAGTATGACAGGATAGGTTAGGATGAGGAGATTGTACGCTATCATATTTTATTTTTTTAACTATACAATAGCTAATATTAGTTAATATTTCTATGATTAAGTTCAAAATATTACTGAGGTGAATTAAAACCAGCCCTTCAACAGGAACCAAAAGTGCTTCCATCTTTGTTGAGTAGAAACTCTCATAAAGTAAGTCAGCTCTTTCACTGCAGCATATTTTTACGATAAATAACTAAAGAAAGCTATAGCAGACTTTCTGACTTCTTTAGTCACCTCAATGAAACATCTTATTACCGCTCTTATTAGAGAAACTGTTAAAGAGCCTTTTTTAAGTTAATCATTTGATAAATAATCCAAATTTCTTGAGTAATTAATGTAAGAAATGTCATTTTCAAATGTCTTGAGTAAATTCTAATGCTGGCGTTGCTGTAAGATTTTAACATGTCAACAATTCACAATACTTAAACTATAAACTGCACAGGTACCATTTTAACCTGCAGTCTTTCCTAAAGAGTTCTCAAAGCTCACAGTAAATGAAACTGTATCACAACTGACCCACATTTAATTAATGAAACAGACTAATCCATAGTTCTTACCACATTAGCTGCTATCAATAAAACACCCGATATAATTTGACCCCAATTTCTATCGGTCCAAAGTGTATTTTAAATCGAGTGATAATTCTTGATGAAACACTCAATGTAAATGAGTTTCTATCAGTTATTTACCAGCAGAATTCCCCTGATTAAACTCTACATCTATAGGTGATTAAGTGAGACAAAGATTGTCATTTTCTGAGAGAAAAGGGGACTTTACAGGCGCAGGACCTGCACATCTGCTTCACTCGGCATTTCCCTGTGAGCTTAATAACCTGACGGCTCTTTTTGAGCGACATGAAAATTACCCGTCACACTGGACGACATCTATCTGTGAGACACTGTATTTAATTTTAATTACAAAAGGAAAAGCTGGGACAATTAGGAGACTGATTAATTCAGAAAAAGGGGCGCACAAAGAACAAAAGCGCCCCCCCACACACAAAAAAAAATCACCTGTCTCAGCGAAGTGCTTTTAAATGTGAGCCCGTACGTTCTCATTATAATATATTCTGACAGCACTCACAGTTCTTATCCATCCCATCCTAACCAGAGGTAAGGGAACAATAACTCTGCCATGTTTTCCCATAACAGATGATAAACACCAGCAAAACCACCATTACGCCAAGGTCATGCGGTTAAGAGCAGAAGCACAAACACACAACAGTCGGCTAATTAAATTTCACAACATAATTAAGCTGTCCTTGCCCCCCCTGGACAGTTTTACATAGCTCTTCCCCAATTACGGCGGCGGTAGTTAGTCGCTGCAGGGCCTTTTCTGCCAGGGACGAGCCCTTTGATCCCCCCTGCACATGGGAACAGACTGCCTGGTTCCCCCCCCTGTGCTGGCTCATTATTAAACCCGGCGTCTGTTTGGCTAAAAAGTGACACAAACAAGCTTATGCCAAAATGGAATTTTAATACTACCATTATCTTTTAACCAATATTGTCTCTGTGTTCGATAGTATCTTTGTAATTACTATAATAAACCCTCAAGCAGTCTGAAGACATGCCTGAATGATGAAACAGAGCTCTCCTGGAGAAGCTCGTTTAAGCTAAATTGGTAGTCATCAAGCTTGAACTCTATCCTTACAGGTGAAGATACGGAGCATGAGAAAGTTGGAAAATGATAGAAGACGGTCTTTGTTTTCTGCTTCTTCCAAATAAAAAATAGGGGTGAATAAATTCAAAGTCTTACAGTACAAATAAGGACATATAAGTGAGTGTTTCCCAAGCTGAGAGGAAGTAATTCATTTTCTTCTCACAGGAAACTCCACTCTAATTGGTTTAAAACGTTGTGCTTTCCTGCAAGTCATCCACTCAAACACATTTGCAAACAAGCTGCATTTCCTCTCTAATGTGTCTTTAGCTACAAATCAAACCCAGCCCTGTCACATGACCGGAGTCGGCCTGCAGTTTGACGCCTCCGAAGGAAATCTGTAATTATTCAGAGGTTTTCTGTCGAGGATGAAGAGCACCAAACAGAAGCTGAGGTGACAGATTGACTTTTGTGGCGCTCATGGTGAGAGCAGCTGGCACCGCCACCCAAGATCACCCATAATCCATACCTAATTAAACATTAAGTTGTAACATTAAAAAAAAACACACACAGATGGTTTGTTTGCAAAATGTTCTTAATCTGGTTCAGTAAAGGATTTTTTTCTTGCTTGTTTTCGAATATTTAGTCCGCATCCAAACAATATTAGAGAGGATAAACGATGAATATCGACACTGGCAGGATTTCAGTGCTAAATGTGACTAAACTTGGAGAGATTGTGTGTTAAAGCTGTTATCTCACAGCTTTATGGAAGAAAAAAATCAATAAAGTAGCTGTCTTGGCACGCAGACTCTGCAAAGCCTTGGCAACAAGCAAGAATGCATCCAAACCCTGCTTTCCAAGAGGCCGACAACTATTGAATATAGTCAAAGGATTGTTTTTATCCACCAGGAACCAATGGAAAGCTGCAGTTCAACCCAGGGGGGGATTAGCGATGTGACAATGCCAAAACATCTGCAGCCGTTCGTCTCTCAATGTGATTCACATGGTTGATTTATTAAATGGCGTTGAGAAAAAGCAGCAAATAACAAAGTACACTCGTTCGTTTCATGGCGTGATATTTGACAGAGAAACGTCTGTCTTGAAGGACCGTTTGTGCTGAGAAAGTCAACATGTCTGTGTCAGAATGCTTTTAAGAGGAGGCCTGACAGAGACGGAGCCAGGGAGGTCAAGGGCTGACTTAAGAGGAGGTGAAGGGCGGTGATCACGCGTGGTGCCTCAGCAGGGAAAGGATTTCGTGACCAGAATGAGCAACAAGGGCAGAAATGTGCTTGAAAGTCAATGATAAAAAACCTCTTCAATCAAGGATAGGAGAAAATAAAAGCACTTTTAGTATTTTTAACATATTTCCCCTAAAATTAGATCCACTGATAGAATCAAAGAGGCAGTCCTCTACGCAGAGTGATTGTGTGTCCTGTTTTCAGTAATAGTAGAGACACCAACAGGGCCTGAAAGACATTGATTGTTAGGATGGGTTTCTTTAGCCAGTCATATTAGCCTTTAGAGTCTTGGAGCTGTGTCACTCAAATACCCCAGACACTTTGGTGTTAGATTGCTGGAGCCGGGGGCCTCCGACAACCATCCCTGACGGAGCAACCCTGTACACATTATTTACATCATGTAGGTCCCCAAAGTATGTTTTGCTATGGTATTTCCTTCTTGGGACCTTCCACATGTTCACCTAAGGCTTTTCAAAATATGTTGTCCTTTGTTTTTACCGTACATGGATTTCTCTTAGGGTCAACTAAATATCGACAGTATGTTAAGAGTTGTGGACCGCTATACATACTTAAACGGTCTTAGACCACTCTTTGTTAAACTTGTGGCGTGATGAAGCTGTAACCCAGATCTGCAACCAGTAAAGCTTGTCAAACTGACCCCTTCGTGTGGACCTTCCATTCTTCCAAGTGTGAACCTGGGCTAGGCATCCTTACATTGACCAACCTCAAACTGGACCACAATATGGGTAAAAAAAAGACACTCCTGAGTTCATACATTTTCTTCAGCATACCTGACTGTAAAAGGTTAAAACACATACTGTCAAATAATTTAAAGCATTCATGTTTTGATTTATAGCTGTTGACCACTTTAATATACGAGCGAGGCTGGAAAAATGTTGAAAAATGATAAAATAGTATCACATTTGGATCTGGGCTCAGGAAGAAATGAAACAGGCCTTTTGATTGATCGTGGCCTTGCAGATTAGAGAGCAGCCAGGAGACTCATAAATCACCAAATTAACACAAAAAAAACCTGCAATAAAAGAAAGGAAGGAAGGAAGGCTGATTTGGGACAGAGAGCGAGAGTTAAAACTGCAGAGCTGTAGAAAACAGGGTAAAAATAGACAGGAGTAATTGAGATAATTACATCATATGAAGTGAAGCTGCAAAACAAGAGACACAATTGGAGTCACATTTTCAAATTAGGATCCAAATGTTGGGTTGTGAATCAAACATTTTGTTGTTGTGGGTTTACAGTCGGACAAAAAAAGACGTTTGAGGACAGCTGGGAATGTTGGAAACTGTGAGGGTATTTCAAAATTTTTCCTGACTTTGAAAAAGTTAAAAATAAAATCAAACGGTTGCAGCCCTACTCATAAAAACAAACAAAAACAACACCAACAAGAAAGAGTCATTAAATAGTCACATGTGTGACCAATGATTGCTGACTTCCTGGTTTCCAAACAACCACGCAAACACACACAGTCATGCCCAGGAGGTCAAAGCCTCAGGGGGAAATTGAAAGGTGACTGGGCATGACTGACTGGAGGCTGTCTCAGCTTTACGCTTCCTGCCTCAGGCCTTATCCTCCCCCAGCAGTCCTGCCGTTTCCCCTGCAGCCGTCCTTTGACAGGAAGCAGGAAGCGACCAGGCATGTCAGTGTCCTGTCCCGAGATGGGAGCACTCTGTCTAATGACACCAAGTGGTCCCCGCTGACAGCTGGGGAATCAAAACAGCACATTTTCCAACCAACTGGGAAGTGGTTTTTCTCCACTCGCTGATCTACTTCTGAGATTCTTGCTCCTTCACTTTTATAGCACATCGGTCAGCTCTCCAAGGTCCATCAGCTGCGACTTCTAGGGCTTGACAAAAAAGCACCCAAAAATGTGCAATTCCTTGAGTGGCCACTGAAGGCTTGATACAAGAGCGAGTCAATTGCTATTAGGTCCCATTTTAAAAAGTCAACTTTACACCAGCGTGGATGCAAAATGATGGACAGTGTTTGAATAGTGGGATCATGAACCTCACAGTTGGAAGGTTGTTGGTTCTATTCCCAACTCTCTAATTGTTCCTGATGGCACAGGCACCAGTGTGTAAAAGCCGAAAAAATCAGAGTAGTTGATACTGGTGGGCACTTACAGCACTCTGCCCTCAGTGTATAAATGGGCTAATGCAATTTGTAGTTTTAAAGTGCACTTTGCACTATAAAAGCATTATGAAAGTACAGCTCATTTGCCATTTAATTGGTGTCAGGATTGCTGCTTTGCAGAGAGTGCGGACAGTATTTGTTTTAAGTCGATGTGGTTCTGTCTAAAAGTCAACTAAAACAAAAGACCGCCTTGAAAAATCACCTGAGAAATCACCATCATGGATCTGTCCTTCGAATCTTGTCGTCACCTGTAAGTCTGCACTGTCCCACTAGCTCTCTCTCCTTTAGTTTGATGTATTAATAGCGACAGTCAACACCATCCCAAATGGAACCTCCTTCCCTGAGACAAACAAGTGTAAACCAGCTTATTCACCCGCTTATAAACTCACCAAAGTCAATGACCGTTTGGCTTTGATAACTCGGTGTTAGCATGCCAACCTATCCTTCTCCCCAGCTCCACCCTCGCCTCCAAATTCAGTCTCTTCCTGCGCCAGAAAACCAACATGGCCTCAGTGAATGCCAAACTTGAAGCTTTACAGGGCAGTCTGCAAAGCAATGGGTGACATCACTGCCGCTGCGCTCATTATTTATACACTATATGCTCCTTACACCTCCTCGCTCTCCTCCTTGTCATTTGGCATCACACCCGCGTACGGTTGTGCGGTTACCAAGGAGACGCGATCTGGCTGTCTCACGCGCCGGCTCTACATTCTTCACTGTAGAGATTGTGGGAAGCAGCTCTGACTAGCCGGCCAGTTCTCTCCCTTTGTCAGCTGAGCCAGTGTAGCAGATTTGAGTCTTCACACAGCAGAGATTGAGACAAACAAGTTCTCAGAATTACTAATATGCAAATTTTCCTCCAAGAAGAAGAAAACAGGAAAGAGAAGGATTATCAAAGGACTTCCCTAAAGAAAAGCCTACAGCGTCTTTTGAGGAAAAGTGGCTGCCCAGATTATATTTCTTTAAATTTCTCTTAATTCTGCTTCCCTTTTTACTGTCACATTCTCATTTCCTCTTTGGCAGAGAATTACCCAACCGCCACTATAAAATATACTCTAAGAGAGTGCATCAATCAAGCTTGTCTTGCTTGTACTTCTGTCTTTCTGTATGTCAAGTTATTTGGTGTGTCTGTCTGTTGAGTCCATGTGGCATGACTCAAGCAGGAAGGGTGGGGAGCCGTTTTCATTGGCAGGAAACAAATGCACATCCCTTTCTCTGGGCCTGCAGCCGGAGAGGCCTTCAGCTCTCCAAGTGGAATGGGAAAAATGAGAGGATGTAACATTTCCAAAAGCAGCTGAGGTCAGATGGCCTACTTCTTTCACACACACACAAAATCAAACAGATGGTACTGAAAGTTGCGATCGACTGCCATTGGTTTTGGTTTTGGTTAAGAGGTGAATCAGAAATGACGATATGACTGCAGAAGTGTGTCGAAAATGGTTAGTACAGCGGCGAAGGTTTGGAGTTATTGGGGAAGTCAAACATCAATCATCATGACATGAGAGAAGATTAAAAGGCCCGAGCAAGTTTAAAGTCCTCACTCATGCTCCTCAACATACACTTTTTACCGGGAAGAGGAAAAACTAAACCAACTGTTGAAATCCTGCATTTCAAATCACACTTTAGTCAACACATTTTTACCATCATGGTTGTCTTTTCAAGCCAACGGCGGAATACATAATCAATAATGAAAACCAGCGTTTCAACAAAGACGTGACGAAAGAGGCTAAACCCACTAGCTGACATGTTTTACCCTTTCTATTCTTAAACTACGCGCCAATCGTTCTCGAAAGCATAAAAAGTGATCTGAGATAAATGTATTTCTTTTCATTGAGTTGATGGTGTGAAATTTCTTTGCTTTATTTCAGTCAGTACGCCATTAAAGTGAACTATGAATCAAGTTTATGAGGTTAATTTTTGCAAAGTCTCCATAAATGTAATAGTATTACGGTAATAAGCCATCGCCAAAGGGGTTTTACATGAAAATTACTTGTTGCTGTTAATTTATGTGCTGGTGTATGGGAAACTTTGGTTTGGCTACCATAAAGGGACTGTCACATTTACATCAAACTTTCCCCACACAGAATATGAGATCACCTGATGAGGAATGAACCTAAAGCTGCTGCTCATGTTAGTATGCTAACACGCTAACTAAACAGTGGTACTGTAAGTGGTCATTCACTGAATTCACAAATGAACTAAACCCTGCTAGACCCATCCATACACCCCTGGCTGTGACACCAGCAGCAATTTGGGATCTGGTGTCTTGCCTAAGAACATGTGACTGCAGGAGTTGGAATTGAACCATCAACCCCCTCAGCGGGACAACCCACTCTACCATTGAGCCACAGCCAAACCAAATAAAACCCCACACATTACAGCTTTAGTAGAAACTTAAAACCCTCTCACCAGTTATTTCCCCATCTAAAGAGCAACATTAGATCAAATAAGGGCCTGTGTCCACCAACAGCATCCACAACCTCAATTTCAGACACCTCTTCCTGAGTGCTTACGGTTTACAAAATTTGCACTTATTTCGGTTTTGGGGCATTTTGACTTGATCAGATATGACAGCCAAAAAGAAAAATGGAAATATGAGGAGTAGGGAGTGAGTCTGACTAACAACCACTATCTAGACTATAGAGTTAAATTTCTGTCATCTCAAAACTCAGACAAATGATAGCACTGTGAGTGCAACAACAAAAAATAGTTAAAACTGCCAACTCTGAGGGATTTTCTGCACTGTGCACTAAAACACTGAACTGTAATGGTTTGTAAAGATGCTAGGCACCACTGGGATGGAAAAATATTGTCTGTGAGCAAAGGCCCTAAAACTCTGAATCTTTTCTGCATCACTTTAAACATGATATTCCTGTTTAACAACTAATCAGTTCAATAAAAAATATGTGCTGAAGTCAAATCAAACATTAAACTGGAAGTAAGCAGCTATAGTTTTGCTTTCAGTGTCACTAGGTCTCTTTTACACAGTGCCTGGTCTACCATTTGGTGCATTATATGTCATCCCTAGTGTAATATTACCTCTAGCCTACTAACAACTCCTTCTCTTTTAACAATGTGTCCAAACATCATTTTCTCATGAAGAGTATTTTTTGCCTGTAATGTTTTCGGATTAGATTTTCTTGCAGTGAAGCTTATGGATGCATTTTGTCTTTTCGCAGCCAACTCTCAATTTCCTTTCATGGCCAACTGCCATCAAGTATGAGTGTCCCAGAAGGAAGTCCAAACCGCAATCAAATCTCAGCTATGATTTCAGGCTATACTTGATCACTGCATACGAAAAAAGCAACTTTGACAAAGAACGGAGCAGACTTACAGATTTACTGTAATGATATACCAACCTCCCGCAACCTGATTTCCATTTTTACTGAAATTAATCAAAATCAATACTTACTGTCTATCCCTCTAACCTTTTACTGGCTGTTAATGTTGGATATCTGCTCTAATAAGCTTGCATGCTTGGCCTGCTAATGTCATTGGCTGCCAAGAGAAATCAATACAGGTCAGAGATTACTCCATTATGTATAGCTGCTATAAGCCTCTCTATTAGCATCCTGCTGTGTGCTCTAAGAGAGAGATGGGAGCCGCTCAGCATTCTGTGGTGAGTTTGAGGCCACGCTGTGGATGAAGCCACTTGCAGAGCTGCATCGGTGTAAAACCAAATCCCTGCAGCACATCTCCAGAGAGTGAACACAGCAACTGTCATGCATGCACAAAGCCAAAGAACAGTCAAGCCAAGCATGCAGCAGCGTTAGATTCACACATCGTTTGGCGGCGTCCCCCTGCAATGCTCACTCTCACTCAGCCCACTGCTTGTTTCGAGCATCGTGCGTGTTTTCACAATCACACCCACACACTGCTGCAGTAGACTCTTCTAACATCAAACATGCAGCATACCTCAATCTTTGCTGTGTTTATCAGTCAGGAAGTCATTATTCATGTGTAGCAGCTGTTAGATTATTCAGATTGGATGCCATTAACACCCGTCCACTGGAGATCAGTGGGAGGAACTCACAACTGATGATTAAAAATGACAGCTAGGATCCTTTTTTTCTCGAGTTTGACGACACAAAGAAAAGGAACAACAGCAACATGTAGAGGCTGTTTGTTACCAGACAATTGTAAACCATGAGAGTGACATAAAAACACTTTCCAACCAGGAATGAAATGATTGTAAGAAATTGTTTTATTGATTATGGTTTCAGTTCTGGTTTCATTAAGAACTTAAGATGCCGACTAGGGCTGCAACCATACACAATGTATTGGAAGCAGACATCTACTTTCATAGATGTGCATCGGTCCAACTCTACGCAAACAGAGAAGTCACCATGTAACCATGTCCATTAGTATGGCCTGCAATGGCTTTCACTTGGAGAGCATAGAAAGGACAGCTATAGAGGAACAGGAAATGTGGCTAAAGAGTTGAGGGTGACATGTGGCTGACACGAATTGTGGACTGAGAACCAGTGTGACACAGCCTCAGAACCAACCCTCAAACCGAGCCAAACCAATCCCCCTTTGACACAAGTTGAGCACAACCTCCTGTTCTTCGATCTACCAATACCTTTCTCAACAAGACCTGATAAAGACTGGAAGTTTTTCCTTTGTGACGCAACAATCCAAAACCAAAAGTATTTATTATAAAATTATAATTAGACTAATTATATATAGACAAGAATGTAAGTGGTAACAATTAAACTCAGAAAAGGGTACCTTGATTTTCTCTCATCACTACCGCATCCTCTGGAGGTTTTCTCATAACTTCCATCAACAAATAAAGAAAAGAGAGAGAGCGCTAAGCCTAAAAATGATTGATCTACTCCACTAGAACAAACCAATCAGTGATGGTACTTTGGATAAAATAAAAACAATTGGCAACCTCTGCTTTTAGAAAATGAGACCAAAAAAGAAGTGCTCAAAAACTGCAGTTCCTAAAGTGTCCACTTGAGGCTGGATTTAAGAGCCATGGAAGCCACATACACACTTACTTTAAAAAGCCTGTCTTTAGAGCAAAAATAAAAACCTATCCTGCAATTAAACTTAAACTTAGCTGTGACAGATGCACATCTTCCAAAACATTTTAAAAACTGCAGATATAATCTGAGAAATTGTTTAACTATTGATTATCTGTTTATAAAGATGATCTCAGTTGTGATGTCTTGGTGGCAGCTGCATAACTCCAACTGCAAAAGAAGTTCAAGAGATTTCAATCGATAAACAACTTTTCTGATTATCAGTGTCTCTTTATGGTTTTAAAAGCAACAAATCTACTTTGTTTCACGCTGTTTCATTGATGGTTTTCTTTGTTGTTTTGGCCTTAAAGTGCAGCACTGGTATGATACGGCTTTTTTCTTTGTGGAAAAAATAATCTCTAAATTAAACTACAGAGTTACATATCATGGAGGGTTAAATTGAGTCTGTTTTGTTGTACAATTGTGAATCAGCCGCAAGGTTGCAAACGTTTTTTTTAAGTAGGTGTCAAACAACAAGAGAAAATTTTGACCATTAGTGTTAAAATACAAATCAATTATGAGAGAGACGGAGAGGAGTAGAAATACTTCAGTAGAATAGCTGGCCAAAGGCCAAATCTCATCTTGTGTAACACACCAGTTCATGTGTGGGTCGATGACAGAAAAAAACTAAAACAAACTACTACAAGTTCTTATCACCAATCTTGGACTTATCATTGATCAGCTGATAAGCCTGCCAGCTCTGCTTCCTACCAAACCAGCCGCCCGCCTTGTAAATCTTACAGGCTACAAGAATGTGCTCCCTTGATGAACATGCACAATCAGGAGAGACATTACTTTTCCAGCCGCTGAGTAACGTTCCAGCTCACGGCCCGGTCATGAGTCCTTAAGCAAAGTCACAGGCGCAGACTCTGCAGAGCGCTTTACAGCATTCCTTGAAGTTTTTCTGCAGACACGTCTCGAATTTCACACTTTATGGGACTCTGCTGGGGGAGAGGGAGTCCAAAACCACAGGTGTATCCACTCCCACTGGCCATTTGGATGTTCAGAAATGTGAGCAACTGGACTCCCAGAGGAAGAGAAATGTGCCTTTATAGTGACGTCCAACCAAAGCTTTAACCACCGTCAATACACATGTCGATTTAGATTTCCCTGTGTGACGTTTGTGTTATGTAAGTGACGAGCTCTGAAAGCTGCTGTCATGATGTGGAAAAGGAAGGAGCACTTTTCACCCACATTTAAGTGCATTATAAAAGATGTAAACAGCTCCTCTTAAAGGACTGTCAATGCTTCTTCCTCCAGGCTTCAATGACCCCAGCGGGCGTTTGGCTGTTCTGGGACAAGTAGTCTCAAAATTCAGCATTGAAAAGCTGCATCAATTGTTTAGCTGTGGTGCACACACAAACACACAGAGACACACACACAGTCCGAGGCCAAACAGCATCAAAGCTCACAGACAGAGATGTTCTGTTTACCCCTCAGGCCTCCGCAAGACAGCCAGCCGTCAGAGGACAGCAACGTCTCCTGATTCTGCAGAGCGGTCCTTGAGGACAACCATGTTACCACGGCTCTGATATAATCGTAGAGGAGGAAAAATAAAAAGCCACAAAAGGTGGACAGAGGGGGGATGAGGAGGTGGTTGTTTGCTGCAAAGGAACAAGTAACACAAACAATAAGAGAGAAAAAGCAATGTCTGTTGGCAAGAAAACACAGAACAATGTGGTCAAATATGCTGCTGTACACACTGAAAATGCTCAACTGCAAATGAGTATATTAATGTAGACAATAGTCACTGAGAATTTATATCTTTTTCATTAAATTCGTCCTAATTGACTTTACACAAAATGGGGAGATAAAGAGAAAGGGATTGGTTTGATGTCCTGCAGAGACCATTAGAGTCATGTCTTTGTAGTTTAAGTTTCATGAGAAAAAGACAAATAGTAAAAAAAATGGTAAACCAAGTTTTAAGGTCCTTACACACCGGAAGCGTTTTTTCGTGCATTTAATTCAGACGTCAATATTTTTTTTCGAACCCATATCCTGTCATTACAAGCGTTCACATCAGCAATGTTTTCCCGCCTTGCGATATTGCGGCATTTACCTTTTGCATCATGGTCGAATTTTCTAAAGTTTCACATACCGTGTGTTCACTCCTGACCAATCAGATTTCAGATTCATCGGTACATCCAACATGGCCGACCAACTGATTGTTTACGTGTCGGAGAACAGAGTGCTTTTTAATAAAAAACAAAAACATTACAAAAATAACGACCTGAAGGACAACTTGTGGAGAGTCATAGCATCAGATTTCTCATATGACGATGGTTTGTGTGTTTTAACAGTTTGCTAAACGTCTTTGTTTTAACTTTCATCTGTGCTAAGTAACTTTAGCTCGTAAGCTAACCTGTTCAGATACAACATATATAAGTTTTCAGGGTTTTTCATTCTTATTTGAGTTATTAAGGGATTAGTTATAGTCCTACTGATGACTAAGAACGTTCAAAACTTCTAGCATTTGCAGTTTGATTGACAGACAGATCAATAGACAGACATTACTTTTCTTTATACTCAGTCCTTGCATGGTGAAACCATTGCAACACATTACTGCTACCTTGGAGGATCAATACCTCATCATAGCATTTCAGTTTTGCTGTTTATTTTGTGGCACTTCTGGACCAGCCTCTCTTCCCATTTCCTGCTCGATAGGCTGCTGTCTTATCCTCACAAATAAAGACACAGGTCGCTGTTTTTGGAGAAGGAAAGTAGTTAAGTGCTGGCTTCTTAACTCCTCAAAATGTCAGGATATTCTACAAAATATTTGTTTATTAAGGAAAATGACAGATGTTTTAAAAAGCTGCTCTACGACATGTGTTATTTAGATGAGTCATTCTCTGTAGCTGCACCAGATTCCTCCATCAGAGGTTGAAATGGCTGTCAGTCTAAGTCGACTTTTAACACCATCCAACCGTGTGAGGAAGCCTACAGACAGATGTTAACACTGACCCACACTTCCTCGCCTAAATCTGAGGAAGAGCTGGGGATCAGAGCGCCGGAGCAGAGTCTGGGCTGGGCTAATCCGCTGCCGGCTAATAGTGCTTGATGATATACAGAGCGCAGCTGTGGCAGGAAGGTAGGCCAACAGCTGTGGCCCACAGACCGATTATCAGATTTCAGCCACAGACGGCAAACAAGCCGACAAACAAGCAACACAACAGAGTCTCCCCTCCTGCTGGGGAGACAGAACAAATCATGAAATGGCTCAGAGGTTTGTCGGTATTAATACAGAGAGATTTAAAGAAACATTATCCTGCTGGAATGCTCTTTTATTCAATGCATTATCAATCTTTGATGCTTGGTGCAATCCTGGAGTCATTTTGTGTTTGGTCATGGCCCTACAATAGACACTTGCACTGTTTTTTATGCTCCACCATTAATTCATAATAACTGTCATCTGACTTCCATATAATAGCACCACTGATGCTATGAGTGCTTCGAGGCAAAGATGTACAGATGGGAAAATACTCCAGCCTGGGTCTGAACTCATGCATTAGACTGTAACATATACATTTTATAAATAAAGGAAATACTAATAGTAGTGGGAAACTTTTCATGCTGGTACATTTAAGAACATAAAACAGCAAGATTAAATTTAATCGTAAAGACTTACTTCCTGCCTGTGTTGAGTATTTAACTCTGATTGGTCAGAACTCCATGGCAACAGTCTATTATTTCTCGACATCAAAGAGTTGCTCATTTTATCCAATACATCAAATCAAATCAATAAGTATGCAAAAGATTGGCATGTTTCACTCGTGTTTTTGTGAGGGAACATCTTTAGTATTATTCAAGATTTATTCAGAGAGCACAAAAAATGAAATTTCTGGATCGTGGCTGGCCAATCAGAAGCAACAAAAACAAAACAAAAACAGCAAGGATCGTTGGAGGATGCAAGGAGCTCAATAAAGGAGACATCTAACAAAGTGAAGAAGAAAGACACGTATAAAAGGCAAAACAAAACATAGACTGCAGCCTTTTAATTGAATTTTACACTGCCAACTTAATGTTTTTGAACATGTTTTGATTGTACTGGGAATGAAAATGTAACTTTCAAGTGCTTTAAAGCAGATAAGACAAATGTTTAGATTTTACCATGAATCAAAATGTTGAATGGTCCCATTTTAGCCTGTTTTGACAAAACCATTACCATAGCATCAACTAACTCTGGACTGTTTCTTGCTTTATGAAAAATCCTAATCAATAAATCCACAATAACCTCAATTTTTTCTACCTACTTCTTCATTTCTTTACGTGATAGCCAAGTAATACAGGGTATGATGTATAGTGAGAGGGTAGTTGCAGCAAACCGTAACAAGGCTCCTGCTCACCCTGTCTGAATTCCAAGCTGTTATAACTACCTGCTCACTGTCCCTTAATTAATCAAATCAGGTGGTTGCACAAATATGTAAATCATAACACTTTCCTGCTGATAATTGCAAACAGGTTAATATTTCCAGTATCAAAATGTCAAACTTCATCAAAAAAGATCATTTTGTTAACACTAAAAACATCAAAACTGAGGTTTGAGGATCTCGAAAGTGACTTTGACTTTTTTTCATTTACACTGCAGTCAAACTGGAACAAGACGTCATGTGAGTAACCGTGCCAAGGGAGGAAAATGCTCCCATTCTCTCAGACCAAATGATTCACTGGGTTTGGTGACACAAGGGACAAATGCTGAATAAAAAGCCATAACTTCATTTATTATTGAATCCGACGCAGCTGTGCTCTCTCCGCAGTTCAAAATGCTGCAGAATGGAGCTTTAAATAGGAGGCACTCACTTTGGTTATGTAAAGCCAAGAGAACCAGTCTCCCCTCTTTAAATTATTTATTGTTTTTACCTCATTTTTGAAGGAGGGAGAGTCTGGAGGGGTCCAAAATATGGTGCACAATCAAGCGTAAAGATGGAGAAAAAATGACTAAAAGCTTTGTCCAAATAATCAAGAACCAGAATAATTTATTTGCATCAGACCTGTACAGTTCAAGCCTAAAGTAAATGGCAGTGGCCGACAATGACAACTTCATTTTAATCCTCTAAAGTGCTCAGTTCTTACAGTCACATTGTTCCCACAAATGTATTCAGTGTTAATGAATAACACGCCAGGAAACATCCCCCAACACACCAAACACAAAACCTGAGAAAAAATGAAAGTGAAAGTGAAAGTTTCTGGTTAAATACAACATTTCACAACTTTCCAGATCAGGGACAGTCTTCCTCTGAGGCTCAATGACCAAATATGTGAGAAAAATCTATCATCTGTGTCGCCTTTGTTACCGACGACTCACTGCTGGTGTTCTCGAAGCTTCACATGACAACATCGAGCGGAGAGGGTGTGTGCATATTAGACAAGCATCTCTGAGTTATTAGTATGCACATACATCCTCTGAAACACAAACTGATTTGAATCCAAGACAGAGAAAAAAAAAAAGCTTTTGTGAATCATACCCACAGGCACACAGGAGATTTCTCTGAACGTACCCTCCGGATGTTTTATCGCCTTGTTTACTGACAACAGTTTTCCTTCTATGTGTCCGTACGGCCCTGTGAACATGATGAATATATTTCCCATGCGCTGCCTTTTAATGAATATTTAACATAAGGTTTTAGCATAATGTACTGTTGTAGTGTTTTCTGAAATGACAAATTGATTGTGATTTTTTTTTTTCTGATTCCAGACTTAGATCATTTACCCATATTTAGAGAGAAAATAAACTCAACATTTTTGGAAATTATTTCTTCTGCTGAGGCCCAAAATGAATAAAATAAAAACTGATTAGTTTTTTCTGTAATCAAACATTTTTTAAGAAAGCGTTTTAAAATGTTCTTTTTTCAGCATCTTGTATGTGAGGATTTGTTGCTTATGTGTCAGTAAATGAACCATATCCATAATCGATCAGTAAGTTATAAAATGCAACTTGAATTTTTCCCTATTGCTTATTCTATGACTCTGAAATTAAAACCTGAAGGCTAACTGCTTGCATATCTACCGGTTTGTTTCCTGCCACTCAAACTAGGCTAGATGAGTGAGGGTTTCCCACGTCACATCAGATGTCCCTCTCCACAGAGGGGTTTCCAGCTTCACCTTGGGAGACTTCTGCGTCTAACTGGGAACTACTACAAGTTGGACTCGCTGTGAAACAACCTAAAAGAAGACTCCTGGTCGGAGCTCTGCAAACTGTCACTGCTCATTGTAAGAGCATACATCAGCTGATACTAGGGATGCAAAATATCACACTGTATAAATTTGAATAAGTAAAAAAAACACTGAAACACTTCCTTTCCTAGAGTTGCTTACTCGTGCGTACATGGTTATATTTGCTTATTTTGATGTTACTTTTTTCTGTATCTTGGTGTGCTTTATATACCAAGAATTAGGGCTGGGCGATAAAACAATAATTTCCCTCAATATCAATATAAAACATGGTCAATATTCTTTTCAATAGTCTGCATTCTGCATTGTTTTGGTAAACTCGCGCTGAACCAATCGTGCCGAATTAGAACCAAGTAGCAAACAACTGTGTAGTAGCAGGCTGCAGCTACATGCAAACAATGGCACTTTAACTCATGAAGCCGAGAGCACTGTTGGGGAGAAAAAAAGAAAAGAATGCTACCTCCGGCAGAAATGCAGATGGAGAACCAACAGATGAGGACATCATTTACAAAACTGGCACAAAAACGTTGGTGGTGGTGTGGAGGTATTTTGTTTTTTGAGGTCGGATATGAAGCAGAGTAATGTGCACTGCAAATTATGTCGAGTACATGTTCTCACAAAGTCAGGGAATACCTTAAATCTCTTTCACCACCTGAAGCAGTGCCACGCGGCAGAACACGCGCAACGCAAAAGGTTGTAAACCCTGAGTGAAGCAAAGAGTCCATGGTGCTTGTGCAGCCGAAACAGCCGACCATTCAGTCCGCTTTCTCTAGCGCCTTACGTCTTATGACAAAATCAAAGTGACACAAAGACTTCACAGATACAGTAGCTTATTGTATTACAAGACATGCTACCAATAAGCACTGTTAAATTTCATTTTTTACACAGTGATATATATTGATATCGACTGATATGAAAAAAATATATTGCGATAAACTTTTTTCCCATATCGCCCAGCCCTACCAAGAATACATAGGTCATGTAAGTCAATCGTATAGTACATAGCAATAATGTCATCTAGTATTGTAAAACATAAGGGTTCAGATGATGCTTATCTCAGCTCCAGGTAGCAAAAAGAACGAAGCCGCCCTCAATTCTAATGTTTGTTTTAGACTGATAGAAATCGATGATTTGAAGCTGTAGGGATAAGAAATTAGCCAGAATTTGAAGTCTTAATGGGAGTAGATCTTTTGCATTCCTTGATACTCTGTGAGGACTTGAGGCGATGACTTTAATTCACAAACGCAGTGGTGTGGAAATAAACTCCTCATTCAGCTTTTTGATAGCATCAAACTCGCAGAGCTTAACATGCAGCGGCTGAAAAGACCGTTATATAAAGTAACGAATATAAAAGGCCTCTGCCTATTAGGTCAAGCCCAGCCATGCTTGAATAGAATGACTGTGAAAAGTCAACATTTTTCTGCACAGGCCCATGTGATGTGGTGCGAGAGGCATGCTCAAAGGAATGCCAATGCAGTGAGGGTTTCCCTTGTATCGCTCCACGGCTCTGTGCGGTTTAGGAGAGCCGGCACAGTGACGCAGAGTGCCATCTGTGGGGTAGAGAGGCAGACAATGCCCGGCCCACGGGGGAATAACAAGTGCCCGTTGCTAAATTTAACCCCCATCAGAGAAAATATGAGCAGGCAGCGGACTTTTAGAGGAATAAACCTGTGACATTTTCAAACAAGCAAATGTCAGGTTAGCCTGTTCTCTGTGGCCGCTTTCAAACACATCATCAAGTCTGTATTTATAGCTGGATGAGTTACTGTGTTTGCTCTTGTACGGGAGGAAACACTCAGGTGCTGATATCTTATGTAATGTTACATGCATTAGTTTGTACATATCTGTCAACGCCGTTTTATTCTCAGACTATCAGAGTTATGTAAAGATTTTATATCTACAGAATCGCCATTACTGCAGATTCATGTTCAGATTATTTTCTGACCTGCTCGCAACTAAATTAAAAAGGTATAAAAGGGAACAATAGTGCAGATAGTGCAGAGAGAGGTAGATTCTGGCTTTAGCTTGAGTGTTTTTTCTTATCTGCGGTGACTGAGGCTTACTTTGCATAATGTGCTAACAGTGTGTTACTGGTTTCCCTCTATCGCCTCAAACTAACACTTCTTCACTGGGGCTAGCAACAGAGCTAAAACCAGGTTCTGACTCACATTTGAATAACGCCAAATTAGCAGCTTCACAGGAAATGATTAAAACACTATTGTTACATTTGGTTCGTGACATGCTTGAGGTAATAAAATGTAAAACAACAGACGTCAGTTTCACAAGCTTCACATGATCTGTCCTTGTAAGGTTTTGTCAACACTGTGGCGGGTAAATAGTTAAGTCTGCCTCAGGGATCGCTCTCAGAAAAGGTTAGAGGGTCATAAAAACCAAATGGGGGTTCCCCTTGACAGCCAAAATGTGCAAATTGCTATCTAGGAAGTGCTGAGAAATCAAGAGCTTGGAGCAAAAATTAACAAAACACCTGTAAACTGGTTGGAAGCTGGTGAGGTACTTTTTATTGAGCTCCTAACACACTGCAACTCTGCATTGCTGCTGAATCAGTGCAGGCAAGTGGGAGCTAATGCAGCAATACCAGAAATGTTGTTAATGCAGGAAACGCAATGCTACAAGCAGACCAATCACAGGGCTTGTGGTGTGCACTGTACGTGGCTTTATATGTATAATAAACTTCAGTGAACGTAGAAAGTAGATGAAGAAGTTTCAAGCAGATTCTATGGGAATAACCTGTAACCTTATGCTAACAAGGCATTATTATTATTGAGGGGGAAAAATGCTGTTTTTTGAAAAATAGTCATTGTTTTAAAAAAGTCATGAGAGGAATAAAGTTGTAATACTTAGCCAATCAAGCCTTGATTTAGATGAATTAAGTCATCAGTGCAAACATTCGTCAGATAACAAAATAAGCTCTGAAGAGAATAATGTACTCGTATAATGAGGTAAAAGTTGTAATATTACGCTGCATTCGAGATACCTTGGAAGTCAGAAGTCTGAGCTGAAATGACATCACCAGCGTTTCAGTTACCAAGTTGGAAAAAAGCAAAATCTGAGGCAGAAACAAGATGGCTAAATCTACGAAAGTCATTTTAGCGCTGGCCTTGTCCCTGCTTATATTCAGACAAGGCGAGCGCTAAAATAACTCGCAGATGTAGCCATCTTGTTTCTGCCTCCGGTTACGCTTTTTTCCGACTTGGTGACTGAAACGCTGGGAACTTGGTCGTGACGTCATTTTCAGCTCATGAGTAAAGTTGGATCATTAGGCGGCTCTGACATCAACATAATACGACTGGATTCGACGACAGCATTAGCACCACACTTGTCACTCAGTATTGGGTGGCTATGGAGTTATCTCATTAGCAGTGCTAGCATAAAAGAACCCTCAACACCATTGCTAACATTTACATTTAAATTTCAATACGTCTGTCCTTTGGCGCCTTTGTGCAGCTCTTTCTTGAATTAAAACCAAAAGTCAGTGTACTACTACTCAACAGGATGACAGTCTTCCATCTTATTTATTATGATGTGCCAGGAATCACGGGATATGTTGAAGTGCAAAATACACATTTGATGCAGCCCTCACAGCCCAGAAATTGTAGGACACATATGTCCACCGCAGCTGGACACTTCGCTGTAACGCTTGGCCTAAAAAGGCTACAGCCTGGATTGGGATACAACTATAGAGCTCATGATGGTGTTTTAAAAATTCCAACTAAATTAGACAGCATTCGCTTTTTGACTGAAAGACTCTAAGAAGTGCAGAGGGAAAAAAAAGCCACAGCAGTGCCTGGTTATTACTGGAGATGACACCTAAACAAAACCCAGACACACCAGCCTCCTTTAAGCTTTGCCACCCTCACACACATAAACACAATTCCTCCGTCTCCCGTGTCTCCGGCAATCAAGACAGCGAGTCAGGAAGGTTATTTTTGACTTATCGCTCCATCTGGCTGCTCATTGTTTTTGGTGTATTACTGCTCTGATCCCAGAGTAAACAGTAAACAGCTTTGTGTGCTCTGCTGCCGCCACAGGGAAAGAAGAAGTTACAGGGTGGAGGCTGTGACTCACGAATACTTTTGTGTCATTATGCGACGATCAATAATTGATATGCGGTGCTGAATTAAGACAATACGATGCTGCAACTTCTTTTCTTTGCACCTCCAGATGAGTCAGAGGGAGACTTCCCTGCTGCTGTGGGTCAACTCACCCCCTCAGGTTACAGCATTAAATATTCACGCCGTACCTTTGCATAATTTACCTTGTCAACAAAAAGAGGGGAGGGGGGAAAAAGTGATGAATGTTTAAAGTTTAAGGAGGGCTCAGCAGAAATCCAGGACGGTTTAAACAAACTCCTCTCCAGGCAAAAAGGCGCTAAAGGCAGTTTTGCTTCACTGCAGTGGGTGGGTGATGCAAGGGAGCTTTTACATGTCTGCGCAGGGATCAAACGGGGTAGATAATTTCATAAAATAGACTCTAATCCTGCAGAATTCCTGGCTTAGGGCTGGCTGGGTGTATCCCGGCAGGCTGACAGTCCTCCTTCAAATGTTCCAGCTACATCTTTGTTTAAATGCCGCTGAAGAGTGTGTTGCCTGCTCTTCACCACCACCATAATGGTCTTCCTTGTCATGTGATCTGTGCAAAAATTCCAGAGCGGCTACTGCAGCCCATGCAGCGCACATGGCGGCCCTCTTTCTAACAGATGTTTTTCGTTTGTGCTGCTGCAGCCTTTCGGGTTTTTTCAAGAGGCACGGAGCCAGAGAGGTGATTCATGATGCGAGCCTTTCCCTTGTTACAGAAAGTGTGCTCCGGGTTCAGAATAAACAGGGCCCTGGATCAGTTCTGGTGGGTTTTTATTGTCTTCATGATATAATGAGATTGTAAGGGATTGATGATTTGAGATGTGATGGATAGTGCAGGCTGGGAGAAGCTGTTTGGATGTTGAAGAGATGGACAAGGCCTGGGTTTTATCCTTTAAGCGAGCAGTCTCTGGTCACCATTTACCTCTGATAGGTTTGAGTTTTGTATTATGAATAGTGCTTTTGAAAGATGTTGTGTATCAGGTCTAAGGGCCTGTGCATGAAGGCGCTGTCTACGAGTATGTGAGTATTTAAGAAAACATTGTCTTTATCTGTGTTCTACCCTTTGCTCACATTAGGAGTTGACTGATATTGGTCTTTCTGGGCCGATATCAATAACTGATATTTGGAACTTAAGTTAAAAACTATCAACGTAGGATTGGGAAAACTACAAAGCCCAACACGAAACTTTGTTTAAATGCCAGAAAACCAGTCACACTTAAAAGTACAGTTAAGTCCAACAGTCATATGACACCTAGCCAATCAGAGAGTGTTGTGGGCTGGGAATTAGACTTGGGTGAGACAGAGTGGAGGACCAAAACCAACATTTATGAACTTAATCGGTCATAGAACCTCAATACAGATAGAAAGCCAACTGCCAAATATTGGTCCTAATAATCTTGCAATACGGCCAATAATTGAGATATGGGCATTTGATACTGAAGCTTGTATGCTTTAAGTAAAATATTGGAGCTTGTGTCAAGGATGAAATGTCATGACTTTATGTCCGAAGTTTCAAACATCATCGCTGCTTCAAAAAACCATTGGTCTAAAAGAGGTCTAATAGACGTCTAAATGTAGCCTAGATGACTGGTCTAAAATCAGGCTACCACAGGTCTAGAAATGAAAGTTTTTTAGACGTCTACATTTAGACCAAATTTAGACTAGCCAGCTAACAGAGGTCGAACAGTATATTGCTCAACGACTTCGAGATCAGTTATGCTACTCACAGTTGCTTTTTGAACTAAATAGTGACCGGATAATGGGTTAAAGTGCAACGTCTAAATTCCGTCTAAAAATATACAGAATCTCGACGGTTGAAATTAGGTCTAAGAAAAAACTAGACGTCTTTTGCTCAGTGGGCTAATGCTTAGATGGGGTGATCAGCCAAAGATGTTCTTCTTCTGTGTTTGACATGGCAGACTGATCACACATCATCGCCACCTACTGGTCTGGCATACTTATGTGGTCGTATTCAACAGTTTCTGTATTGTTGAGTGGATGGAGAATATTCAAATGGACCTCTAATGAGGGCAGATTTGTTTTCAAACTAAGAAAAAATATCTGCCTTTTAAAAGTATCTGTTTATGCGCAGATATAGCCTAAATCCTGTGTGTCATGTCTGCAGCTAAATGTGTTTTAAAGTGGGAAACAAGGCCACACTTTGGCGTTATCTGACAGCAGAGAAGGTGAGCACTCCCCTGGTTTGATGCTCTATTTAATCATAGCAGGAAGGATGCCAGTGCAGGATGATGGTGGGGGGTTGGGGAGGTGGGAAACACGCACGCCACACGCAGAACAACCCACCTGCCTGGCCTGATTACTCTCCTCCTGCATGATTAAAGGTGACACGGCATCACAGACTGTGACTTTGGGAGTGTTTCTGCGCAGCACGAGAAAATTGAGTGTTTTCTGAATGCAATCTGGCCTATGTGAGAGCGGGGAATGTCGATAATCCTGAATCCAGATCTGACTGCCAGGGACTAGGGATGTTTTTTTTTTATCTGTGACACACACAGCTACAGCCTGGCAGCATGCTCTGAAGCTGTGAGTTATGTAATAGTGAACACAGAGAGCTGCAGGCCTGAGTGCACATCCCTGCATACACTCTTTTACCAAAGCCATCCACCTCCTCTAATATCGCTCTACATATCTTACAAAATAAGCTGCAGATTCACAAACACACCCTGTGAGAGCTTACCTACACACACCAGCCCTGCATTATTACATTAGAATGAGTGTGCAAAGTAAAAATACTCTTTCACAGCAGCTGCAGCTCAACAGGTGCAATTATTTTCTTTTCTTCATGATGCATTTGAGGCTCTCTGGAATTTTGAAATGCTGCCAAAAAACAACAGTTGAATTAAGGGGGTTTCAGAGTGTGGTATTTGCTGCATAAACAGTATTGAAATGCGTCTGTATTTCTGCTATGATTATTTTAAGAGTATATCTGGGTCATTTTGGATGTGTTGTTTAATCATGCATCCCCCAGTCATCCATCCATCCATCCATCCATCATGGTACAGCTTGCAGGCAGGCTGACACCGTGGCCTTACCTCCTCCAGCACATTCACTGTGTTCCTGCAGCTCTGCAGTCGGGTGGTGAAGCTGGATGTTGTCGGGGAATTGTAATCCTCTGTTGTTTCCGAGAGAAACTCGGACACCGATATTTGATCCGGCATCCTTTAACGGGGAAAATGCCCACAGGAGGGTTGGCGATGAATGCTCAGAAAGACAAAACCATGTAAGATTAAAAAACACTGAAAAAGAAAAGGGAGTCTGGTGCGACCGCGAGTTGTTGCCAAGAGAAAGCTGTTATTTTTTGCTTTTCCTCGCAAAACTGCAAAACTATCGAGATGATTCAGACGTGTCTTCTTCTCAAATGACTTCACTGTTCCCCAGGGGCCACGGGAGGAGGGAATTAACCAAATATCTTCAGGCTGGGTCCCCTCGGTGTGTCTATTCCTTCAGAGGATGTCTAAAAGCGACGCATTTATAAATAGTGTCACTCTGCGTCTCACTAAACCTCGGAGGAAAAACCACCGTAAAGAATAGCGGATGCCCTCATTATGCTCTACAGATGTTCAATAACCCGCTTGTCGTCAAAAAACCGCACCGTTACCAGCCTCTGTGTTAAATTTATCATAGTCCAGGGCCCGCCGATGTCGTGTCGAACAGCAGCGGGGTTTGGTCCTCTCTTCTCCAGCCGTAGTTTGTGTTTTTTAATGCTAATCGCTGCTGCAGACACATTCACTGCCACTCTCTCCTGCTCGGCCGCGCTCGAGCTTCTCAGAGGCAGCGTCAAGCAAAATGGCGGAAAGTGAAGTACTTCCGGTCAAACGTGTCAAAATAAAAGCAATTCGAGGTTTTTTTTTTCCCTTCTGTTTTTATTTTACTGTATTGTCATACCATGAAAGATATTGTTTCATTAAAAATGGTTCAAGGGATACTACATTTTTCATAAAAAAAAAAAAAAAAACAGAGGGGGTATGTTACATCCGTCATGTTATCGTTTAAATGACCCTCACTTTAAATGACTTTCACTTTATCCCTCATCATTGCACCATTATTACTATTGTATTATATGTATTTGCACTATTGCGTCCATATTGCCATATTTGCACTATTACATCCACTTCAGGACTGCCATACTGTTTACATTCCCTTTCTTCCACTCACCTTCTTCCTTTATATTTATACTGTCACACTGTTTTCACTGTTATGCTGTTTATATTATCTTTATTTTGTAAACTGAAGAGTATTTAAGGCAGTCTTTTGTTTAGCTTAGTTGTTTATTCTATATTTATACTTTTATAGTTTCATTCTTATAGTTTATTTTTATGCACCGTGGGTCTGAGACAATCTTTGGAAATCCCTACAATTTCACAAAGTCAATTAAAGTCCAGATTTGTGAATTTAGCATGTAAGTAGGCCAAACCCTAGTGTTGATACAGTGTTAATTTACGCTACCTCATCGACTTTCAGGTGAGTTGTTATGTTGCTTTTAACAGTTTTAACATTTTAATTCAAAACATACATTTATTTTAGTATAGAGTGGAAATTAAAAGGATTTGTGCCTCCCTATTTGAGGTCTAAACCAAAGTTAAATATACAATTTCTAAACACCACCTCTTGTCATTTAAAATAATGTTTAGTAGAATAAAAGTGTGGAAGATTGTGGCGCCAAGAGAAATTTTCTGTATAATATTCTGAAATGTGTCATTTTCCGGTGTTTTGTAATAATCTTTCAAAACTTGACGCAACTTTCTCCCACCCACCTCGCCTGGTTGACGGGGCTGAGGCGCCGCAATGCGCATGCGTGATCTGGGATCTAACTGCAGGGGGAGAGAGCCCAGCTTGACTGAAGGCCTGCCACAGAAAACGACGATGCAGCCCACAGAGAGAAAACATTACTGTGTAGTTTGAGTGAAGTGACAACCATAAAGAAACTAAACAGCCCAAGTGTCGATGGATGATTTGAAATCCATCAAAATCCTGTCAGATGGACATCTTCACGTTACTGGTAACAGAATTCAGCATAATGTCATTCAGTCTCACAAAGGCTACCTAAAAATCTTAAGTTTTCCCATATGCTTTCACAACCAAAAAAAAAACTTTTCAGAGTCTCTGCCATAATTACAACCTTTGGTGAATTTGATGATGATGAAGTAGTCCAGTTTACTCCAGTCAGTTCAGCAGACTCTCACTTAGGGTGAAATTATGACCTTTATTACTGGTTTTGTGGGGATCAAGGGAGTTGGGAAAAAAAAAATACAACCATTTTTTAAAAAGGGGACAGAAAGGGGGGAAAAGCTTTTCAAGTACTGTTTCTTTTTTATAATATTCTGTAAAAGTTATGCCATCTGTCATTGGTAAAGATACATCCCATACATTGTGATGGGTCTTTACATTGATAGGACCCTGAATATTAGTATTGCAAAGTCATCATTTATTGTAGAAAAGTGTACTTGCCGAAATCCAAGATGTTTTGGGGGATAGGGGATCTCATTAATAGTTTTGTCTCCATTCTCATCACAGTTTTTCCAAGTCCCTGTTGAACTCTAACAAACATTAGGCGCCATCTTGTGGCACTTTTGTGATATTGTAGAAATATCCAATATCTATATTCTGGTCATTTGTGTTGTTCTCCCCTACAGAATATTTAGGATAAATATCTGATACCTCATGGTAAATTAGTTCAAATCTGAGCAGGTAGGTCTTTCTTTGTATGGCTAGAAAATCCTAGATGGAAAAATGAAAGGGTAAAAGAGTCTAACCACTGAGAAGGATAGAGAGGGCTCTTTTATTTGGCCTTTCATAGACTTGTTTCTAATTGTCTCTGTCAATAGTAAGATCAGAGGTTTTCTACCATCTAGCTAATCACAAAGCTGCTCCCATTTGGCTTATCAAAATGCTGCGATGAGATCTTTTCTCTGAATTGCCAGATCTTTTCTCGAAATCACAAGATGAGGTGTCTATTTTATATTTTTATAAGGATACAGCTCAACTTACCCTGCTCCTATGGTCAACTTACCACATACACGGGGTAAGTTGACCATAGGAGACCACTTTTTTTTGGCATGCTGTTGGTTTGCAGGGATGAACAACATCTTAAAATATATGCAGATACGCTAGTTAGAGACAAAACTATGATTGTCTTGATGTAGTGATCTGAAATATGAAAAATGGCTCATCTTACCCCACTCTCCCCTAATGACGTTTATTTAATCGAATGAAGTTATGAAAATCTTTTAAAAACTTTGATCCATTGTCCCTGCACAACGTTTTTTTGTCTTTACTTGGGCTTGACTTAATTGTCAGATTACACAGTCTCCTGCATGCCAGACAACATTTTCGGACCTATGTGTGATCAGCTGCAGCTGTCCAGCTCGGCGGCTGCAGGTTTGACTCCAGGGAGCTCCAGAAGAGAGCGCTCAAATGCTGCACAGACCTAGGAACAGGAAGTATCCTATTATGGCATGGTGGTTCTCATATAAACTTCCGGTTGGGTGTGAGCTTGAAGCGATCTCTGCATTAAGACCCAAATCCTTGTATGTGTTTTGTTTTCATGACACTCGGATATATAACAAGAATAAGGATTATCAAGGATTGGTTGTCTTGAGCCATCATAGCTCCCTTCGGGTTATTCCGTGACCGTTCGTGTGGGTCGTTTTCGTGGATCCGTCGTCGTTAAACGGATAGTCTAGCTGAACGACCTTTTTTTTTCCCACTATCTATTTTTGACCAGAGTTTCCAGTTAAAATGTCCAAGTCTCTGAAGAAGATAGTGGAGGAGAGTCGGGACAAGAACCTCCCAGAGGTGGAGATGTGCGACAGAGGCATTTCCAATATGCTGGACGTCCCAGGACTGTGTAAGTTACGAGAAAGACTTTCACTCACATACCGAGCTAAATGAGGTTTCTGATACAGAGTTATGAGCTGTGTGTTAGCAGAGTTTTAGTTGGCAGAGTATCAGAAACTCTGAGAAAGTATTTATGAGGGAGGACGTTTCAGCAGCACTTCCCATTTTTGGGTGTAAAGACACATACCAGGACTACGCCTAGAGCCACAAGAAAACTAGTAGTAGATTTTTGCCTATGACAGGTACTGAAAAAAGTCACTACTGATACTAATGTAGGGGAGACCGGGGCTTGTTGTCACATTTTTACACTCGTATATATCTTGAAAGCAATACTTCATATATATGAACAAAATGTGTACCAGGTAAAAGACCAAAGTCTCAGGTATATGTTTCATACTCATGTCATTATCATATCTTGTGTCAGTGCAGAGCATAGACTGTACATAGAATGGACAGCATCTACCTTCTTGCTGGGTGAAGCCACTCCGAGAACAGCACCCTCTGGTGACTGGCTGCAGTATAGGTCATAAATCCCGCCTCCGCCAGCAAAGCTTTTGGAGCGGTGGACAAACTTCAGAAATTTTTACACAAAACATAAATTTCTCTTCCCTCGCTTGCAGTGTTGACATGTAGTTACAGTAAAGGTCCTTTCACATCAGGACCGCTTTTTCCGTGCGATTATTTCGGATGTCAGTATTTTTTTGAACCCGTATTCTGTCAACACATCAGCGACGTTTTCCAGTCCTGCGATATTACGGCATTTATTTTTCAGATTAAGGGCGATTTTTCTAAAGTTTCACATACTATGTGTCCACTTCTGACCAATCAGATTTCGTGATGTTGTGATGTCAGATTCACCGGTATATCCAACATGGCTGACCTGTTAGCTAATTGTTTACGTGTTGGAGGACAGAGTGCTTTTTGATAAAAGACACAAACATTATAAAGATAACGGCCAGGTGCCTAAATCTCTCCTCGAACAAGTCCACGTTTCACTGCTAGGATTTTTCTCTGGAAGAAGCTCATTTTAAAATATATCAAGTTAATTTTTTTTACTTTGGGTTGTGTGAAATGGTTAATTTGCACTCAGCTCACAATGTGCTCTTCTCTTCTCAGACAGGACACGGCCCCTGATCATGTAAAGGAATAAAACTAGTATTCCTCTTTTTAGTTGCGCCCTCTGGTGGCAAAGATAATTGCAATGTGACAACTTACCCATGTGACAACAAGCCCCGGTCTCCCCTATGTGTTTTCCGCATTACTTTAACTCTTTTCATGACAATCTGTTTGTTTGGGGGAAAAAAGCAAAAAAAAAAAAAGGCATAAAACAAGACGAAAACATCTGATTGTAACAAAGCGGAGAAATGTTATTACTACATACCTACACAAACCAAAAGCAGCCAGAATTCACAGAGCCAATGACATCCAGGGATGGTGGTTGGAGATGAAGATACTTGCACAATCCTTATTCGAGTCTCAGCTGAGTTTGTCACAAATCACGTTTACAGCTGGTAATCTGTATCTGACTTTTTAATAACATCAGGTTACTGTATATATTCGCTGTTTTTGTTATACCCTTTTGGTGTTTCTACCTGGTGCACATCTCTCTGCTCAGCTGGTGTCTGCGTGTAAACTGTATACCAGCCTATACTGTAAACCAAAGACTGACCCCCAAAACTCAAATGCATACGTACATTAATGGGGTCAGAAATCATGTATAGACATAGTGTCACAAATTGGATAACATTAAATTATTTAAGATGTAATCCAGTGCCCCTCTTCTGTGTGTGTCCCAAGCATTTTATACATAAATCAAAAACCTGTTATTATAATGTTGAAGAGGTTATCTAACCTTTCAAAGTCCCTGGGACATTAAAAAATCACTTTCCCCTGAGCAGGAGCTTTTCAAAGAGTAAATCTTCTACCCCAGATCTAAAATGACATCATATAACCCCGTCTTTGAGTGTATTCAGGCAAAACTAATACAGTATAATCTTGAAATAATAAAACTTTGCAAATTACTGAAAAGCAAGTAATTAAAAAAAAAACATCTGTGTGGTATATGTAACCTTCAAGATGTAGCAGTCCAGCTGAATTTATATACTCCAGTCCTCTGCATGTACACCAACAGCTGTGTTGGTCGCAGCGCTTCATTGATGTAATGTTCTTGGTCGTTTCAGTCACTCTGTCGAACATCACTCAGCTGGTCCTCAGCCACAACAAGCTCACAGGTGAGTTACTCCCTTCATTACCTCAGCTTTCTCACACACAACTATTAACAGTTGGGAAAGGAGTCCATCACACCAGGCAGGGGCTGTATTACACATTTGTTGTTTACTGTTGCGTCTTTGCGTTATTACATTGGTAGTTTAAATAAAATAAATAAAAATAAGTCTCATAAAGGAAAAACAAACCTCCTGAATGTTTGGCAAAACCATGACCCAGAAATTGAGTTTAGTTTATAACAGCCAAAATATCCAAATAAGGTCCATTCCTTAAGTTTGGTGCAAGAATGAGCAAACACAAATTACATAATATTTTTAAATCTTTAGATTAAATTATACAGTAATTTCTCCTTGAGATAATTCTAGTAAGTAGAAGGTGGCCTGAAAAGACAAAACTCTCTTACAGTACAACTACCTTTATATTCTACTTAAATACAGTACTCTACAAGTCACCTTCTCCCATCACTGTGTCAATAAATTTTAACTACAGTCATAGATTTGTACTTTCAAACAGTGCAATTGAGTGACGTACCAGCAGAGGTCACTACATATCCATTATTATACTTCCAGTATGTGTTTTAACTTGTTATGTGAACCTTATTTCGAATAAAGAGGTTCAGAAAGCTTAACAAGCTCATATTTTTCAGGAAAGTGTGCATCTATTCATTATATAAGTGAACCAACAAAGACAAAAAAATTGTAGTTATGATGGTTTTCTCTGCTGGGATTTCTCTATTTTCCAGTGTAAGAAATAAAGGTCTGCACAGTGAATGACCAGCTTGAAATAACACGTGATTAGTCACAATATAATGCACTTTAAGTTATTGAGAGTTTTCTCCCCTACATTATTGCAAATAATATTCTGATAGTGTGACAGAAAAAAAAAAAAACATTATTATTGAATCAGTATTAAACACTTACAATCTCTATCAGTATTGTCAGGAAAGGCTGTAAATTTTTGGACAATTTTAACCTAAAATAAACAGAAGCATCATTATTTTAATTATTTTTTTATTTTCCTGAAATTGGAAGAATTTTGTGATGTTCCTTTTTGCTCCTTCATTGACATGTTCACCTGCTGTGCTTTCTTATCTCTAGCTTGGATGAAAAGATAAGACACATCTCACTCTGCCAGGTTATTTTTAGCCCTAGATCAGACAAACTGGTGATAACATAATCGGCGTAGTTACCCTCCTGCAGGCGCTCTCTCGCATAGGTGTCAGAGAGAGACAAAAAATGGGTGGGAAGATTTAACGGGGTTGTCTAGTGGTCCTCTCAAGTACAGGTAATTTCCCCAGGACTGCAGTAAAGCACTCGTACAGTCCAAGTTTTGAAAAGGAGTCCTCTAAATAGCTGTTTCTCCTGCTTTGAATTAGCTGTTTCACATTTCCATTTCTGAGCCTCACTTGGACATTTTTTCTCAGACACCTTTGGTTCTTTACAGAAATTCCCACTGCCAGGCAAGAGCTACGGTAATGTGTCAGTGTATGGTGGTAATTGGGAGTCAGTTTTCCATTAGATAGACTATAGAGGAAGCTTCTTTTGGTTGCTCCCCAGTGCTAAAATGTTTTCATTGTGCTCACACACAACACTAAAATCTTTGTTACACAATTTTCCCTTGAGAGGATTGCAGGGCTTTTCTTTTTTGACACCATCAAATGTGCTGATAGCACACCGCTAACACAAACAACAGGCAGAAGATCCCATATGGAAATCAACATCATATTGTGTATTGTGTGGAGAACCACATAAATGCTGTAGTTAGTCTACCTGGATTGGTTGTTGTGCTGGTCCATTGATTTAGCTCTGGTCACTGGCCCATAGAGAGAGGGGGCAGCTAAATTAAATTGATTCCTGAGATCCTCAGTAAACCAGTGGGACCTTTATAACCAGTGGGTCTTTACTGAATCTTATAGACCCCATCTATCTGTATATCTATTCCACTGTAAACACTGGCACTGTGATCCCAATAAGATCTCTGGATGTAACGGAAGGCCGCTCTGAAAAAAGGTCTGTTTTAATCTTAAATCTTAGATATTAATTTGAATAAATTGTGCAGCATGATAGCTAAACATATTATTTTACTAAAGCCATATACCTGGTCAGGATCCCCTGTATCTCCACAGCTGATTTAGTCAAAAACTTTGAATCAGAGCAGCAGACATGCACTGTCACAAACATGGCAGTATTAGGAAACAGTTAGTCGCTGAACACCAAGACATGAAATAGTAAATATCACAAGTTTTACCAACTTCTGCACCAGCTGAAGATTAGGGGTGGGAGAATTTAGTGGGAGATTTAGCATAGTATTGCGATATTTTGTCTGGTGATATATTGTGTCGTCTCATTTACCAAGTATTATTTTTTCAAATTAATTGCTAATTTGAACTCAAGTATACGATGATGGAAAAATAAAACTACTTGTTTTTCTAGTGAGGTCGGCAGAGGTGAAATCATAGAGCAGGAGAAAGTTAGTGCAAAAAACAGTAACTGGCGATGGACATTAGGAATACACATGAGGTTTGCAAGAAGCGCTACATGAAAATAAAATACTGCGTAAATAAGACAAATGTAAAGGGAATACAAATGACAAATCATCGAAGCAGTTGAAAAAAATTTATAAATTGTAATATATGTTTGAAATCACAATTATATTGAGTTGTGGCCCAAGTATCGTGATAATATCGTATCTTGATTCCCACCCCTGCTAAAGATTTAGGCCCTCTGTCATCCTCATCCTTTGCAGGCACCGTTTGACTTGCATTTGCGACTAAAAATAGATGTGTGCGAATTGTAAAATATAAAAAGTAAGTGTTAAGCCCTGCTTTTCCTTGCTCCCTAATATTAATTACTTGTTTGAATGTTGCATCCTTTTTAATATCCTAATTAGTAGAAATCAGAGCTGTTTTGTTGTAGTAGATATATGTAAATCTCAAAGAAAAACTGAGTTGTGGTCCTCCAAACACACACACACCAAGCTCAGAGTGATATAGTATCAGTATGATAGACCTCACCCCTCTAACGCTGATTCTCCTTGCAGCATTCAGGTCAGGGCATGGTTGGTTTACACTTCCATTGCCTTTATCTCTTTCTCTCACCATTGATCTTCCAGATAATCCGCTAAATGTCCTGCTCTTTGTTATCAGCTCATTGATCTGTGTCCGCCTCTGTGACCACAGACCATGGAGGAATGAAACTGTAGATGGAATTAAAGAAACAAAATGCAGCGTGTTGCTTCTCAAAATTAGCTTCATTCGGCTTGAGGGTCGTCAGAGCAGCTAATGTAGTTAATTATGTGAGAGTTTAAGATGATTCAGAGTTGGTTGTCGGGAACTGGGACTTCAGCTCACCACACTCTGTGGAATAACTTAGCTGGAAACAAAGAGGTTGTTTCATGTACCTGTCACATCTTCTCTTTTTTGTGTATTTTCCAGCGGTGCCTGCTAACGTCTCCGAGCTGAAGAACCTGGAGGTTTTAAATATGTTCAACAACCAGATTGAAGAGCTGCCTACTCAGATCAGCAGCCTGCAGAAGCTGAAACACCTCAACCTTGGGTATGTGCCCCTCTAATTAATAATTTCATTAAAGTATGTCTGCTAAATGACTTGTTTGTGTTTGTACCTATGTGTGACATACGCGCAAACACATTTCCATAGCAACATTAGTAAGAGAGGTTTGATTCCTCGCCTGTTTGGGAGACACGCGTTTGACTGCTGTGTGTATGAGTGCAGGCTGACAATGACAGGGCGTTAGTGAAAGGAGGATTAGGGTGGGAGCTTGTGTTGTGTATTGATCCACAAACAAACATCATCTAGGTAGTGTAAGCCTCATACTGATATTCAGGTTGTGCATTCACTTTTCACTGTGTGTTTGTCTTTCTGTAAGGGGTGTGAGTGCGTGTGTGCGGGCATGTGCGTGTATATTTGAGAGTGGTCAGGCATCTGTGTATTTAAACCTTAATCTCATTTGTCAAACATACATAATAGAATTGGAATAGAATAGTTGTCCATATACACCTATCAGTCGCAGACACAAACACACACACACAAAAAGAGCCTATCTTTCTTGTCTGCTAATCTGTCTGCCCAGGCCTTTGAGTCGCTTCCTTCTTATTCAGTCGCTGACGTTAGTGGTGGTAAGACCCAAAGGACTGACAGCAAACAAACAGCAGAAATGTGTAACTATGGAGACCAAAGACTGACCACGACTAGAATGAGATTTCACAGTATTTTACCCTAATTAAATCAAAATAATAACCACAACATGAAAGGACGCACCAATATTTGAGACAGTTTCATTCATTGATCCAAACTAATCAACATCACGGCTCTGTAATTAATCAGTCATTCAGCTTTTATTCTGAATGTCCATCCTTGACTGTTCTCAGGTGAACTAAGTCATTTCCTCTTTGTTTGGCTTCCTTCTCAACTGTGTGAATCGAAGCTGATTCTGACCCAGTTTTCATTCACACATCTGCCCTGGAAGTCTGGCCCACTTACGCCAAATTACAAGCCCTTTGTTGTGCGTTGAACAGGGGGTCATGAGAGCCGATCACTGTCCGATCAGCTGCTCCAGACTGGTCAGCACTTCAAGGACCCTTTATATACACTGTGGGGGTATATCTTACATCAGCTGTTTTTTTTTTTTTACTGCAACAGGTTGAAGTTTGTTTTGCATTTGTGTGTTTGTGTGCACAGAATGAACCGTCTGAACACCTTGCCAAGAGGGTTCGGCTCACTGCCAGCTCTGGAAGTGTTGGACCTCACCTACAACAACCTAAACCAGAGCTCTCTGCCCGGAAACTTCTTTTACCTCAGTGAGGACACACACACACAGACACACACTAAAAAACACACACAGTGTTAAAGAAATTTGTAAATCAATAAATAAAGCGAATGTTCAAATTTAACTATGTCCTTAAAAAAATGACTCTAGTCTGACTCATGCAAAAGGACCATAAACGACTAACAAGCAGTCGTTTGCTTTTCATTATCTGTCAGTTAATTTCACACAAAGAGAAATCTTTGTTTACTGAAATACAACATGTGAAGAGTTAAAACAGCCAATCTTAAAAGTATTACTGCAGTTATATTAAATGAACCAACCTTCCTTTGAAGTTGTCTAATGTCCGAACATATTATGATTCACAAATTCAGAGACAGACATTTCTTTCCTCTGCACATTCTCTTGCTTGCTAAATCACACTTGGTTGTAGGTCTGAATAGTAGCTTTGTATGTAAACTATAGTATAGTATAATACTTTTGTATGACATCTCTGTTGCCGGTTTACCTCATAATTTTTTATGTTATTGTAGATATTAATGTTCCAAAAGATAGATTAGAAATTATATTCAAATTGCAACTTTGATTCAGAAGTTTACTGCTCTTGGTAGGTTATAAAAGGTTTTGCTTGAGCAAGAAACTGAAAGAGTTAACTGCTCAACTCTCAAAATATACACATCAAAACTGAATATTTGTGTGTTTTTGGAACTCAGTGAAGAGGCACTTTGGGCTGGCTTCATACCAAACTCTTAACTTTACTCCAGGAACTGCACTTAAACAGCACTAGAATCAAGGAAATGAAAACAGTTTAATTATTTTTAATGTGATTTCATTTGAACTTAAAGCTCCTGTGAGGATTTTTTTGTCTGTGTTGAGTTTGGCGCCCCTTGTGGACAAAGTTATGCCCCTGTACTCTTATGAAAGACTTTCTTCAGCGCACCTACCCCCTCACAGCAGCTACATGCAATAAAAATTCAAATATAGAACCTGTCTGTGTTATTGTTGATGGTCTCATTTGCTTTTGTTCATTTCAGTCAGTTTTGTATCCTGTCGAAAAATTCCTCACAGTAGCTTTAATGATCAGCTATGACTCGACTAACAGATGTGCTTGTTTTGCAGCCACTCTTCGTGCTCTCTATCTGAGTGATAATGACTTTGAGGCTCTGCCTGCAGACATTGGGAAGCTGACCAAGTTACAAATAGTAAGCTAATGTCATAATCATTTGATGATGATTTTTGAAGTCTTACAGTTTCAGTATTTTCATGCATGAAGGTTTTCTTCATATTAATTCACAAAAAGCAAGTGTCAAACATCAAGTGTGAATAAGTTTTTCTTGTTCTTCTTCTTTCCCTCCATTTGCCGTGCTGCTCCTATTCAGCTGAGTCTGAGGGATAATGATCTGATTTCGTTGCCCAAGGAGATAGGCGATTTGGCTCAACTCAAGGAGCTTCACATCCAGGGAAACAGACTGACCGTTCTGCCACCTGAGCTAGGTACAAACCTGAAAACACGCATGGCCTGACACGGCTATTACAGTCAACATCACAAGGGTGGGACTTTATTGTGAAGAGTTTGCTGGAAAAGATGCTCCACCTGACGGAGATCCCTTCCAGACCCCGGGGCCTCTATAAATTCTGCATAGTCATAATTTTTTTGTTTATCAAAAAGTGGTGAGTTTAATTACTTAAGTGATATCCATCGATGTCTTCTTTTCTGCAGGTAATTTGGATCTGACTGGTCCCAAACAGGTGTTTAAAGCAGAAAATAACCCCTGGGTCACTCCCATAGCAGACCAGTTCCAGCTGGGCGTCTCCCATGTGTTTGAATACGTACGCTCCGAGACCTATAAGTAGTAAGTGCTAAGACACACAAACTCACCCACACACACAAATTTACAGTCCTGCTTTAGAGAGTATGAGCTGACGTCACACTCTTGGACAGTGCACAAAGCAAAGTCTGCAGGAAATTATTTTATTATTTCAAACTGTGATTTATCGATTCTACCATCTGAGAAAGTGTCATTGACTCTCATCAAATGTGGCAACTGTGCACAATACAACTCTCAACATTTGTGCAGAAGTTAGGCAGCTAGGTCTGATACTTTTACCTCATGAAACTGTAATATTATAAGAAAATTGATGTCATTTAAAATTGTTTATTTGAATTATTATCTTTTTTAAATACCTGCAAAGTAATTACTTTTGATGTTTACTGGAAAAACAACCTCAAACAGAAAAAATCCTTATATGATTGTTCTGTGTGAATAATCTGCTGGTATGTAAATGTTTTATTTTACCTGAAGCAAACAGTTTAGTACTGCATATTATGAATGAGTGAATGAATGAATGAATGAATGCATGCAGAAGCTCTTTGATGGGATAAATCAACATAACATTATGGTTTCAAATACTTCTATGTTATTATGACACATACAATGCTCATATTGTTTTTAGCTGAGGTTCTTGTCAAGTCTTGATTAGTGAAATTATGGCACTTTTCAGCCTATTTATACCTGACATCCTTGAAAAATAACCTGTTTAGCTATGTTAAGGTAGCTAGGCTTCAGATACTAGAGCTCTATTTTTCTTTATTAGCGCAGACCTCTCTCTAGTCCCTCTGCTATCTGCATGTTCGGGGACACACACACAAACATAATGCACTGTCCACTGATATGTGAACCATTATCAATAATCTTCTGTCGCTGCATCGATGCAGAGTCGCTTACTTCTGTACAGCAATGCATCATAAAAACGATTAATTTCAACACCCTTAATTCCAGCTGACTGCTGACACCACTGAGAACTTTCTTTGCCTTGTGCTTTTTGCCGCTTGTTACATGTAACCAAAGTGACTCAGCAGGTAAACATTGGGTTCACTGATGGACCGGACCTTCAGTTCTTTGTTAGAGTCTCTGAAGCAGGTTTTATGTGATAGCCCTCAAAAATTAGAGTAAAGGTCCTTACACACTGGGAACAACGCAAATATACAACACAAAATTACAAAATATTCGGACGCGAATTTTGACACGCCTGACTATACACATCAAGCGCGATGTGATTTTGCTACTTTCTGGGTGGAAAAAAGATGCGTCCTGGGTGGAAGTGAGAAGACTGACACAACAGCAGACTGACTGTTTTCAGTTCTGATTAGACTCTAGTGTTGAGCTGTCTGTCTGTCATGATAGCATGTACTGAGTCGGGCCAGTACCAGATAAGCACATTAAACTATAATCCATAAACGTAAGGTAACAACCGAGACCTAATGGTGCTGTGACGGCAACGTGATTGAGTTTGAGACAGTGACACATATGGTATGTTGTATCTGAACAGGTTAGCTTACGAGCTAAAGTTACTAAGCACAGATGAAAGTTAAAACAAAGACGTTTAATAAACTGTTAAAGCACACAAACCATCGTCAGATGAGAAATCCGACGTTATGACTCTCCATAAGTTGTCCTTCAGGTCGTTATCTTTGTAATATTTGTGTTTTTTATCAAAAAGCACTCTGTTCTCCGACATGTAAACAATCAGCCGGTCGGCCATGTTGGATATACCGGTGAATCTGACATCGCAACAACACGAAACCTGATTGGTCAGAAATGGACACACAGTATGTGAAACGTTAGAAAATTCGACCATGATACGAAAAAATAAATGCCACAATATCGCAGGACAGGAAAATGTCACTGATGTGAACACTTGTATTGACAGATTACGGGTTCAAAAAAAATATTGATGTCCGAAATAATCGCACGAAAAAAACGCTCCCGGTGAGTAAGGAATTTAACTCGGGAGACTTCTCTAGCCCCCTACAAAACTGCTGTTGACGCTTTTTCTGCACTTATCTCAGCATAAATATGAGGAAAACCTCCTTGAGTGACGCCATGTCTGTTGTTTACATCCCACACACAGAGTTAGAGTTGTATACGACCTGAGCTGCACAGCGTGCCTTTTGGAGGTATCCTCCAGTAACCCACTTGTATGTGAATGCATAGCTTCACAGTAAGTACATATCTGGCTCTATTTTATTGAGCATATTTTGTTGCTGCTGTCGAGAAGCTGATCAAATAAATCAGCATGCATCTTCCTAACCATAGCATTACCATATCTTTAATCAAAGTGTTGGTACCTTTTATCTGACATTGAAGGAGTTTGGGGAATAAGGTTTCTTCTAATTTGAAAAAAACTGTCAGGCTGCAATGTCTTATAAAATATCTTAGGGACATAAATGTTTATTAAGGTGTATAAATGTGTTGTCTTGGAGAGGGAAATGTTGCAGGTTGCACTTTAGCACAAAGCTGTAATTTATTCCTTTTATCAAGCAGAAGGAGATGCTGCAAATCCTCAGTGTGAATGCCTTAAACTGCTGCTCTGGGGCATGCTGTGGAACTGATCCCTGCACTGTTTGACTGTGTGTGAGCAAGACCAAAAGAGCGTCTCTCAACCGTATTCCATCCCAGCTCTTGTTTTCGTACTTGTATGAGTGTTGCGTGCTAGTGGGTTTTCTGTCTGGGTGCATATCAAAAACTGTGCAGTTGAATCAGTAGGCTCAGTCATGGAGCTGAATTTACAAAGATGGCCTGTTTTTAAACTCATCACTATCAGAATTCATCAACAACTCTACATACTGCCACACCATGTTTATACCAAAGATTAACATATCTCTTCAAACACAGTGAATTTTAGCGTACATTATTTTTAATATTGTTCAACCTACATGCTAAGATTCTTGTATCCATGCGTCAGAGCGAAAAAAGATGCTTTTGTTAAGTGAATAAAGGAGTGGAATCTCTCTTTTGAAAGCACATACAACATATTTAGTATTGAGTTATGAAAGATTATGATAAATACAAGTTAGTTCGAATACAAACAGGGGACAAGTCATCAACCGTGGCATTTTTAAATCCATATTTCCCCCATTGAGTTACTGGAACCCGCTGGGATGTGATTCTGTCCTGCCAGCCAAAACAGCCGCCTTTCATTTCTAATGAAGGGCTATACATTATATTTAATGACAAGCAGATCAAACTGAACAGTCACCTGTGTCTGTCAGTCCGGATGATGGAGAGCCTGGCCACTCTGTCATGGACAGCAACTCTATCTTTGTGATCAGTCACCGTTGACATTAGTCAGCATTCATAAAAGCAGAACATGCATAAATAATCTGTCAGTTTTATCAATGCGCCTGCAAAAAAACACCGCAATTGACTTCTGTCCTCATTTGCACAGGCTGGTATGGCTGGTGTGTGCCATGGAAAAAGACCAGACGCACACTCACGCACGTAGAGATGCAAACAAATTTTTTATCACAGGGTTCCTACGTAAGAATGGAGATAAATTTGATCAGTTTCCGGGTCTTAAAAAGCATGGAAAATGAAAAATAAAGTATGGAAAACTATTTATGTTTCAAGACTTTTAACACAGTTCTGAAATAAAAAGTAGGTATTTCCAAAAATAATTTGTTAACACTTTACGATAACAATAATTTTTTTAATGGTAAATAGATAGTTTATTGATGTAGGTTGATACTTACTTTACCATTAACAAGCAATGCAATTATGATTAATTATTCTTCATTAATTATCAATGGACTATTTATTAAAGGGTTTAAATATTGGTTTCAAAACATCTAGATTAAAATGTGTGTCACTAGCACTTTGTAAATGGTTAATATTTGGTTTTTAAACCATCTATAAACATCACTTAGATGGTTATTGTTGAGTTATGCAACTGATGTTTGTACTTTGTAAATAATTAATAATTCGCTTATAAACCATCTATAAACATTACTTAGATGGTTACTGTAAAGTAAGAGATAAGGTTAGGTTTCTAAAATTGTAAAATTTGCAATTTATTAATGGTCTATATGCTATTTATAAATGATGATTAAACATTAATAAACTATCTGCTTACCATTTATAAATGGTCTATTTAACATTTGTGAGTTACGGATATTGTAAAGTGTTACTAATCATTTTAAAAAGTAGGGTTTGGAAAAGTACTAAAATTTCAACTGTGTAGGAACCCTGTTGTCATTTTTAGGATTCTCCCCTCAAAAAAGCCCGTGTTACCACTTTTAATGTCGTATGCCTGTAATGTAGACGTAAATATTGTTACATGCTCAGCTTCTTTAGTTTCATATCTGTAGGGTTGAAGTACCTCTCTCCTGATGGCAGCAACATGGTACTTACTGACAGGCTAGTGTTAGAGGTGTATAAGAGCATGTGAATAAGTGAAAGACTAAGACAAGAATCACACTATACATAGTGACATCTGGCAGCAGCCTGTCTTAAAGACAGGTGTGACAGAACTTTCCAAAGATCTTCATTGGGTCTTCACAGCTTTATCCACACCTAACTAATTATCCTTCAACTTTCAACCCTGTCAACACTCGCGCACACACACAGCTGTCTGTACCACCAGTTTAGCTTTTTTATAATGTACGTACAAAGGATAATCATGTCTGTTTGAGCCCGGAGCAGGCCAGCGAGGGTTCAGGGTGGGTGGGCAATCGTATTTGGACACGGTACAAGGAGCATGTACACTATAAAATTTGTCTAAAGGAATATCTGTAAACGATGTGTCTTATACAGTTATAAAATACTATTATACTGCACTTTGTTTAGTGAATGAGAAAAAGAGTAAACACTTGTCGAGTGGAAGTACAAGACACTGTTATTGTTGACATGGTTATATCAAAATGAAAGACATTCAGATGAAATGAGGGGATAACACCAGACCTCCCGTGAGCAGTGTAAACGGGGAGTGTTACAGTTCAGATTTACAGATTTTTTTTAAACTACTGCCAGTTTCAGATCTTATAACACGTGCTGCGGCTGTTTGAGCAGCTATAGAAACTGCTAATTGGCTTGCCATCAAGGAGTTTAGAGAAAGAAAGAGAGAGTGAACTGAGAAGCTTATATAAAGGTGCTGAGAAGAATCCTTTAATTTGAGGCTATTCAATCTTTCAGTGTCGGTGCCATTAATGAAACGTTACATACAGAGTAAAAAAAAACAAACAAACAAATAAACCTCTTAATTTCTTCGTTATAAACGGCGCTGATATTGTAAGTCAGATTTTTATTTTTATTTTTGCAGTGTTATCACCCTTACAGCCGAATATTATCTTATCTTTTTTTTGTCTTTTTCCTCTCATTATATGTCATTTTCAGCTATTTCTGTTTGGCCAGGCCCTAATAAGTTGCGCTGGATTCATTGCTCAGTCCTTCCCTCTCTGGCGCTGTCAAATTATGTTCACGCATAAATGCTTAAAAAAGATTGCTGCACCAGGGGCCTGCAGTGAAAAGATCTGACAATTGGAAAGCTGGTATTGCAACCTTGTCTAATGTCCACCGCGCATACCCGCAACCCCCCGCTCTCCTTTTCACAGCTATGTGCACTGCCTGAAAATCAGAGATAAACTGACTCCGCTCTGTCTATCTGCATATCTATCTAAAAACTGATGCAGATGTGTTGATAGAGTGATAAATATATAATTCTTTTATATCAAATTAGCCATCCACTTATAGTGACGTCTGCCTTTTTTAATTGTTCTCATTAATACGGACAATAGAAGAGAAATTAGACAGATTTTTTAACTGTATTTACTTTACTTTTCTCTCGTCGTTCTTCATGAATCTTAATTAGAATTCTTCATACCCTTTTCTCTCTTTCCCTGCAGTTTCCTCTCTCTTTTCCTTTTTCTCTCCAACTTTTTCTCCTTTCACAACTGTTCCTGCGTCTCTGTAAAAGAAGCTACTAAATTGCTTGGCAGCTCTTGTGAGGATGAGGTGGCTGTGAGACTAAGGCCCCCCCCCATCCGATCAATGGCCTTTGGCCTCCTTGTGCATTTATCACACGCGCACTCGCTCGCACATACATATTTTTAGCTTTGTTACGCACACATACACACATGGTAAAAGAAACCAACTTTCAGAGCTCTTGAAACACACACACATACACACACACACACACACACACACATGCAGAGAGAACTTTGCCATGATTAATTAAGCCGTATGGAATTGGAGAGCTTTATAAAGACATCATCAGGAATCTGAATCCATTCGCCTCTCTTCTTTTGCTTTTAATTGGCCGTAACAGTTCATCACCCACACACACACACACACACACACACACACACACACACACACACACTCACACCACACTCACCCACACACACACATACTAACCCAGTTCGAAGAAATGGGAAATCTTTATGTTGATCTGCAGCCAAAACTGTTGGTGCTCTGTAATGGTGGTACAACAGGATGATGAATCTTTTTTTATTATTTTTTTATCGGTAAACAAGTCTTTTAGTTGGATGTTGCATGTTCAGGCGAGTTGTAGCCTTTTTAGCCCACAAAGAACAAAGAAGAAGAAACTAACAGGCCTCGTGTCGACTGTTATAATCTAAATTGTGTAGAGTTTCAGTGAAATTGAGGAGAAAAGGAAACCCTGGCCTCAGGTAAAACTTGTCAAATGGGTGGAGCTTCCACTCTCCAAGATTCAAACCTGATCTAACAAACACTTGGTGGTACGCTCTCAGAACTGGTAAGTGTCTCTGGACACTTGGGAATGTAGGATCTAAAATGACGATTTCCAATAAGAGTACGATCCGCTGCGACTGCTGATTCACAGCCATATCTGCTTCCCTCAATTATACATTAAGTTTATTTGTCCACTTTTTGCACCAGTCCAGCTTTAATTTTTCACTGATAAATTGTGGAGCTGCAGAGGAACCACCATGCTTCTGAAGTTTTATTCCACTTTGCCTCTTCAGTCTGTAACTCTCCTCCGTGCTGCAGCTCTTGCAAATAATCTCAGCTCTCTCCCTCTGTGCGCTCCCATCTCTGTCTTCTTTTTCTAAGCTGATGAAAGTGAAGTGAGAGAAAAAGAGAAAGAGAGAGAGAGAGAGAAAGTGATGACAGCGTCCTGGTTGCTGTACTGGTGTTTATGTCAGAAAAGTAAGTCTCTAGTTTCGGCCTCTTTCTCCTGCACTTTGAGTGAAGGCAGAGTCAAAGAGTCCGTGTCCCTGATGTGATGTAATTTTATTCAGTATTGGGGGGAAAAGTGGTTTTCTTGAAGCTTAAGTGAAAATAAAAACACTTTCTCCTCTTAATTTTTTGCAGCAGATGTAAAGAGATCAGATTGACCCTTGGTTATTCAGCGTGTCGTACGTCAAACCAATCCAGTTCCAATATGAGCCGTGTTGCTGTTTTTATTCTTTATTCTTGATAAATCAGACTTTTATCATGTGATGTAACTCCCCATGCTCTATTGTGACCCTCAACATGCAGAACACACAGGAATAAAGACTCTTATTGGCTTTGTGGACTCATGAAGAGCTCTGTGCTGCGGCTCACAGGCTCCATAAACCTTGAGAGGAGGTTTGGAAGCACTGCAGCTACTGTAGCCTCGTGGAGTTATTGAATGAGTCAAATAAAGTTTGACTTATCTGACTGTTTTGTTTGGCTTTATGCGCTTTATAATCCAGTGCGCCTTATGTATGAAAATAGACGCGTTCATTGATGGTGCACCTTATAATCAGACGCCTTATAGTGCGAAAAATACGGTAACTAGCCTGATATTTCAACTTTTATGTTTTCATGCATCACTTTCAGACTGGTCCTGTTTCGACAATATGAAAGTGATGCATCATTATGTTATCTTAGTGCAGCTTTGTGTAATTCTGCAGATCATGCTAAAGAGACTAAGTGGACTTTCTGACCCAAAACTCTGAACTGAAACAGTTTCTGTGAAGTGAGGCCAATCTTTGTGTGAAGTTTTAAGGATACAGTCGTTCTGTGCTGTGGACTTTCTTCTTTTCTTTCTTTGGTCACGTGTTTTAAAATCAGAATAAGACATTATGGCTCTCCCTGTATGCTCTCGTTTTCACGTTTCTCTGTGACAGTCCTGGATTGTAAGATATGCTATAGCTGGACTGCGCTACAACATATAGCAGTACTGAAAGGGAATTATTAAAGCCATTTTAAAACATTGATTTTCTATTTTTTTCTTGTTTGAAGGAACACTCCATCAATTAGGCTGCATTATCCTCTCCTCTGTGAATTGATTCGTCTTTGTCCTTTATGACACACTGAAGGATAGTCCCCCTCCTCCACTCCTCCTCCTCTTCCCCCTATATCCTTCTTCCCTTGATCTATCCATCACTGCTGGGAACAAACAATTATGCCAACTCTGGCATGTAATGGTGTCACCAAGTGTGCTGCATTCAGTGTTAATTCATACATCTGTTTTAGATTTAGTTGTTAGTAAAAACGCCTGTTAACTTGGATCATATTTGGAGTCATTTTTGGCCTTTGGTGTCATTTCAATCAATAAGAAGTCATTACTTTTAGTCAAAGCGTTTTCTCTTTTTGAACTCATTTATTCAGCCAATTAGCGTCTGGATTGTACCAAGTGTCTAAATCTGCAACTTTTCACCCCTTTACGCTTCTACTTGAGTTGGATTTTTATTATGAGAGAAATCCACAGATAAATGTTTGTACCACAGCAGTTTTGTCTTGAAAATGAAGCTCAGTTTTACTGTATTGATCACACAGCTACAGCTTTACATCATGTGAGAGGGTCACTGTAAATTAATGCTTATGCCAGCCACCATGTGCCACTGTTTCCTGCACAGGATCAGGCATAACATTAAGACCGCTGACAGGTAAAGGGAATAAAACTGATTGTCTCTACATGGGATCTATTTGTCCTCTAAGTTGATGTGTTAGAAGCAGGAGAGATGGGCAAGCGTAAAGAGAAGAACGGGTTTGAAGAAGGCCAAATCCTAAGGGAAATGGAGCGTATACGCCCCTTTTACACCATTACACCCACAGTTTCTTTTGCTCCTGCTATCAAAAACGTACATGGCTAACTACATGGTGAAGAGAATGCCCTTTACTGCTTTATTTGTGGGGGTATCAGACCTAAAACAGTGGATTGAAGCCCTCAGGGATGTAATTCTCCTGAAATACCACATTTTAAATTTGATGTAAAATTTGGCCAGGGTCAGCAAAAGCTACATAGTCATGGATATGGAGAGTATTTATAATGATTTAGAGATTAAGATCGATTTAAAGGTGCAAAAGTAAATACATGCGCATTACCGGGGTCAGGTGGCAACTAGGGCTGGGCGATAAAACGATAACAATATATATCAAAAATTTATTTCCCTCAGTATCAATATAAAACATGGTCAGTATCCTTTACAATAGTCGGCATTCTGCCATGTTTTGGTAGACTATTCTAATAGCCAATGAAAAGGGGAATTGCTCTGGGTCTATGTTACGCTGAACCAATCATGTGCTGAATTAGAACCAAGTAGCAAACAACTGTGTAGTAGCAGGCTGCAGCTACACGCAACCATAGCACTTTAACACGTGAAGCTAACAGCACTGTCGATGAGAAAAAAAGAAAATAAGTGCTACCCCTTACAGAAATGCAGATAAAGGCTCAACAGATGGTGATATTGTCGACAACACTGGCACGAAAACGTTGGTGGTGTGGAGGTATTTTGTTTTTTTGTGGTCGGACATGAAGCAGAGTGATGTGCACTGTGAATTATGTCGAGTACATGTTCTCTCAAAGTCGGAAAATACCTCAAATCTTTTTCACCACCTGAAGCAGTGCCACGTGGCAGAGCACACACAATGCAAAGGGAGCCCATGGCACATGTGCAGCCGAAAAAGCCCACCATTCAGTCCGCTTTCTCTAGCACTACACCTTATGACACAACGTCGAAGAGATACAAAGATTGCACAGATGCAGTAGCTCATGTATTACAAAAGAAATGCTACCAATAAATACTATTAAATTTATTTTTTACATTGTGATATATATTGATATCGACTGATATAAAAAATATATACAGTATATCGTGATAAACTTTTTCCCATATCGTCCAGCCCTAGTGGCAACATTAAATGCACCAACCATTTCTATCAGCTGTTATTTTTTATGCCAACTCCATGTAACTGATGCTTAAATCTTTCAGTCTGGACTGATTAGTAGACCGCCAACTAACTGACAACATGGAAAGGGGTTTTCTTCCCCCTGGGATATCCTGCCAACGTGGCTGAAACTGTCAACTGTTCCAAGACCCTGCTGCTTCCAGACACTCGGCTACTCCCAGGAGTTGTCCGGCAGCATGCCCCCATCCCATCGCCTCCTCTGGGGCTTGGCAACCTAACTGGCGTGGCACTTTGTAGAGTCTCAGATCCCCCCTTTTATGTATGTCCGTAAAAGACCATAGGTAATAGAGACAGGAGACGGGGTGGGGTTATAAAACTGGAAATTTGCGTACATTGATGACAGCGATGAAAATGTTTTTCTAGATGAGCAAGCGTGTTACAACGGAGAGTAGTTGCCTCCTGCTGGAAACCAGTTACTCCTCCGGCTGTATCCGTGTCTCTTACTTCATCTCTCCGCTCCTCCTGTCTGTCTCTGCTGTAGGGCTGCAGTGGTTTTGATGGGCAGCAGATATTAGGGAGTTTGGCAGCATTTAATTCCCAGTTGATAGTGTTGACATGAGATGGAGGCAAAAGAGAGGAAAGGAAAATACAAGGCACTTCAATCACAGGCTGACAGTGTGAGTGGAGTGAGTGTGCGTATATGGTGTATGTATGTGTTTCTAGGTACAGATCTTGAGTCTTTTCCCAGAAGGGACAATGAACTAACTCACTTAAAAACCCTGCAGGACACAATGAGCTCACAATTACAGCACCCAGACAACCTCAAATAACTCTGAATACAATATAAAAAGCCTCTCTGCGTAAAAATCACAGATTTACACAAAAGAGATTTGTAAAAGGATAACTGCTTTGGGAAAAAAAAGTGTCATCCTTTCCTTATACAAGCATAACAAACCAAACCATCCCAGCTAGTATACTACCACTTAGACTGCGTGTTTGTGTGTGGATGTAAAAGCTACTTTTGCTTTTTCCAAGACAGAACCAGCCTAATGCAAAATGTTTTAGAGCAAGGGTCCTATTATTGTATCTATGCATGACCCAAAGATGCCGTACTGAATGAATAAAACACCCAGTAACAGTAAAGTTGTATCGGGACACCCCTAATCCTCAATATCATTATTGCAACAATTTTGTTGTCATATCATTATTACTGTTCTTATCTTAATGTATCATATTGTATTGTTCTGTGTCGTATCCTAGCTAGGGGTTTCCCAAAATTATACTGACATCAGTCTGATATCAGCAAAGAAAAAAAACAAATACCGGATTATATCAGCCTACATCTAAAATCTCCGATATCAGCACTCTGATACTAGCAGTCCATTCCAGACTCCGCTCTGGCACCTCTATCTAGCAGTGCCCAGATCCAGCATGTGGAGCCCACCAAATCACAACAACAGTGTGTACTTAAGTACTAGCAAAGTAGCAAGGACTAGGAGCGATGTTGGCCTTGTGGCAGTAATTTTCATTGAAGTCCGAAAAAGATGTTGCAGCTGAGCGAAAAACTTGTCATGCACAATTTTGTGCCAATATCAGATCAGTATCGGTCAATATAGAAGGCTACATTATCAGTATCGTATCAGAAGTCAAAAAGTTGTATTGGGACATCCCTGATTATAATGCGCTTTATAATGCCAGTGTTTATGTGTTATTGTGTGCATATATGTAAGTATTCATAACAATAATTATAAATCACCTTAACACATGCTATAATGACCACTCATTGTGTTTTTTAAAGGTCAGGGTGTGTTAAGATTTCATACATTTTAACTATTTCATAACATATTATAAACTCTAATAAGATGCATTATAATGGGACTATAAGTCACTGTATGTGGTCATTGTTTGTTTTCAGTGAAGTCATTAAATAACACAAAATCGACACCAATTTTTTTAAAAAATTTTTACATTCATTTTAAACATTTGATGACCAATAATCCATACACTTATTGACACACTGTAGTGACAATGTTCGACTCTCAGACAGGACTTATTGCTGCTTGCATGTCCTCCCCCGCTCTCTCTACTCCCCACATTTGTCGTCTCTCTATCCAAAAGGAAACGGCAAAAACGCCCCAAAACAACTTCAAATGAGTAATAGTTGTGTCTGAATTTGAATAAATAAATTAAATCATAAATTTTCCTCTGGAGGGAGCTTAATTCTTTATCCCTGATGAGAAAAATTGAGTTTGAACACTCAAACATTTTGGGTTTTTTTTAATAGAAAATCTGGTATTTAAACCCGAGCGAAGCACGGACATATAAGGGGAGGAGACACAAAAGCACAACTATCTGTGAAACAGGCTGCAGGGAAGAAGAAAGAGACACCAAGATAAATAAAAGTCTTTTCCACTCCAATGAGCCCTCTCTCTCCTCTGTGTGAGGGGGAGACTCGCGGGAGAGGAAAGTGACAGACGAAGGGGCAGTGGGGTTGGGGGATGCGGGGTGTGGACTTGTCTGCTTGTCCACTGCTGGGCGGTAATTGACACTACATTGAAAACGGACGATCATTACAGACTCCAAAACTGTTGTTCCACTATTTATGAGCATACACTTTGCATGCTGTGTTAGTTTGGTTGTATTTCATCAGTATTAGGCTGTTCAGGGTCTCAGTGATTGTCTCAGTGATTGTGTGCTGCGAAGGTTTGGACCACACTGCCATGACTAGACATGATGATTGAGACAAACCAGGATGTTACTTCATGGGCTCATCTTCTCCGAGTGTTATGAGCTCAGGAGTTTGAGTCATAGAAGCAGAGATGTGTGATTCACAAACAAATATCTGATGGTTATGTGACACTGAACAAAGCTCTCCCCTCTCCTCTTTTCAGTCTCTATGGCAGACACATGCAGGCCAACCCAGAACCTCCAAAGAAGAGCAACGACAAGACGAAGAAGATCAGCCGGAAACCCCTGGCAGCCAAAAACAAATAAAGAGGAGACGAAGAATATGGACAAATACTCTCCAGACTGCGCCAGACTCACTGCATGTGCCTTTTTAAGAAACACATCACATCTGAATCAAAGATTTTTTTAAACTTTCAGTGAAATATTGTCGGGACTTTCTTTCCACTGTGCTTGAGTCCAGATGGATGTTTTCTTTTCTTTATTTTTTAACTACTTTTATCTGTTTTGTCATTGTCTTTATTTACCAAAACTGTTTGGACATACAGGTGGGTTTTGGTAACACATGACCACCATTGTCGCTTATATATGCAGATACTGCCGCCTGTGCTTTAAGGTAATACTGTTACATATGATACCAAAGGCAAAAAATGAATATGGGGAAGTCCAGTGACCTTTGGAAACATTTAGGATGTTAAGAGGGTAGATTGGAGGGCATCACTGTTGTGTTTCTGCCTTTGAAAGTTAGAGACAAATCAAAGATGTCCACTTGATTAACATTATCACATTCCGACTCCTGCAGCTCAAACAAATTGTCCATCGTCTATAAGAAGCTATTTTTCAATTTTAGAGACATTTTAAGTATTTTTTTAAGTCTCAAAGCATGAGGAAGCCATATTTCCCCTTAGCTTTTCTAATACTTTACTTGACCCAGTTCAACTGCTTTTCTATCCGGCTTTGTTTCATACTTTTATCGCCTTAATATAATACGTATTTCACTCACCTTAGCTAATCATTTGCCTGATTTAATGTGTTATTAACCCGTCTATTCCTGCTGTCAAATCACAAGAAAAGAAAATGTAGCTTTGCAAATAAGATATTTGGACATTAGGATTAAGTGGTGGACCATGGGGGCATTTAGTAAACACTGAGCAGTGTTGTTCTTTACTTTTGAACAAGACTCAGTCCTGAAAACAATAACCGTAATAATAACCAAACACCTGCATTTGTCTGTGTCTATTAATCTCTGAGAGCATCATAAATCCATTTCAGGTGTTCATGAACTCTTGTGTTTGGGCTCTAATGCTGCGTTTCCCTGTTTTGTTACTTTGCTAGCTGTGCTAAGTGTCCGTTACATTTCAAATAAAGGAGAATATATAAATATGAATTATTTTATCATGCTTTCTTTTACATCATCTCTGTATCAAACATTTCAAATAAAATACATCTGCACTAATCTGTGTCTTTGCTTAAGTCCTTCTATATAGTTTGATTTTTAATGGCACAATGTTAGGCGTCAGGGAAGCTGAGTTAGTTCGCATTTTTCTGGACTAACTTTAAAATAGTTCGAGAATTGTGCTTTAAAACAGGTGAAAGTTTTCAGAAGTTTACTCATGTAATGACACAGTGGTCAAGATTTCCCAAGTTTCCTGAAAGAAAAGAAAATTCTTATGTATTTCGTGACTGGTAAACATTTAAAAAATGAGCTATACTGACCTCTATCAAATATCACTTCTCCCCTACGTGTCAGTCCAACTATACTCACTGCTGCATTCTTCTTCTTCTCTTTGTGGTAGATGTTGTTCCCGTGTTGTTTTCACTTCATCTCAATTCATCTCACACCTTTGCAAGGACACAATGAGTCCCAGGCTAACTAAAGCCCATTGATTTTCACAAGGTGATTTATAGATGGCGCGTGTGTTAGGGCAGGCTTGATTGTCTAAGGGGGGTGCACTGTGCCACTTTAATGAGGGTGGTGACATAGGGCGGAGATGCAATCACCTCGCCCACCACAGGATGAGCAGCTAATATACAACTGCCGCTTTACTTAATGACCACCCCATCTACACAGGCTGTTTGGAGCCTTGAATTATTCGGTTTAATAATCCACTTTAAGGAAATAATGTTTATTATTAAAACACGTCAAAAACACATTCTGTTTGGCCTCTTACTGCACAGGTATCATAAATGTCAATTTACTGACAAGTTTTTTTTTCAGATAATCAAAATAAAAGTCAATTTTTGTTTGGATTTTGATTAGCAGTTCATTGATCACTATCAGTTATGATTGAATGTAATTACAGAGATAACTGAGTTAGTGTAGAAGGAGTAACATTCAGTCAACAGACCACTGAAAATAAGAATAAAATATGGCCATCACTCTTAGTTTCTAACTCGGTTGTGATTGTGTTTTATTTTCATTATCATTTATTTCCCTTAAAAAAATTCTGTTTGTTCAGATTCTATGGTTGGTAATTACATAATTCAAGTTTTCAGCATTTTACACCTGAATTTAATCATAATTTTATCCTTTACATGTTACAGTCTTTTTAAATGATCTGTCCAGCCATTTATCCCTTAAGGAAATAAAATTATCTTTTATTTTGTTTTCATACCACAATTTTGCCTGAAACATGAAGCACCAAAGCAGAAACTTGTCTAATAATAAATAAGGATATAAACTTAGATCTATTGTCGTTCTGCTATTGTGCATTATTGTTTGTTTGGTTTACACTTTCTAGGAACAGAGTTATCTGATTTTATTTGAATCCTTTGAAAATTCAATTGCACTTTTGTGTTTCCTCAATTACATTATTTTACAGTTTGATAAAGTCTACATTAATTTCTCCTTTGCTGCTACACGTCAGCAACTAGAGTGAGTGCAGAAGTCAAACCCAGACGACAGAAACGGCAAAGGACCATTTTATAGCAAAATTGAATCACATTTAGGCATATCGACCTGAAACAGGGTGAAGCGTTTTGCACATGCTCAGAAGTTGAAAAGCGTGGATGCGTTGCTAAGAAGCCACATAGTAAACAAAACCTCGACAGATGAAGAAAAGACGTAAAAAAGATTAAACTTTCGCCCAAATGCCTCAGAATTGAAAAGGTAGCACTGTTTACACCATTCGACGTTCCTGTACGTTATTGTTCATGTTAACATACTGACTGTTTTGCTTATTTTAAGGCCACTAACCAGAAGAGTTATGAGTGATAGTCGTGACCTCGTGTCATGCACCCCTCCTTTGAGAAGCATGGACATAATAGATCTGATGCTACTATGTCCTTTGACAATACAGCTTATCAACCCTTCACCTTCCTCTGCAGACTGTCAGGGGTCAGACATTTTGACTTAAGAGGTCAGTCTGCAGACAGATGAGAGTCGGCTTCATTTCCCCCGGTGCTGATCCTCGGGTGGTCCTCCTCAGATCACGGTATTGTAATGAAGTTATAAAAAAATCTGTTCATATGAGGTGAGACACTTGAGCATTAACAGCCAACTAACTTACTTTCATTACACTAAAAATGTTTGATGTGTGTTAAAATCTGCTTTAAATTTTCAGAGAAACAGCAACATCTGAGCCTTTTTATTTTTAAAGTATTAATTTCAGTTCAAGAATTAATAAGAAGTCTTAAAAAAGGTTTACGGTTTAATTGATAATATGTTAAAAATTTGATGTTAATGTGAGTGACATTAAATGACACCATTTAACATATGTGGCTAGAAAACCGCTTATATGAAACAAAATGGACTTCAGTTGTAAGCTAGATCCACTTTAATGCATATACTTAAGCTTTGTAATACTTTACACTCACTGTAGTTTTATATTGATGAATATATAGTATATGAAGTGAAGGCATATGTGTTGTTTTATTACCTTGATTTACCGCTCTATTTTTTTTACTTACAAACTGTTTTTAGCTTATTTTTATTGTTGTTTTTAAGAGTGTGTTATAAGTAAAAAATATGATCCTTCTTATCATTTCCTTGGCCGGCCCCTTGCATTTTTCTTCTATACATCTCAAATAGCAATTCATCATTTACTGTACTGATATTGAGTGAAGTGCCAATTCAATGATGCTCAGTTACCTTCACTGCTCATTTTCAGGGACTCTCGATAAAGAGGATGTTTGGAGGCCTAATGAAGCCAGAGAAAGGCGGACTAGTTTGATTTTAGTGGCATCAATACGCCATGACTACCCCACTGTTTCTCTGGATCCTGAAGACAAATGACTTTTGCATGCATGCGCTGATCGGTGAGTATGCAGTTGGAACATGTGCTTAGAGGAACCAGTATGTTTTAAGTCCATACAGCTGTCAGTGAGACAGTTTACAAGTTAGTGTGTTATACTGAGAAAGGTAGGCTACTTTAATGTAAAGGGAAAGGCAACGTTATGAGTCAGTGATAATGAAGCTGCATTATAATAAGTCTTACTTTCACAACTTTGTTCACACATGTGAAATAAATATAAAAGTAATGCATTTTTTTTCATCTTTTTATTCTGTCTTTAAAAATAATTAAGTTTGTCTAAATTTTAGGCCTGTGTTTAATAAGCAAACTGATATAACTGAATTTTACAATTAAATAACTAATAATACTATTGAAATTGTCTATTCATTTTTTTTTAGATTTGTGTGAATGGATGGATTATGAATGAATGCTTTAATTATTCTGATGTTACACCCTAAAGGTAACAGCTCAAACTTGTCATAACTTCTCCTTCTCCTCCTGTAAATACATCCAATATTGCACTACTGCATAATTTATCTGTCATATACTTATATTTATAGTCTGTTTATAGCCTTCATATTTATAACCATATGTACAGTCTGTTCATAGCCTGTACATATACTACTATAGCCTGTACATACTGATAGTTACAGCATATTCATAACAATATTATATACCTGTGATATAATCGAGTATAGATCTCCTGCATACCGTGTACATTTGTAGATATATTTATAATTGCTAAGCACTTCTGGATGGATGCAAACTGTATTTCGTTGCTCTGTACTTGTGACATGTGCAATGACAATAAAGTCGAATTCTATTCTATTCTATAGGCCTTCAGCTCTTCCTCAGTGTTACACCTGTGACCCCTCACATTCTGTAACCTACAGCAGAGCAACAACAATGGAGGATTTGGGATTTGAGCTTTCGGGGCCCTCAGCCCGCTACAGAGGCTTTAATGCAGATTTTCAATCTGTATTCACTGAACAACAAAAAAACCTCACCATGTTAGATTTTAAGTCATTATAATTGTGCACAACCGAAGTTTGAGGAGTATCAGAGAAGGACAGATTGAATGTGCTATTAAAAAAACATACAAGAACTGTTCTTCTTCTTCTTCTTATTATTATTATTATTATTATTAAAGTTTGATTTTTTTTTTTTGCCACATTTTCATTCAGTAAAAGAGATGTTTCCACGTTTTTACTGGCTTGTTGCTCCACTGAAAACTTCAGCGACTGACTGACCTCTGTTTGTGTCAGCGCCTGCTAGTCTGATCATGACTGTTGGATGACACCAACTGTGGAGAGAGAGGGGGGATCCCACTCAGATACCACAGGCTTACACTGCATTAACAGAAGAATATATTTAACATACACATTTTAATATCAAACATGACATTTCCAGAATAAGGCCTATTTCCAAAGTAGCCAGTCTGAAAGGGATTTATTATGCTGTTAAACATCTTTTCATTTTGCAGCAACAGTAAAAACTGAGTCAACAGAGAGTAAATTCATGTTAATTGCTCTGATATATTAATTGAATGGCTTTTTTTTCTCCAAAATGTGCTTCTATGCTGAAATGTCCGCAACAACAAAGTAGTCAACAGTCTGAAGAGCCTTCAGGATCCCTCTTCATGTTCGACCCACATCACTTAAAGCTTCAATGCTGTTATTGAGAGAATGTTCGCAGAGTCAGTCAGATAAGCTTTTTTTTTTTCTTTAATTCAAACTACAAGATATCACCCCCCAAAAACAAGACCCTATACCTACTAAACGGGTTTTTGAGTGGATAAAAGGATTTGATGAAATGTTCTATTACCACCCCACACTGCTCCTATTGGAGTACAAAGCAACAGTCCCCCCTCCTCTCCTCTCGTCTCTCTGATGGGCCCCCGCTGTGTATCTTCGCTTTAGCGCTTAAGGAGGATATCTGAACGCTTCATATCAAGCAGACGGTCTAACCGATCTTGATCCTCCTTAAGAGTTCAGCTTCTGTACAAATTCTTCGGTTTGAAACCTGGGGATCAAAGAAAGACCAGTTCCTGTGCCGGGGTGCGAGCGCGTCTCAGAGATGCTGAATCCGCTGCTTTTGGACATTACGAAGCAGTAAAGGGCTGAACTTTGAGAGAGACTTGGACAAGCAGCGCATCAGCAGAAAAGGTGTGGTAGAGGGACGACAGGACCGAGGGGAGGGGGGCTGTGCTTTTAAAAAGTTCGGACTAAACACCAACAAAGTGTAGCTCAGCTACATTTTTTTTCTTTAAAGGGGTGCCTCATTAGCCGGCAAAATTTCACCCAAAAGCAGACAGCCGGATCGTCCTGCCCTGACGCGGCTGGTCGGCAGGAAGCGGCTGGTGGCGGCAGGGGTCCTGGGGGTCGTTATGGTTCTAGTTTTGGTCATCCTTATCCCAGTTCTGGTTAACTCTGCTGGGACGGCGGCGCACTATGAGATGCTGGGTACCTGTAGGATGGTGTGCGACCCTTATGGTACCAAATCTCCGACCAGCACCGCCACGGCGGATACGGTCCGAGATAACAGTCTGGTGCAGTCTTTACCCACTTTCATCCAAGGTCCAAAAGGGGAGCCAGGTCGTCCTGGTAAGGCAGGACCGAGAGGACCCCCCGGAGAGCCGGGGCCGCCCGGTCCAGCGGGGCCACCCGGAGAGAAAGGAGAACCAGGCAGATCTGGTTTGCCAGGACCCCCGGGACCAAACGCAGCTGCCGGTGCCATTAGCGCAGCCACCTACAGCACCGTACCCAAGATCGCCTTTTACGCAGGGCTAAAAAAGCAACACGAGGGCTACGAAGTGCTCAAGTTCGACGATGTTGTCACCAACCTCGGAAACCACTACGACCCAACAACCGGAAAGTTCACGTGCTCGATCCCCGGGATTTATTTCTTTACATACCATGTTCTGATGCGCGGAGGAGACGGCACGAGCATGTGGGCTGACCTGTGCAAAAACAACCAGGTGACAACAACTTTACATGATACAGCAAACCTTTTTCTTTTTGTCAAGTGGTCTTCATTTTGAGATTTAAAGAATTTACTCTGAGATTTAGAAATTTGTTGGTATAGTACTTTTAATACTGACAATAATTTCACGCCAAAAAAATGCACAATTACAATTAAGTTACTGAAACTGTTGCAAAACATAAACTGTGCAGTTTTATTCTGAAGTGGACAACAGTTTTCAGTGAAAGGCACTGCTCTTTTATAATCTCATTCATTAATAATATTCATGAATGTCATTTAAAGCAGGTCACAGATACAGCAGATTTACTATGAGCTGCAAGGAGTGAGGAGAATATTTGTGCATGTGTGTCTGCTGATGGGGAAAGCTGGGACCCAGAGAGGGGAGGGAGGGCAAAGCCTGGTCATGGATGTATCTCAGGCTTAATTGATGAAGGTGCTTTACATGTTGGGTAAATATATCTATAACTGATCTGCTTGGAAATCTATAAACCGTATCCTAATGCTGTGGAAGCCCGTTGAGGCCTCTGATTCAGTTTCTTTCCCTCCCAAAAATTTCAGTGAACACATTTCCAGGGTATCCAAAATGAAATTATTCAACTGAGTCCAAATTGAGCTCAAATTAAGTTTAAAAAAAGAGTTTTTATATTTAGATATTGCAGTCTTACAACGCCAGAGAACAAGGTATGTGAATGTATGTAAACTGAATTTAATCTTTAAAACAAATAGACAAACTATCAATAGGCTGTACTAAATATAACACATCCAAAACTGACAATTCATCTGTGTTGAACTCTTCAGGTTTAAAGAGAAAAGTGTGGGCTGCTTTCATATTATTCCCTCACTGAATTTAAGACAAATAAACAAATAATAATAATAATAATAATAAGATAAAAAGATAAAGAAATAATGATAATTGGACTGTAATGATCAAACCAGAGCTGCAGGGCTCCAAAGGTCCCCTGTTGCCTTATGTCCCCTCTATTGCGTGTCTCTTCTATCACAGTGTCCTGCTCTCTCTGTGTGTCTCTGTAGTGATCAGGCTGTCAGCAGCAGCAGATCTAATCCACGGGACAAACCAGTGTTGCAGCATCGGTCCACTAAGCACATCCCTGCCTGTCAGCCTGCAACTATAATGCTTGTGCGAACTGCACATAGCACAGCAAAAATCTGCGGGATTAGAGCAGCAGAGCTTCACACCATGACAAATCAGATGCTGAAAGACATGTTTCAATTAGGGGCGCTGTTACTGAGCCTTTCAGACATCTCCACAGTGGTAAAGCCATTTCTGTGTAAATGATCAACACATGCCTGCATTGCTTCCTGGTACATTTTGGATTCATTCATAAAAAAAGTGACTCGACCTCGTTGAAACAAAATTTTCCATCTTTAAAAAAATGTCCACTGTCGGGTTTTGAAGATTACAAACATTTAATTTCGTTCTAGATTAATGAGAATCAATTTCTAATTATTTAAAAGAACATCTATGTTTGTGGACATACTTGCGAAATATAACATTTACGCTTCAATTTCTCTTACAGAATCATAGTGGTGTTGTTGTGGTTTTTTAATTAAATGAAATTTTACGGGAGTTTGAAGGCAATCTTAATCTTTGCTCTCTGCCTCTCTTAACTTAGTCTTTCAGTGAGCTGTCTAATGCTTCAAGTCCACAGCACTGGATTTGTAACCAACACACAGTAACACACACACACACACATGTGCCTCAAAACGCTGAGCAAATATTATCAATATTAATCATAATTTGTTATATCCAGGTCATCATATGTTAAACTTAAGGCTGGAGTATTGAAAGTGTGTGTTTCCCAGAAAGTCTCAAATACCGGTCAAAAATCTATTATCTGTGTAACCTGCAATTTGAGTGACTAAACTCTATTTCCTCCCTTAGACAAAGAGATTAAATCAGAAATATTGGGTGAATATCATCAACCCATTCTCTTCATTCAAAATCAACTTGATTGAATCAGTCAGTCAAGTTTTTGCATGCAACAGTTTGTTAGTGTCCCGTCATTGGCTGTTGGGATTATGAAGATATAAGCTCCTCTCATAGTCTCAAGTCATGATCCTCCAATTAGACTGAAATCATGTATTTGTGATCTGATTTAACCTTTAGTAGAAAGGAAGTTTTATTCAATGTTTGGCAAAAACTAAGGGGTAAAACTGGCTTCATAAAAAAGTGTATGTGGCGTGTGATGATCCTTTAAGTTTTTTCTTTACCTGAGCAGTTTTCAGGTTTTCAATTCTGCTTGAATTTTTACGTTTTTCTGCAGTTTTTTATGTCTGCTCCTCTTCAGAACAGTTTTTGATCAGCTTGCACACTCAGTTATACATTTTAGTCATCTGATCTCTTTAAACATTAATACAAAAACTATAGAAAAGTCTTATATCCTTACCAACATCACCGATTAATAGAACAAACATATTTTGCACATCAGAGAAAGACCGATTAATTGATCAGTCCAATTACTGACATTTTGATATCATCCACATCGTATTGGCATCATCCCTCACAAGGCCGATATCACCATTATCTTTGTAAATGAAAATATATTTGACAGCATACCAAATCTGAGACAAAAGAGGCTGATGACTATGGTTAATAGAATAACACAGTTTAATAACATTAATATTTACCTTGTGTGTTTTTTTCTTACTAATATCAGATAGTTGGGCAGAAATCCAGAAGTTGCTTGTGGCAATATTCACTGAGCCCAATATTTTTCTTGCTGTATTTATCTAAAAAAACATTCACTGGATTTTAGCAATATTGATTCTCATTTGTTAGCATCATATTGACCAAACAACAATGTGACATCAGCAGTATATACATCGGCCATTAGCCAAGCTGCTTTCTCAATATTGGTATCAGCATCAGCCACTGAAAACTTTAATCAGTCAACCTCTTATATTAATAGAAACAACCAGAGCTGTGGATCGTCTCACAATGATTAAGGCGTATTCACCGTGTTCACACTGCAACAACAACATAAAAAAAAAGTTTCCACATGTTTATGACTTACATAGTAAACCAGAAACTTTGGAGCTAAATGAGATTTCTTTAGTGAGTTAAGGCCTTCACTTCTCTTTCAAACTTGCGTGTGGCCAGAATAAAATTTTTAGGTCTGACTGGGGTGATTGAGAGCATGTTGTACGAGCCATCCGACAAAAACAGCAAGAACAGCAATGTTAAGAGAGACAAGATGAATGAGGAGTAAGGGTGGAGGTGTGCTTTTTGTAAGAAAGAAGCACAAAAAGTTGCATGACGGGTTTTTCTATCACATAAATGGTCAACTAGTGAATACGACCTATAGGCAGACTTTCCAAGACGGGGTGGGGGCTGAGATCTTACCCAGTATCCCACCATCAACCAGCTGGTAGCTGCTGTGTCAGAATCATGACACTGTGAAAAAGTCTTCTGGTGTTCCATGCAAACATTATTATGAAATCCGCTCCAGGAAAAGACTCAAAAACAGAGTATAAACTATCTGTACCTGCATTTGAGTATTGAACTCCACTGAGCTGGTCACTTGGTTGATTAAAGCAAAAGGTATCTTTCCCAAGGTCATTACAGAGAAGAATTTCAAACAATGCACACAAAATGAAGAGGAACAGGTTCATAACATGACAGATATTACCAAGGATGCAGGAGCATCAGATAACTAATTATTTCCAATAAAGATTAAAATCAAAATATCACATGGGAAATAATGACACAATTTGAAGGATGATGATGCCACACAAATCAAAAGTTGAGCAAAGTTGAAGTTGGAATGATATTATTCTTGGGGGTCCTGCATATTCTGACGTCATACAGACAACTGTCTGATCCACTTATAATCCTGAATTTTGATGATCATTTAAAGTATTTTAATTTCTCAAAAGGAACTTATGAGGAAATGTGGAAGATTTCAGCTCATATTAACAGTAGTCCTAAATTTCTCCAGCTGCAGCAGAAGTACCATTTCAGCTCTAGAGTCAGAACTATGCCTCACTTTTCTCTCTTTACACATGTGTAGATTTTTATTATGAAATCTTAAGAGCAGGTTTCTAATTGGTTACGCAACAGTCTGAGAACAACTGTTGGCTTCGAAGTGGGCATAAGTGGAACATATGGGTCAGATAGTGCGATGCTTTGAACGGGAACATTTAGGGAGGAGATGTTCCTTAAACCAAAATAGAGTGGTCACCTTTCCTGTTTTAGTGCCTGAGCAGCATATTTTCTCACAAACTTTTACGAGCTGACCCTTTAAAACCATATCTATATCCCTCTGTAACACTACAGAGAAAACTTTTGATGACGACTGCATTGAGCCTATTCCACTTTGAGTCTTTTCACTAACAGCTCTGCAGCAAGTTCTCTTCACCCATGAGTCTGCTGTCCATGAACCACAGTGTCTCCCTAGAAAACTCTAGTCCTGTGAACACTGATGTCTCCTAGTGTCTGTCATGACTAAGTTTCCTCTTTTTGCTGCTCCTGTATATCATAATGACATTGTGCAGCCTGCCTCTCTTTGCGCCGCTGTTGAAGCTCTCTCATTGGCCGCTTTCCTCATAACTGACGTGTTTTTATGATGGTCAGTTAAATAAGAAGTCTGGAAGTGCAGCTGAGCAACAGGAAATGAGGATTAAACGGTAACCTCACCCACAATGTGTTAACATGGACAATTTTTCTTTATTCCAATCGGATTCAACTCATTTAAATATATTGATCAAGTGTTTACATAACAAAACAAGGCCTCCACAGCGCTGCACTCTGGCTTGGAAAAGTGAAAATAAATAAACGTCTCCACTCTAGGGGGACACAAACACTTTTTCACAGCTTTGCTGCCTTTCAAAGACTTCTTGTGTTTAACCAGGATGTGACTGAGACTTTAAAATACTGTAGTCACATGGGTGTTGGACATGGTAAAAACTGATGACTAGCCCTCCAAATCTCACATTTAATATGGTTTTTTAGGGCTGTTTTAGCTCTTCAAGGGGGTCAGTCTCAGATCTGGAGACCAGGCCAGATAACACAAATAAAGTGGCGCCATGTTATTGTTTGCACCATCTCAACTTATATGCAGTTTCTGTAACTAGCCTTGATTAAGTTTTCTTTTTCTTCACTGTCTCGCACAAAGTATTTGTCAGCAGAGAGGGAGAACAGGGAAGGAAGAAAAGAAAGACAAAGACGCACCTGGGATTCAAACATTTTCAAAAGATTTAAGACAGACTTGAAAATAATGATTAAAAGGTCGTCTATACAATAGTAGAGTGGTAGTCTGTGTTTTTAGACCTAGAACTATTCATAAACCACCGTTTAACCTCCATCAGTTCATTACTCTGCTCCTAAAGGATGTCTTTGCTTCTGCACTTAGTGTGCTGATGAGACTAAAGTACATCCTGCAAGCTCTGTGACACTGTCATGATCCTCTTGTATGATGACCTCCTTCACAACACGGTTTGCCAGTGCTCCTGCGTGCATCTTTGTGTGGGGAACTTTGTACAGGAGACAGTCAATAGAGTGTGGACAATTCATCAAACGAAGCTGTGGCGAACTGTCCTGTCCAGTGCTGGCTCAGTAAGCGCTTGAGTGAAGTGATCCCTTTTTGGGGGTAAATGGCGACAGTGCAGAACTTGTAGAGCATGTTTCACAGAGAAAAAAAGTCCAGGAAGGCTTGTCAGAGAACGAATGACCACCAAATGAAGCTGATGATTTAAACAGTGGACACAGGATTTTCTTGATCCAGTTTTTGGATTGAGAAAGACCAAGGACAGCCCAGTTCTAAGGACTTAGTCCAGCATCTGCAAAGCGACTCCCCAACCCCTCCACAATGTTACTCTTTATTTCTAGTATCCAGCTGTGTTGGATATGATGACCAGTATATCTGGCATTGTGTGGATAGGTTTATGATATCTTTGACAGGTCAGTATCTTTCTGCAGTGTACACTCCACCAGTGACAGAAGTACACTGCATCTGTCTTCATCCGTACGATCAAAAGCACCATGGTCTGCTTTAAACAATAGCTGGATTGATGCAAAGAACTCAACAACATCAATGATGGTTGGAGAAAAATACTGCTTGGTGTTGATGTGTCCTTCCTCGATCTGCATCCATTCTGTGTCCCTCCATGTTGCTTCACAGGTCAAAGTTCTTCTGAGGCTGATTTTTTTACTAAATCCTTTTTCAGTGTTCACCACATGCTCCTAGTCTGTGTGTAGATGAGGGTCCAACTCCAGCCTCAAAGAACACTCCATCAGGATAGCAGATTCAGCAGATAGCAGTGGCTCTATCATCGCGATGTACGTGTGTGCGATAGTCACATCGCAGAGCCTGCGATATTGGAGGTGAATGAACTCATTTAATTTCAAGGGTAACCGACTGAGATACACTCCATGTGACTCTGCATGTGCTGTGCAGCGATCCACCAATCGCCTTCGTCCTTAACTCAGTTGCCAATCAGACTCACTTCTCAGCTGCCAATCAGACTACCCTGCCAGCTGTCAATCAAAATCAGGGAGGAGAAAACCCACCCCTGCACATGTTCTGCACATGGAGGGAGACGTGTGTCCGCTGAGAATTACTTTCGGAACTTTACTCATGACTATTAAGCCCAACAAATAAGAACTGTATGGGTTTTAAATTGTACATTTCCGTGGACCACTCTACTATAAGCAGTGCGCGTTTTGCGAGGTGCATCCAATTCTCGGAGGACATGCGTTTCTCGGCACAACACCGCTAACAACAACAACGATCGCTAACAAAATGAACAACGAACAAGCGAAAACCACCGAAAATGAAGATTTGTTGCCAAAAAGAAAAGGAAAGTCAGTTATCTGGAATTATTTCGGTTAAAAGAAGGATGATGTCGACCAAAACACGTCTTCTGTGTTCATCTGTTTCCACAATAACGTCCCAGCACAATAAAAGCTAAAAATATCTCTGAGACAGACAGAAGCCGTTCTACTAACATTCACAAAAAGAGGTAAGATCAGAGCAGATTAACTGTCCTCAAGATTTCAGCAGTGCAGCATAACATTAAGTGCTATTCAGGTCATCTGGTGAAAATACTGTATTTTTAATATCGCAATATATATCGCAGGGTTGAAAAAATCGCAATATTATTTTTTTCCAATATCGTGCAGCCTTACTCTATGATAGAGTCAGTTGGTCTCCCAATCCTGGATTCGATTTCAGGTTCTGCGGTCCACATGTTGAGGTGTCCTTGAGCGAGACACTTAAGCGAGGTGGTGTGGGTGGGGTCAACTGAATGTGCCTTATGCCATCAGTGTGTAGATGTGGTGTGAATGTGACATCGAATGTAAAAAGCACTTTGAGAGAAACCATTTCCCATCCTCACTTTACCAATACTAGCATAGACTGTGGGAGGGTGTTCATCCAGAGCAGGCTCAGGTAGCTTCATGGGTCAGCCTGGACCCCTGGTGCCCACCTGTGCTGGTGGGTTAGTGTGTATTTTAGTGCTCTAGGTGAAGACTTCACTACTAAAATGACCAGGATGCCACACTAGCAGCAGGAGATGAGCACAAGGACTTCTCTCTTGTAAAGTTGTAAATATTGTCAACACTTTTGATGAATACAACATTAACAATCTGTCACACACACATTTATTCAGTCAGTGCACCATGAAAAGTTATAATTTCTATGATTCTCAAATGACAGAATATCTAATCAACATGGTATAGTATGTAAAAACACTAACAGACTCTAAATAAATGATTATTTTTGTTTATTTGGATTGTGATTGTCTGAGCTGTGTGTGGCCGCCAGATAGATGAATGTGGAAATCAAAACTGATGATACATAATTATTTCTCAGTTGCCAAAATGACTAAATTCTTTCCTGCAGATAGTTTTTAAATAGTGAACAAAGACAGAAGGTTCTTTCTGCATCTCCCTCCATCAACTCTCTAAACTAAATGCAGCAGCAGCAGATGACTGTCCACCATTAGTTTGGTTCTGCTCAAGGTTTCTGCCTGAGAAAGGTAGCTGCAAAGTGCTATACTCATGTAGATGAAGATGGTACTCAATCTTACCATCTTTATATTCCTCTAAATATCATGAAAGGTGGGGTAGACAGGATCTGAGGAAGTGACAGTTTTTGGGAGAAATCTTGAATGTAAACACTACCCCTCCAAACCAGTTTTCCCCTTAGATCCTCCTCTCCCCTCCCTCTCTGCTCCAGCAAGCCCCGCCCACAAACAGACGCTCCTGCTCACACACATCGTTTCAATGAAATTCAGATATATTACGAATGGGGTCCAGTCAATGTGAAAGTAAAAAGCATTGGTGCTACTGTAGATGCCAACAGACTACCAGCAAACACAATGTTTGCAGGACTTCTACAACTAGGATAAAGTGACATAGTCCAGGACCCGAGGTAAACAGTTTAGTGGCGCTACAACACGCTACAGAAGGTCCCGTTTGACAAGAAACACTTCTGTTACAGACACTTGGCTTACTTTGTTACAACCATTGACCTGTCCAGCAGAAAGGTTACAGGGTCTGTAAGATCCAGAAGCGTCGCCCATTTATGCTGATGTTGACCCGGTTTCTTAGCTCTTGTCCGGTCTACCTCCATTTTAAGCGCCTGTTATTCTGCCAGAGTCTCCGGTATTGGCTTCGTTTTATTGCTTGTGTTTTCTGTGCTTCCTGGTTGGTTTCCTGTCTGATATTGTAGCACGCTAACTTGTTTGGGCTCGCGAACGTTATTGGAGGACGTGGAGCGTGCCTCACAACACAAGGGAGCAGCATCTGCCTCACAACCAATCAGGTTGGGGGAGGCAGAGAATGGCTTTGTTTACGAGCGCTCAAAAAAATTGAAAAATGTTGACTACACAAACATAACGAAACAAAGCGATATCATGATATTACTGAATGTCATCAATAACTAATCGCTGTTGACTGATATTAAAAGCTTTTTACAAAAAAAGATGCTTCTTTAACAGATTCCTGCCTACCCCACCTTTAAAAGTTTGGTCTAGATCAGGTCGATGTGTTCAGCGTCTTGAGATAAGGATGTGTTCTTTAACGAAGCTCCTTAGTGTCCTCAGAGGGCAAACCTTTTTCTCTTCTCTTCACTTCAGTATTTCAGCCCTTTTGTGGCACTTTCAGGGTAAAAATAATTCTATGTTGTTCGACCTGAACACCCGAACCATTCTGGCTGAGTGCTGGTCATGCACCTGTGGCAAGTGTCAGCTGCAGAGGAGAGTCCAATTCTCCTGAACTGTTGAATTTCATTTTGACTTGAATGTTTTTCTCAACATGAGTGTAACAGATTTATTCTTCTGTTTGTGAAACCCTCCAGGTCCGTGCTAGTGCCATAGCCCAGGATGCAGACCAGAACTATGACTATGCCAGTAACAGTGCGGTGCTGCATCTGGAGCCAGGAGATGAGGTCTACATTAAACTAGATGGTGGCAAAGCTCATGGAGGGAACAACAACAAGTACAGCACCTTCTCTGGATTCATCATCTACGCTGATTAGGCAGCAACACGCCTGTGCGCAGGCCCCGTAGCAGAGAATGAGATACTACGACTTCCTCTTTTAAAAATCTGTGGAGAGTTAAATATAAATAGGCCTTTATTGAATTTTTAACCTCTGCCATCATCACTGTAGGTGTGGTGATTGCAGAGGGTCGATGCACTGGAATCTGGACACTAATCATGAAAGAGTTGAAAAACCTTCCTCTCATATGATCATTATTTCACTGTAGAACTTGGAGCTTGTTGTTTTTGTTAAACCAGGCCATTGAAGGACTGATGCTGCTCCTGGTGGATAGAAATAGGGGAAGATTGGACATACTGGGGGGTCCATAGGTAGCTTTAAAAGAGTCAAACAAATCAGTTATCCAAAAGTAATTGATTTGGTTTAAAATTGTGTAAAATTCACTATATTTATGGTGGTGATTGTTGAGAAAATGAAAAATCAGGGTGTGATTCTTCTTTTTTTTCTTGTTTTGGTATCATGGTGTGCACACGAAGATGAAAACTTGTACCCCTTAAATGTAATTGTGATAAACAGATCACAGAACATACCTCCATATTCATGTAAGCAACTTAAAAAAACATTTAGACATGTACATTTTACAAAAAATCTCTTTATTTTTACATATATTTTTTAAAAGATATAAATCTATTAATCAATCCACTGATTGAATGATTAATTGATCCATTATTTCTGCAGATACAGGGGGATCTGAAGCTCTTTTAAGTCTAAAAAGGATGTAAGTGGAATGCTTTTTAATAAAATGTAAACATGGTAGAAGAATATTTATTGAATCATGTTGAGGGGGAATAAAACAAGATTATTCTTCTGCAACAGTGAGACATAAGAAGGCGTATACAATGATGCAGGTCCAGGATCAGTTTGAAAACTTATTTTTTGAAGTTTCTGATTGAAAAGCACAGCAACAAATCTCTGAAGTTTCACTGCCTTTTTTTTTTACACTTCACCAAATGACAGCGATTTGAAGCAGATTCCCAGTGCTGTGTTTCAAAAAAATGAGACGGTCTGATGGAGCAAATAGAACTGCAGAGAGGAGGTCCCTCTTGAACCTCAGAGAGGCTAGGAGATATTATTCATGAAGATTAAAACCACTATCAGTGAAAACCTCAGAGGTAAACCAACACCCACGGGAGTTTAAGAGACACACGATCTAGTCTTTCAAAATAAGACCACAATATTTGGTGAACTAAGGTACCTGTGGCGTTTAATGGTGAGTCTACTCTCAAACTGGCACCACCAACCATGCTCCACTTGACTTGATGCAAACTTTACAACAGCTCAATAATGTTAATCAACTTAATACACTTTACCGTCGTTTTTGGGAATCCAGCAAATGTGGCACAATCAGTGATGAGAAACCGCATGTTCATTTATGGGGTGCTTTTTCCTTTCTTAAAGGGATATTCCGAAGTAAAATTGATTTAGGGTTAAACACACCATAACATAGAGTAGACACCCCCTCGAGAGATGGATGTTGCCAACTGCTTGCTTCTCTAGTTATACCAACTTTAGTAACGACCGCACAATAGCAATACACAATGGTCTGAGGAGCCATAGACAAACCTCAACCAAAACGCCACTCTATAGCCACAAATAATGCCCTAAATGTACTATTAATGAAGTTAGGTGCTGTTCTGAGCATTATTTGTGGCTATAGAGTGGCGTTTTGGTTGAGGTTTGTTTATGGCTCCTCAGACCGCTGTGTATTGCTATCCTGCGGTTCTTACTAAAGTTGGTATAACTAGAGAAGCAAGTAATCGGCAACATTCATCTCTTGAGGGGGTGTCTAACTCAATGTTAGGGTGTGTTTGACCCTAAATTAATTTTACACCCTTTAAACCTCCTTTACTAGCCTCAGCAGACCTTGATCTGGATGATGTACTCAGAAATATATTCGTATTTTCGCTGCTCTTACTCAGTCTGCAGGTGGTGAGTTTTAAACAGTCAAATATTTGTATTTAGTTTATTCAGCTCAAACCCCTGGGTGAGGATCCTCAGCAGACTCGGGCCATTTCTTATCCCAGACAAGAAAAAGATGTAAAGATGAGTGGTTCTATTATGCGTGTCCTGGCAACCATTGAAAAAAGCTGAGCAGACTTGTGTTTTTTCTTACTCTGTAGATTATTCCTCCATAAAAGAACTGATTATACTGAGTTATTGAACTAAGGGTAAACGTAGAACCTGTTTAGCTGTTATGACTCACTCGAAACTGAGCATCGGCTGTTATTTCACACATTTAACTAAAGATTTCCACTGATAAGGAATCAGTGAAGCTTCCTTTCTCTGTGAGAGTTTATAGTCCATTCTCTAGTCCTTCACTGATGATCTATAAGGGTTTCTTTCATGCTCCATGTTCATTTCTGTCATGGCGTGACGTTTTTGTGTCTGTAAACTCTCCCGTGTTTCCTCTTATCTGACTGTTCTTCCCCACTGTGAACAATTCAGTGTCAAATTACGTCTTCTGACCAAAGGATTGAGTTTGACCGGTGGTGGTTGACTGATGAGACCAGGTCTTGCTTGTAAGATGGGACTGAATCTTATCCTATGTTGACGTTAGGTCTTTGTAAATAATATCGAGCGTGGTCTAGACCAGCTCTTTTTTTTGTAAAGCGTCTTGAAATCATGTCTGTTGTGAAATGGCACTATAACAATAAAGACTGATGATTTGTTGCTATTTACTGAACAATCAGAACCAAGTACACAGCACATCTGTGGATGAAAACCTTTGCTTTATTGGCTTGTCTCAGCCCTTTTGCCTGCCTGTCCTTCCTCTGTTTTCTTTCTTCTGGTAATCGATGCGATAAGAATGAGTTCACAACCCCAGACTTGAACATTTCTTTCAGTAGCACATTATGGCTGAAATTCTGCCACTACAATATAAAGCTGGTATGATATTTTATTTTATTTTATTTTCTTGACTGTGATGACTGGGCAAAGAAAATGTTTCCTGTGTTTAATGTATGTTTCTTTTTTTTTTTTTACACATTCAAAAGTTGTAAAAATCAACGTGAAGTACCGCAATGTAAACTGAAAGCACTATGCAGAAGTAGAGAATAACATATTATCTATGTACAGTGTCATGTATCTTTGGAGATAGATCAGATTACTGCTACTGGAATTGTGTAAATAATGTTCTTATTTTTTTTCTGCCTATTCCACGCACAGAGAGCAAAAACAGCACAGAGAACATGTTCAGATGATATATTAACCAACTGATCCAATAATCATTGACCGTCTTAAAGTGACATCCTCACCAGTGTTTTGGTGTGAAAGACATATGTATGGTAAATGCAATGTCTGGTTTGTGCAATACTATAAAGACTCTGCACTCTTCTATTATCTTACAGCATCCATCTGTGTACTTTTATCTGAGGAGTGTTTCCAATAAAGGGATGGAAGTAACAGTGTGTCTCTGCGTGTGCGGTTGCTTTGTCACTCATGCAAAAATCATGTAGTTGTCTGTACTTTTTAGACTTAATTATGTCCGAAGCTATAAACAACTAGAAGCCCACTGTTGTGGAGTCAGGAGCAATGATGAATGTGTTTTGGTGCAGTTTCAGTACAATGAGTGGTTCAACTTTTAGCAAGCCCCTGTGCTTATGTGCTGTCAGCCGGGCCCCAGCCTCCATCTGGAGCACCGCTAGAGGTGTGAACGTTACTTCAGCAGTCTCCTTCACTGCCCTCCAACCAGGCTGCAGATTCTTGTATTTGCATTTATAAACACAAAGCTGCGATGGCAGATCATCATCCTCCTTGCCTTAAGCATTAATGGTAACAACACTACCGGAGACATCCAGAGATGATGTATTCATTTTGGCATAACTCAGACGTAATCAGATAGTGTCGTGTTGCAGACTAGACAATAATGTTGGCTTTTAATTCTTCATAGTCCCAGAACTATATTGATCCATGTTAGAAATACAAACCTATCTATTGGTGGGGGGGTTAAAGCCAGAGATGAGTCGTTTTTCTACAGTGTTATTAATCTAATCTGACTGAAGCTATTGGATAACATCAAATCTTAAAATTGGCTTGTTTTCCATTAATAAACCTTGGTTTACATCTGGATAATACCTGTTTGTGTTGGTCAAAACTGTTAGGTAGGACTAGAATAACCTGACTGTGATGATTCCAGCAGAATGGTGGATTCAGGCAGGATTACAGGAACAAAATGTCATCTAGTTTTAGACCCTTTTTAGACTCTTTTCAGCTCCCCTAAATTTAATCTCAGCATGCCTGAATAAAAAATAGAATTAAAAAAGGAAATAACAGATTTTTTAAATATTACAAGTATTGCATCAGCATAGATATTAAATATTAGATATCACCCTTCCTTCATATATGAGACGAAGTTGTCTGGCTTACTTGCTATTGCTGGTTATGACATGAAGCAACTTGTCAAATATTGATAAGCAGAACTCAGAGCTGCATGAATCTAACAATACTGAGTGAGAGGGCTGTCAATTTTAGAACCGTAATAATACAAATAATAGTAAATGCTAAATTCTCACTGTGATGTGAGGATACAGAGGTAAACCCAGAAGATGAAGAAACAGATAACCAAATGTGTTACAATACTACAAAATTCAATTCCTATGCAAAACAACACATCACATTAGTGGTGCTAAACTTGATTTAGACTATCTAGTATACTTATATTGTAAAAATGTGTCTTTTTCTGTTGCAAAGTATCACTACCTCTCTAGGGGCTGAGCAACCTTCGAGGTTTGGTCCTACAGCCACACCAGTCCTAAACTTCTCATCCTGGTTCAACAGTATAACATCACGACTGAGTTGATACTTGAGGTCTGTTCTGACTTCACGTAAATGTTTAAAAATGTGATTAATCGATCTCTGAGTAATCTCAGTCAACGGGGGATAGAGGATACTAGTGCAAGCTGTGATGCACCGTCTTTCTAGAGAGACACCGCTCACCCAACACTCTCTTTCTCTCTTACTCACAGGCTCACCCGTTTCGACCCCTCTGTCTGCTTCTGTCACTATCACTACCTTTACCATGAAACTTCGATTTCTCTTACTTTCTATCTCTACTACTTTCGTGTAAGTTCTCTCAGCGTTGTGGAAACAAGACGCGAGTGAGGTGTAATTCTAGTGGACATTGAACAGCAGATTAAGTGGTGCCTTCAGATTACCTCCTCTCTCACATACACCCTCTGTCTAATGAAGGAGGTTTGTTGATAAGTTGCCATTGTGACTCCTGCCTGCTGTCATTCATTCTGTGGTGGCCACCTGTTCCAGCACCATGTCCTTCACACACACTATGAAGGGTAATTAAGGACATGTGTACATAAACACCTTCCTGAGATTTTAATGATGCAGGCAGCTACTGAAGTGCAGATCAGTCTTCAGAGAAAGCACGTACACAGGCGTAGAAAAAGGTACAAGAGTGAATCAGAGTTTCCAGTGAAAGACAAACCTCATTTATGTGTTTTTACTGGACTTTCACAGGTCAGGTCAGCTACTCCCCTCAAACTTATGACAGGGTGAAACCTAACACTAGAGGGGGCAATCTGGTTAACCAGCATTTAAGAAGGGAGGCTTTTTGGAGTCATGGACTGAACACTATTGAACCAACTAGACTCAACAAAGCACAGGACCTGAGCTGTTTATGGTGCACCAATTTGTTCTTTCTATTTCCCTTAAGGTAAATTTGGCCCCTATGGAGAGACACGTCACTAAATCCTGCAGCACCTAACTCTTCCCAATTAGTGACAGAAGGACGGCAGCAGAAACAATGTTCTGTTTATTCTACACACACACTGTAAATTGGCATGTTTATTCCTGTGACTCTATTATAACTTCTTTTAATTTGAAGAAATTTATTTAAAAAATGTTATTTGTACAATCAGAAACAGAGTTAACCATGACGCGTGATAAAAAACCCTGTTGAATGTCACTTTATTGATAATACTGTGTTGACTGGTCACGTGACGTGTGTATTTGACATAGTTGTGAATGTTCATTTGATTGTGGCGGGTGAACCAGAAGAAACTACGAGCGAAACACACTTGTGCACACACACACACACACACACACACACACACACACACACACACACACACACACACACACACACACACACACACACACACACACACACACACACACACACACACCAGTCTGCAAATGGAGCCATAGCCACTACTAAAACCTTACCACCTTATTAAACATCAACAGTACAAACAGCCACTAGATACACTGGGACACACTCTCTGCACAAACTCTTGTGTTTGGTCTGACATGATGAGACACTACCCTTACATCCACAGTTAGGCCAGAGGGAAAACTGACTGCTACACGCTGACTTTATATTAGTCATGCATGGTGGTGGAGGCGACAGTTCTGGCTTTTACTTTGAAGAGCACACAGGAAGTGTAAATGTGACTTCAGCTGCTGTGAAACAACGTCCAGCTGCTCTTTGTACCTCCAACAGTATGAGAAGCTGTTCACTGTCTCCACAGTGAGAGACAGTGTCACTCCCATGGCACTGTTTTTTCCATCTTTTCTCTTTAAATTTACCATCCCACTGACGGCTATTAAATGTCTATAGGTTTTTTTTAGACCTAATTTAAACTGTCTAGACGTTGCACTTTAACCCATGATTCAATAACTATTCATTTCAAAAAGCAGTATACAGTGTAGTATAGGTTTAGCCCAAATTTAGACTTGGTCTAAATTTAGACGTCTTAAATACTTTCATTTTTAGAGCTATGGTAGCCTGATTTTAGACCAGTCATCTGGGCTACATTTAGACGTCTATTAGACCTCTTTTAGACCAAAAAATGCTCAGTGGGATCCCAGCATACCAGAAACTCATTTAGTTACACAATCATTATTCATACTCTGGTAAATTTGAAGTAAACTTGCGAACGCAGAGCTCAGAATAAAAAGTAGACATGTCCCATATAGGTGTCTATGTTTGATACATGATTTCTCAACATGAACTGAATTTTTTTGCTGTAGATTCCACTAGCCTGGATTTCACTTTGTATGTCCCAGAAAGGGGCCTCCAGGCTCTATCTTGACAGCAGGATAAATAACAGCTACATGGACAAAGACATTTTCAGTGCTTCTTCTTTTCACTTGGCACAGAGTTGACACAGACTGACACTATGAAAAATCTGCCAATGATGGTTATCCCCTAAATCCTCTGTGCTGTATGGACACATCTGTAATGGTTTAATCTACACAAACTGCTAGATTACATACAAATGACACGGATTATTGTGTGACTGCTTTAACCTGACACAACTTTGCTCTTAAACCGAGCTGAATATAGATTTAATGCCGTTACTATACTAACTGTGAGCAAGGTTGCTTGGATACATCACAGAGTCCTATTTCTGCACTTCATCAGTCCCATGAAATCACTATATCGATGATAAAAACATGACATATTTCAGGATCTGAAACCAAAGGGATGCAGGGCATCCACATTTAGGTTAAAGGAGATCTAAAATCAATTTCTAGCTTTTGTGTAAGTGCTATTATTATCGTAGGTGCATCTGTTATTTTGACACTTTGTTCTGTTTAGCTCACACAGCCGGGAGGAAACTAGGAGAACTGCGTCATGCTCGAAGTGGACAAAAAACGGATGCACTTTGTGATCCAGTGAGAGTGGGTTAGTGGCAAACGTGACTAAAATATATAAATATAAAATACAGTCATTATAAATTAACAGTGGTTTGTGAAATTATTAGAAATAAGTGTTAAAGCATCAACTCTTTTGACTCATTTTTTATTGTTTTAAGTTGATCCTGAAGATTACTGTTCAACTTTTTGGAAAATACTATGACAAATTCCCTTAATTATCATCTGCATCCTGGTAAAAACAGAAACTAACAAGTTCAACTAGACGTGTACATTAGACAAGCAAAACAGAAACTCAAACTCTATCAAAATTGTGAGACTGCAAAACAAGAGCTGGCTCCTCTCGGGGAGTTAGAAGGTATCTGCTTCTTTAGTTGAAATCCTTTGTTGTTGTGACACAAAAGCCTGGCTTGTTTTTAGTGACCTCGGAGACTCTGAAGCAGAGAAAGACAATCCTGCCTAAGCTGAGAGGGCTGGGGAGGGTTAGGAAAACAGGCTGGGGACAGGGGGGGTCACAGATGGGATCTTGGATGGGATAATTATCATGTGCCCCAAATCCTGCCTGACTCTCTTCTCTAATCCAGAGAGGAGAAAACATAGAGAAAAGTCCAATTAGGTTCTGAACTCTCTCTTTTTTTAACCTTTCCTTTTTTTTTTTCTTTCCTGCCAACCCTCTCCCATCACCCTATTCGAGGTTTAGTCACTCAGACTCAGCACAGGGCGCGCCCATGTCTATTTGAATGGTGATGCAAGCATGAAGCTGCGGAAAAAAAAGTGAATCAACCAGATGATCAGT